AATGTGTAGTGTGACTCAGTGAATCAGCATTTAGACCTGAAGCTCACCTGAGTTGGCCAACAACAAATAGGATGCTAGAAGGTATCTCCTTTCTTGCATAATCCATTCCCTTCTTCACAGGTCATTCCCTCCAACCCATGAGGGTCACATTCGCCTTCCATAGATGCCAAATGTATAACACACATGCAACATAAGTATTTCAATTTCACGAGAGGTAAGGTCAGTCCATTCAGTTCTTATTCAAATCATGTCAAATAAAATGCATTCTGCAGTTTATTTACACCCTGCCCCAAATCCTCCCAATTCATGGTAAGTCCTTTTTCTAAGCTTCACTGTCATACAGGGGAAGATTTTTGGGGCCAAGGGTCGCAGCATGTAGTGCTGAAGTTAATCCTTCCCTCCCCAGTTGAAAGCCAGCAATTAAGCAGAGGGGAAAAAGGCCCTTACGATTGCTGGGCACTGAGGTTCCTGTGCCACAGATTCAGGCCCAGTAAAATAGATCTGGGCTAGAACCCGCCAGCCTAGGCCTCTTAACATAGCTCCCCCTAACTTGAACAATGCTTCACACTACTGCCACCTATAGTTCATGAAATGTATGGCATAACAAGCCCCATCGTAGCCACCCCACTATTAGCCACGTCCCCACAAAATACAGAGACTCCTGCAAACACCCATGCTGTGCACTTTCGCTTAGCCTTAACCAATCTCACTGGATTACTGTAAGGAGAAAATAGGGATGGGATAGAAAAGCATGAAAGCCTTCCTCTGCTCTTTGGAGTAAGGGCAAAATAATTTTATATCTAGAATTAAAATGAATACTGCAGCTCTGCTAAAAAAAAAAAAAAAAGCTCTCCAATGACCCATCTTATCTTCAGATAATATATCCCATTCATCTTTCTACACCCCTCAGATAATGTGCCTACAGAAATGATTATTGATACAAGTGTGCCACCGATTCCTGGGCAGCACATATCAGACATAACATGGATATAATATGGAAAACAGGTGAGATTCCCCTGCACTGCAGTCTATGGTCTTCGTGTAAACCAGTGGGAGTGACCTCGTGGCTTTCCAGATGAGCTGTAATTCTGACACTGCAACTCCCATCAGCCATAGCCACCAGTTGAGGAATGATGGGAGTTGAGGTCTGCTATTATCCACCCCTGCCACAAACCCTGCACTTCTCTCTCCCCTCCCCAGCCCTGCCTTCTCAGCATCATCATAAGACCCAGGTTAGGAAGACTTTACCCTACATGTCCACCCACTCTACTTCATTTTGGGGGTGCCCATTTCTTTTTCTTCACCAAATGCCCCTGGAGCAGCCCGCTTCCTGCTAGGCAGTGAAGGAAACTTACCCTGAGGAGGGGACCCCATCCTGCCTTGCTGCCCGTCCTCCACTCCCTCAGCACCAAAGCAACAGATGGTAACAGCTGAGCCGTGAGTGGGACAGTGAAGGGGACAGAAACTTGGGGCAGGTGCCAAGAGGACTTAGCCATGCCATTCTTCCCTCCGCTGCTGCATTTTCGTGCTTACTAGTTCTCCATCCGTGCCTGCCACACTCACCAATTCACAACGCCACCCTCTAGCCATCTAAATTGCGGTTTATTCATCCATGTCCAAATGCTCCCCCTATTTGAATCGAACTAATCGACCTCCTTTGCTTTCATCCTTCTATCCATCCCCAAACACTCTTTTTCCTTTCTGTCTTTTCTTCCAGGGAGTAGTTATATGGACTGTCTTTAGTTTTTACTTCCCCCCCTGCCCTGACCCACTTAGCCTTCCTCTTTCCCCCTTCCATCCTTCCTTCCTCTCCTGTCTTAAGAGTATTTGCCCCATGTCTCACTTCAGTGCATGTTTACTTAGAAGTAAATACAGCTGAGTTCAATGGGCCATACTGCCAAGTAAGTACAACAAACAGTCTCATAGTGCCTTAAAGACTAAAAGATTTATTGCAGCTTAGGCCAGTCTTTGAAAGTCCACAAGTTTTTAAAAAATAATTCTTATTTGATTTCTGTGCAGCAGATTTTTGCAGCTACTACTCTCGAATTCATCCCAAGTTAGGGTACAGATGCACAGAGATCTGCACACACAGCGACACCGACCCAGTTGATGCATGCCACCTTCTCCCGGCTCTAATCAAAGAATAAGAAATAATTATTTCTTAATTATACCTACTAATTTGTCATCCAAGCTACATTCTGATCCTACATGTCTTTCACTAAGCATGTCTTTGGCAATGCTCCCTCATATACAGCTACAATGGCTCCAGTACTTTCAGCGCATCGGCGTCAATTCCCACCACAGTTCTAACATACAGTATAACACATATTATAGCCGAATGGATAAATGTTTGTGCTCACTGTAGTTTCCAGGTGCAAACACACAGGCTTCCCATCTTTACCTCATATATCCTAGTAGAAAAACACCATGAAGCTGGTTGTGTGACAATTCTTGTTTCCCATTGGGAAAACTGACACTGGCTTGCTGGGCTCACTGACGGCTAGCGAAGGATTTGAATCCTGCACACTGTGTCCTAAGCCACACTGGCCCGCATCCATAATACCCTTTTCACGTAGTAGCACCCATATCATTTTACATTCATCCACTACTTCCAAACCTCCGTTGCTTTGCCTTTCCCTTCACTTCTTCCTTGCTTCCATGCCCTCTCGCTTTCTCCCCATCACATTCATTCTCCATTTGCCCATTTCGTGTTCATTCTTCTTTCTCTCTGGCTCTCAGAGTTGCTTACAGCACTTTAACTCACCCTTTCCCTCGTTCTCCTTCTCTTCTGCTTTTTCTTTCATGCTGCCGCCGCCGCTGCTGCTGCTGCTTCCACTCCAGAAGAACTCAGATCTGGAAAGAGGGGTTGTTGGTAGTTGGAAGATGGATTAAGGCCTGGAAAATTCCTGGCCGAAGAATGTTAAACTTCAGAGGGGAGGAAAGGGGGTGGGTGAGAGAGGACTCCTGAAATACCATGTTCTGGTTAACCCTTTGCTACTCAGTTATCCATTCAAGCTCAAGGCGACTCAGTCCCTTTGCAGTGGGGGAACTCCCCCAGTTGCATTTTCCACCTAGTATCCCGACGAGGCAAAATGTAGTTTCCTACATGCCACCCGGGAACATTCCTGGACACTCCACACCCTGACAGCTGCCACAGCTGCACCCCTGGAGCTTTTCCAAACCTGAGGGAGCAAAGCTCGTCTATTCCAGGAGCACAACATGGCATGCAGTCGGACAGCGGATTCCAAATGTTTCACTAAGATGGTGGTGGGGGAATGTGTTTCTCCTTGGCCGATTTTTGTTCAAAGAACCAGAACGTCGCCATGATGCATCTTCTGAGTGGGGGGCAAAGTTGTACCCTTAAACCCCCAAAGAACTGTAATAGGGAAACCTATGACTAAAGAAGCTGATTGGTGCAATGGGTACAAATTAGGACTGTTAGTAAAACGGCTATTGATTACTTTCTTGGGAGATCTCCTTCTGATTACACTATATTAATTTGTGTTTTGGAATTCTGGGAATGTTTGTGCCCTGGGTCTGTACCCTTTTGTTGCGGCTGTATTAAAGGAGGAACATGGGGACATTTGGAACAGTAGGAGCAAAGGGTTAGAAGTTTATCCATATAGGAGAACTAAGCAACCAGTTCCAGGAATTCCTACCCACAGCCCTGTCGTTAGTGGAAACCCTCCACAACCATAAGGACTAGGCACTTACTGATTTTAAACAAATGAATAATTAGCTTCTTAAGGTTTCAAATTTCATATTCAGATATGGCATTCTGTGTGTCAGCAAGTTGGCCACCGTAATGCAGAAGTCTAGCTCCCCTGTGCATGTCACCAGCAGGTATGTTCTGTGAGTCTCTGCAGTGGTTATTATGACCCACTCTTGCCGCTAGAGATCTTTGCACTGGGATTTGCAGAAGAAAGCCAGAGGCTAGCCCTGTGCTGTCCCTAGAGGGAAGGACTGGGGAAGACGAGCAGGATGCCACTTGAGTTCCTTCATCCTGCTTCTTTTCACTCGGCCAGAGCCTATAAATATCCCCCCCTTCCAACTCTCACACCCATCACTTGGCTCAGCCTCTGAGGACTGGAATTCACCAACTGTCTATTTCTGGGATATATCTGGTTTCAAAGTAGTGCCATTTTGAGGGCATAAACCATCCAGGGGATGGGTTTGTTCAAAGACTAAGAAGTAAATGATAGGATTGTTCTTTGCAGGGCCGGGGGGAGGGGGGGTATATCAGGCATTATCAGAAAATGGGGGACAGCCATAAGGCCTGGAGTTTTTCTATAACCCAGTAACAGTAAATGGAGGGGTGCTGGAAGTCTGTGGAAAAGTAAAGGACATGTGTTTTCGTTCCAGATATGGGACATAGTCTCTTAATGCTAGAAGATACAGCTCTGACTATTGCTAGTATTGTTGGTTTTCCCCCCCAGAAGGCAGTTATATTACTATTTTGCTTCGAGCCTTTGAAATGAGTTGGCCTGCAGCAGCTGGGCGAGTTCTGCTTGGTACAAGCAGTTGGCATTCAAAATGGAAATTGCAAGCCTGTCTCAGCATCACATGCCAAACGTTTGCAGCCATGGTGAAGCCTCAACCTATTAAGTGCCAAAGATGTGCTAATTTATCCACTCTTCACTGGTTTGTACAATAAAAGCCAACCCTCACCACTGCTCCCAGCTAACTCTTACAGGAGTTCCCCAATGCAGGTTATATTAATAAAACCAAGGTCAAAAGACCCTCCCGCCCCCTGCAAGAGAGCATCAGGTAATGGGGCAACACCAAACAGTCCTGGGGCAGCATCTGGGACCAACAAAGGCTTAATGCCACAGCATCTTTCTTATTTTTAAAAACATGGCTTAGGGGGAAGCAGGCATAGCACATAGATGGCTATAGGATGACATATTAAAAAATATAAATATATTTAGCATCACAACACAGCAGTGGCTATGGCTGAAATGAGTTCTAAATGCAAAAGCATGTTGTTTCTTTGTCCATTTATCAGCAGTGGTGGATATCAGGTTGCTTTGTTTTTTTATTCTAACTCAGGGGTGCAGAAGTCAGGCGGGATGGGGACCAGTTGCCTTCACCAGGCCCTGCCTGGGCCCAGTGACATCGGGGAGCATGGGCCCCACCCACTCTTCCTTGCTGGGAGAGGGACGGAGTTCTGTGTCTCCTCTGCACACCAACATGAGCACGTGGACAGTGTCTGAGAGAAGCAGCTGCTTTTCCCTGTGCAAACTGTGTCCCGGGCTTTGCGCAACGCATGCGGTCTTCATGAGGAGGAGGCACACGCTGTGCAAAGCCACTCAGGTGGCTCTGGGAAAAGAGGCTGTTCATCTAGCACCAGCTGAGGTGGGCATCTCCTCCATGCATTTTCATCATGCCCACTGAGCATGCCAAGATGCACATGAAAAATGACTCGGTTCATCCTCCCAGTGCAGATGGTACATAATGTGTGAACACTCGGGCTCAGTGCCTTGTCCACACGCCTCTCACTGTCCTCATCGGAAGACGTGAAAGATGTGTGAAAGAAGACTTGGGCTGCAGCTGGAAAGGCACCCGTACCTTCCAGCACTGTCTCAGTTCTTGGCTTTGTGCAGGGACTATCTTCCCCATGTGGCCAGTGCAAAGCTTCTGCTAGCCAGACTAGGCCCATCTCTGCCTTAATTTATCAAGAATGTAAACACAGTTGCCATACATGGAACGACGGTGTGGGTAGGAAAATAAATGTTGATCACTTCATAACAGAAGTATACACATGACCTTCTGAAAGGGGCCCTCATAGGACTATTAAGTCCATTAATGAACTGAGTGCACCGTTGTTTGGGATTTTGACTTAGAAAACCACAGAGCTGAGTTGTTGACTCAGTGTTGCTTGCATTGCTGGCACCTCATCTAACTTGTATAGTTATGCTTTTCTAGGCGCTTCAGGCTGAAGAATAGGCTAGCTAGTTTTGCTTTATCTTATTTCCACATAGGCATTGGCTGTCTGGAAAATGGGATGCTAGTCCACGTAAATTTCCCTGCAACCTTGCCTGGCGGCTGCCACAAAAGCATCCCTAGCCGAAGGAAGTCAAACATTCAAATCCCCAAGAAACAATTTCCTCTCCAACTATTTGTAGGAATGAGCCTTGAAGGTTATCACATGCCTTGTGTTGACTGTGCCAACATCACATCTTACTCATCCTACTGTGTAGGATTTCAGGCTCTGGAAAGAACACAACACAATGAAGCATTCCTTTAAAACATCTCCATACTGATTTAATCAGAACAGGTAATCATGCAATCATAGTAAAGACAAGCCTTGCTCCTAACAACATAAAGAGGATGCGGTGGCATTGCACCACAGCTCTGTCTAGTCAACTCACCGGCTTCCCACAGCGGTCAACCAGGTTCCTATGTGAAGCCCAGGGTTCGAAGGTCACTGGCCTGCCCTACTGTGCCTGCTCCAGAAAATTATATCACACAGTATATCTAAACATGGAGGTTCTGTATGGCTGTGATAGCAAAAAGCTACAAGTAGATCTTTCCTCCATGCCGGTGTCTCATTCCCCCTTTGCACCATCTAAGCCAATGGTCTGCCTCATCCTTAAATGTTGTACTGATGAATTCCATATTTTTAAATAATAAATATACAGTCTACTTTTCAAGTATATTGTTTTTGCCAGGGAAGTTCCATTTCCAAGTTTAGGGAATGATTAGGTAAGATTAGGATGCCAGTCTGGAGCAGCTGAATGCAAACTGATACTCACCAGGTGGATAGGACTACAACTCCCATAATCCCACAGCCTGCTATAGCCCAAGTGGTTTGAAGGATACTGCATTGCAGAAGCCTGCTCTGCAGAGTTTATAAACCTAATTTATTATTACATTTTCATACCGCCCAATAGCTTGAAGGCACTCTCATTTGATGACATGTACAAATTTACTTCAATTGACAACTGTATAAACATTAAGCATTGGTGTTTGTTTCCTTGTTTTTCTTTTTCCTCCCTGCTGCATCTTGTTTGTATTGATTTATTGACATTTTTATTGGGAACTTTTAAAGCTGAAGGGCTCAGTACAAATACATTAAATAAATTATATAAATAAAAAGAAGTGTGTTTCTTTTGTTTATCTCGAATCCACTACTAACTCCCTTCATCAGAATTCTAATGCAAGATTTAAAAATTACCTTATTCATGTCTTCAAGTCCTTATCATGCAAGCTTCACCAAAATGTCATGTTCCCCCCATGAAATGACTCAGTCAGATTCCAAGAGTCATTTATTTGATTTAAAATATTTATAGGCTGCCTTTTAGGACAAACATATTTGCAAAAAAGTATGCAAAAATCATGATTATGTATATCATATGCTACATATATCAAATATATATAAATCTAATAACCACATAATCACACATATATGCAAACAGAAATGTCGTAAATGACATGAATGAAATGAAACATCAAGCAACAGCAGACCAGAACTCTACTATTGAAAACAGCAGGAAAATGTAACATTTTCAGCCCTAGTTCATGCTAATAGAACCACAGTTATCTTTTTAAGATAATGCAAGCTGGTGTAGGATTATGTCCATAAAGCCTATGCAGAATTAGGTAGAAAGGGGTCTTATAAATCCTAGCATGGCTGGCTAGGTCATACTAGGAGTTGTGGAGCTTTTTTCTGTCTAGATGTGCATAATACTGTGCCTTTACATTCATCTAAAAACCTGCAACAAAGGGGCTGGAAATAGAAATCTACAGATGCTGGGCTTGAAAACACATTGCATCAAAATTAAATTTAGGGCTAGGTGCACTAAATTTAGGGTACCTCAAAGGAATTAATCAACTTGCAGCATGGATTTATGGAATATACCAGGCCTCATTTTTCAGTGCAGAGTTGCTCAAATCCCAGTCATTTAGAACTGCAGCAAAGCAACTACAGAACTAGAAACAGAGAGCTTCATTTATATAAGAATGAGAAGATTTCAGCGATGTGCTCAAATAATCAGAGGATATGGGACGTAATTTTGCAGACACGAGAAAGGAGAGGAGACAAGTTGGATCAAAAGGGGCTGAGGAGGCTGAGTTCTGATCTTGTGCATAGAAATCAACTTGGCCTGGGTTTGAGTTTTACATCTCCCACAGACTGTGTGGTTCAGGGCACATGATGATTTCTTAGCCTCAATCTCTAAGCTGTAAAATGGTGTAGCGGTAAAGGTAGACCAGACTGCAAATTTATAGAAGGAACAGCAGTCTTAGAAGAGACCAGAGGCAGTGTTAGAGGCTGGTTCACTAAGGCCAGAACCCTAAACTTTCCATTTGGAGCCTCGAACCACTGCGCACTTGAAGGCTTTATTTGGGCATGTGTCAAAATAAAGGTGCTGGGGCCCTTCTGATCTCTCTTCCATTTGGCTCCCTGGCTGAGCACATGTATGCTCCAATACTTCTGCCTGAGGTCTTTTCCTGAAAACAGATACCCTCCTGTCTGTACATCCTTTTTTACAAAGAGGAGTGTCCTTTAGGAAATAGGGTCTTTGAAATACAACACACACACATACACTTTACAGCATAGGGAAATTAGCATATGTCTTTTTTTGTCTTGTAGGCTTGAGACATGGGTATTTTTAGTACCTATCAGTGCCCCTGGTAGAGACCTGAGCAAAACGTGACTGGTCTGTAGGACAGAATGGTAGTTTCGTCAGGATAACACATTTATACTAGGAGTGCATGTGTACATCATACATTACACATCTGTTTCATATTATTTTTTGAAAGAAAGTGCATCCCATCCAGCAAATCAGTTCTTGGGTTAGACAGTATTCAGAAAACTAGTAGTTAAGCTGCAGTTCAATGTGCAGCAATTTGGGAAGAAAACCCATAAAATTTTATCGGACTTAGTTGTGAACAAACATGCAGAGAACTGGTTGGCATAATTGATTGCCTCATAAAGCAGAAAATCTTGATTTCCAACCTTGCTCTACCATGACTTCATGATTACCATTATCTCTAAAAGAATCTGCAAACACGGGGATAATGTCCAACTCTTAAGACTGAAAGCATTATTATAAATAACTATATAATGTATTCCACACTGGTAGCTACATATGCGAAGGAAAAAAAACTGCAGAGTCCAATAACACCTCTAGGTCTTAATATTTACATCGCACCTTATCCCTTAGTGAATCTATAAAATCTTAGGTGCTACAGGACTCAAACAGCATTATCTCTTTGTATATGCTCAGAGACATTTGCCTTCCTTCTTTCTTCATTGTTACTTCCCCTTGTAGCCCTAGGATTCCAGCCAGACTAGCCAAAGCTACTTTTTGGTTGAGGTCGTAAAACTCCGCCTAATACCAACTTTGTAATATATTATAACGCGAGACAATAAGTCACCGTAAACCGCCCCTTCCGCGACACCACGCAGGCAACGGGGCGTGGCTTCTGCACCAGTCTATTAGTCGTGCGCATGCGCAGGCGTGCAGCGCATGCGGAAGTTAGAGCATTCCATCCAGAAGAGGGGGGCGGGGCAAGGTGTAACTATAAAAGGGCCACGTGCAGCTCTTTTCGTTCTGTTTTAAATGGCGTCCAATGCTGCGTAAGTCATTATGTTGAATACGATGGCTGGAGGCGGGCACGGATGCTTCAGGGGGAAGGGTTCGGGTCATTTCTTTTGTCTTGTGACCGTTTCCCCTTTCTGGGTGCTTTTAGCAAAGGTGGGGTGTAGTGAAAATTGGACAGGAGCAACTTAAGGCGGTACAAGGACGGGAGAGATTCCCCTGCTGAGTTTCTGCCTGCTGTGCGAGACTGGCGGATATGGTGGATGGGAAACAAGCATTAATGTTTTAAATAGAATAATAAATAAATTAAAAGAATTTCAGTGAACTGGGTTGAATTGTAGAGGAAGCTATAATGTAAGAGGAAAGACTAGCCAGGAAAAAGGAAAGTGGTCATTAATTGAAAGGCTGCACCAGCAGTTTGTATTGGTGTGTGAAGAACAAGCCTCCCCTGGAATAAAAAAAAAAGTGGTAAAAGTGGCGACTAGTGTAGGCTGCGAGTGTTGATAAAATTAACTTCACATTGAAACAGGAGCGGACAGCTTGTGGCCTTCCAGATATCTTGGCCTATTATCTCAGAATCTGTCATCAGTGGCAGCGCTGACTAGTACTGAACTGAGGGGTAAGGCGAAATATTTGGAGGGCTGTAAATTGCCTACCCCTGAAAGAGTACTAAAAAAAAAAGTAACTTTTAGGAAGGGGGTTGTAGATGTAATATTTATTAGATTTATATTGCACCTTTTAAAAAGAACTCAAAGTGGCTTACTTTGATAAGGAAAGGGAGTGCATAAAGGAGAGGAGTTTAGGCTATAAGTAATATGAAGTGGGGGTTGTGGGTTAGGAAGAGGTGGGTCACGAGGTGGGTGATGTGGAAGCAGTGTTGTGCTTGTTCTAGGAATGGGAGAGGAGGTTGAACAGCCAAAAGTTGTGTGATCAGGGATAGAAGGGGTTAATCGGTGCCACTCTATGGGTTAAGGGGAGACTAGAGCAAGGAATGGCAAGTTGTGGGGGGGTGGAGAGGAGATTCGTTGTTGGGGAGGATCCTGAGCAATGATTCCAATGGCAGATTGATTCCTCACTTCTTCCCTTCCTGCAGCAGCACAGTTCACTTCCTGCCTCCCTCCCAAAATGCAGCATCCAGTGGAGTCCTCCAGTGGCCTTGTGAGCTTACTGTACCGGGTGAGTGTTGCCTCGCCCAGTTTTAAACTGCATTTTGGGAATGCGCTGGGCTTCCTGAATTTTCAGTATGGTCTGTTCAAAGGTGGCCATGCGATTTAAGGGCCGGAATGACCGATCTTCCCCTGCAATGTGGAGTTGGTGCCTTTTTAGGCTATGCACAATTCACATAGGGAGATAAGCTAAAGCTCATGGTCGTTTCTGCATAAATCATAATGTTTAGTGTGCAGTGAAGTACTGCCAGGTATAGATGTGACTCCTGCAGGGTTCCTCCAGTGATGTTCAGCACTGGGCACAGAATACTATGACGACGACAGTGCCTCCCATGACTTTGACATCACGGGGGACTGAGGAGTAGAATCCCTGCCCCTCCAGGAAAGAGGCTGGGGGCCGAGTTCTTGGTGCCACTTAGTCTCAAGTAGGGAGGAAGAAGGGAGAAGGTGACACTGTCCCTTCAACAGTCTTAAGTGGTTAAAAGGAAGGCTTCTCCACAACATACCCCAGCATCTCGCATGGGAGATTCTTAAGTGTGCATTAGTGCATATGTGACTTCATTATGCAAGCGCAGCTCTGACACGGGGCTCTTCCTGCTGAGTGAAGAACTAACGATTGGATAGTCCCACCTTCCCCCTTCCGATGAGAGACCTTTCTCATTTGCCTCCGGTGAGAACAGGTAAGCAGGTGACCACACAAGAGAGGGCCTTTTCTCCAGTGGCCCCCTACCTTTGGGGTAAGCTGCTATCAGTGGTCTGGCTTTTAAGAGGGCCCCGTAAAGTTTCCACTTCATTTTGGCCTTTCTGTGATACATTCACTGCTGCTGTTGTATAGAACCTTTGTTTTGTGTTAGTTTATGCACTGCCTTGGGAGGGCTTCTGCCCTGAAAGGCAGCCAAACATTCTTTTAACAATTATAATAGGACTCTGGGGGAAGAAGACAGAAATCTCTCTCCAGCCCCTTCTGCCACACCACCCAGGCATATGGCATAGTTTTAATCTGGGGAGTAAAACAGACAGCAGTCCGGCTAATTTCTAATGCCTTACCTAGCTCCTCTTTTTCTTGACAGGTGACTCCAGCCCCAGTGTTGTACCCAGGTTGAACATCGGCCCATCCTAGTAAACAGATACTTTTGAGGCATCTCCCATTTGAATGAGGTGAGTGGAGCTATTGGGTGTTCCCTTGCTAAGAGGCAAGGGGGCAGTCAAAGAAAACCCACCAAGTCTTGGGACAGCAAAGTCTAGGAATGGGAAAATAGGTACCCCAATGATGTCAGCACTGGGCTCCGAGTACTGTGATGATGTTGGTGCCTTCTGGGGACTTGACACTCCAGGAGACTGAGGGGTTTTGTGGCCAGGAAGGCTGTGTATTGTACATGTTTCAAGGGTGAGACACAGCCATGGACTTCCAACATTGAGATAGAGTTGACAGGAGTACCAGGCAGCAGTCTTCATTATCTCTGTTTTAGCAGTGAATCTTGCACAACTTCCAAGTTGTTCCTATTAAAATTGGAGCGGCCACTATGCTTAAATACAGGAGCTGCATCTATTGCACTGCCCAGAAACCTTATTTTAAAAGAAAAGCAAGTTAGACATGGCAATTTGGAAAATAGGTTGAGGTTTTCTTGCTGAAATGAGGCTCTTCTTCACAGTGGTTTAAATACATCATAATATATTGTCCTGTGAATAGTCATGAATAAACTTTGGTTGATTCCACTCACCCACTTAACTAGCTGTTGTTTGGCTCACAGTTTGCACCCTCTCAACTGTTTTCCCCTGGCTGGCGATCAAACACGCATTGATGAAAGTGGATGTGTATCTGTAACTGTGAATGGAAAAGCAAGTGGATGTTAAGTAGAATGCGAGCCAGCAGTGGAAAGGTTAAACCTGCACATCTGCGAAAACAAGCATGTTCTGACACAAGTGTTCATGGACTAGCATCCCCTTCATTAGATGTATCTAAGGCAGTGGACACCCTTTCCTAATTAAGTGTGTTTGGGCTTGAGTGTATCTGTCCTTGACTCAATCCGTAATACATTTCTGGGAGGTAGGAGGATGCTGTCCCCCTCTGCCCATAGTGTCCAAAGGGGGCCTCTGCATGAAGCCTGGTGTGTGTAAAGGCAGGTGACAAGCTATGAAAGCAAAACCTGCAGGCCAGTCTAACTTGGTGTGGGCTAGTGCTGGAGTTCTCCATCCTGTAGCTCCCTGCAGTTGTTGGATGCCTGTTGAAAAGTGATGTCCAAATAACAGAGCTGAGGTTAAGGCTAAGTGTCTTAAACGGGTACGTAGAGGGACAAAGCAACAATGGCCATGTTGACTGGGAATGCACTAGGAAAAACACCTGGGCAGGAGGAATAACTTTGCCTATTTAACCAACCAGATTGCTTCTTCCCTACAGATGCTTTCACCTGAGGCCCATCCTTAGTGTCCTTGCTGAAGAAAAGGATGCAGACTTGTTTCATGTTAGAGCTCACAGGTACAATGCTATTTTGGGGTACAGGTGAGGATATATGGGGCTGAAGTGACCGCAGCAATGGATGATGAAGTGTTATGTCACAGTTGTGTGAAAGTAGGGGGCAGGCTTTGTTAAGAAGGAAATTGCTATCATATTGTGGGGATAAGATGGAGAAGGAGAATGATGTAAGCTGCCTTGAGCCCTTTGTTGGAAAAAGGCAGGATATAAATCGGAAAATAAATATTCTGTACTCTTGTGAAAATGTTCATCAATGTATTCTGTTTAAGTTCCTATGATTATAAGCTACCTTGAAGCCTTTTTTGCTATAAAAGCATGGCACAAATCAAATAGATGGAACAAAACTAAACAGATAATGTTCTGTAGAAAGCGAGAGAACAATTGCATTTTGCAATATATACTTTGCAGCTGAGCTGTGCTTCAGAAAAGAAATATGGACTTTTAAATTAGCACCAGGGATGGCCTGCCCTCAGGAGTATGTGCTGACTTTTCCAGTGCCCTGGGATTGGATCCTGAAGGTCATAAGCAAAAACATGTTTGGTGAGAAGATGTAGGGAGAGAGAAACACATTCTGAATAAATTCCTATAACTGCATTGCTTTGTATTGGATTGGGGCAACAGGGCCATCAATGTGTGATTGGCAACTGTACAGTAGAGAACCTTCATATCTCTGTGCTCTGATGCTAATATAGTCTCTGCATTTCTTCCTATTCAGTCTCAGCCAAGCTTGACTGACCATCGCAAGAGAGGATGTGCACACAGAAAAATGGGCTGCTTTCACTCGGATTGACATCAGTTTCTGCTGGATTGGAGGCAAAGTTTCCTTGCACCTGAGTTTTTGAAGCTTTTGCTATCTTCTGTTACCAATAATGGGAACATCAGTGCATGCAATTTGTAGCCATGGCAGCTTCCTTCTAAGAGGGATGTCGCTTGCCTTATTCCAGACAAATAAATATGGGGGAGCTGGAAATAACGGTATTAGATGCTAGTTTCCGCTCAATTTGAGCAGTAGTTAGTGTTGAACTGGGACTTGAGAGATCTCAGCCCTTGCACAGTGTTGAGTTATTTTTAGTTCTTAGATAGGCTTTAAGTGTTAATATATTTTGAATGGTATGCATCTGTATTGTATTGTATGTACTTAGGTATTTTTTTTCTGGCAAAAGGGGTGCGGGGTAAAAAAAAAAAAAAAAGATCTCAGCCCTGAAGATTGCTGGGTGACTGGGCAGCCACAGGACTCAACCTAACCTACCTCACAGGGTTGTTGTAAGGATAAAATGGAGAAGAGGATCATGTAAGTTGGCTTAGGCTTCTTGGAGGAGGATATAATTTTAACAAATGAGTGCAGAACCAATTACAGTAGTAGCATAGGCTGTCAGTGACTTTTGTACCCCTTTCAGTGGGAGCGGGCAAGTGGGGATTGCACATCTTCTGGACGGGAATAATAATACTCTGTTCGATATTTTAAATAAAAGGCTACAGTAAGAACGTGTGTGTGTGTGTGGCATAATTCTACTTCTGAGAGAAAGACATATTTTTAATATGGAAGTAGACAGTTCAGGATTAATATCTTGTAGAAGCAGATTTACAGTACAGTGTAGTCATGAGGTCTTAAGAGTATCTGTACTACAGCCTTCTTGTGCAATGATTGCTAATGCATCTCCCTGCAAATACATTAAAAACTGGTGGTGTAAGACCCTTCCACCTCAACACTGTAATCCCCTTTACCATGGCTTCTAAACCGGTGCTGGGTTCTGTCCACCCACTTCTAAGCCTCTCGTCTGCCAGGAGGGGGACTAGAAAGGTGACTGTGAGCCCCACTGCAAAGCCTTTTCACCAGAGCAGATTTCCTTCCTTGTACAAAAAAGCACACAGCCCTCTAGGAGTTGTGGATGCATAAAAACTGCACTGCCACCTCAGAGCCAGAAGCGCATGCAGTGCGGTGCTGCTGGTTTTGAGCAGTGGCTGGCCGGCTGCCTCTCGAGTCCCACAAGCATAGCTTGCAGGTGACAAATGCAGTGTTTAGTTCACCTATCTGTTGTTCCAGGTGGGCTATTCCATTTTTCCAGTCCCTTTCCTACTAATTCCCTACACTGAATTTGCCTCCTGTTAGTGCTGCTGCTGCTATTTTCCAGTGAGTTTTCTACTGTGAGCTCCAGAGGATGGAGTCCAAACCAGCACCAGCCGGCTGCAGTGCGCTAGCTGATTTTCTCAGTGCTCCAAGGCTGTTGTCTGTCCTTTATGTCCAGCATGGGGATGGGGCTGTTGCCATTAGTCCCTCCTCTGGTCACCTCCTCCAGTACAAGATTCCCATGCCGACGAAGGCCACGCTCAGCAGGCCTACTGACACAGCCAGTGCCGTTACGGTGTGCCCTGCGAACAGAACGGAAGGGCAGGAGTGAGCCGAACACACACAGTTGTTGTGACCCGGGGAAGTGGGGAGAGGGGACGGTGTCTTACCTGTGCCTCTCTGAGGGTGTTGACACTCGGCATCCCAGTCCTGTGGCACAACTTTAGTGGTGAGGTTAACGAAGAGCGGTAAAGGACAAGGTGTGGGGCAGCCGGGCAAGAGGAGCGTGTGGGGCTGCTGGTTGCTTCTGTTCCGGTAGAACATGCCTATGCTGAATGTGCTGGAATGAGCAGAGAAGGGAGAGTTGAGTGACCTTTACCTCTTTCCAGCCCCGTAGAGCCAAACAAGTGCGTGGTCCTTTCCTCTGCAGTCCCAGAACCTTTAGGTACCAGCTCCACAGCCACTCCATAATGATGCTGGGTGCTGTGCCAGCAGCTAGATGTGCTGATGAGTCACTCTTGAGAAAGGCAGCCAAATACACTGCAAGGATACTGGTGGCAGGTAGAGAATGAGCGATTGGTGCACTGTCTGGCCTGGGAAGAAAATGGTGCGTTTAGCTTTTGAGAAAATAGACTATAAATTGGGGAGACTGGGCTAGCTAAGCCACAAAATTGTGAGACCTATATAAAATCTGTCCTAAGAGCAAACATGCTGCTTAAAATTCCTTAGTCTGCAAAAAGGTGCACTACATGCAATTCATTCTATTTCTGCTGGTCCTCTAAAGGCACAGAGTTAAACAGCACCTTGAAACGTGACTCGAGATATTACCAGCAGCAGGCAGAAGGTAGATCTGGTTCTCTAGGTACTCCTGATTTGATTTGCAATAGAATGACAAGCATATAATTCAATTATTTAATTACCAGGGATATGACTAACCCCCCCCCCACCAAAAAACAAATTGCAGAAGTGAAGCAAGTTTGATATCCAGGAATGGATTTTTGTATGGAAATGTACAAAATGGCTTATGAGCACCATTCTCTTCTGATACTCAGATAACTGGGCTCAGAATCCTTTAATTGCAAGTAGGTATATTTTGCATAACCTAGTTGGTGGATCTTGAGACTTCAGTTTAAATAAGATCCTGGGAGTGTAAAATGTCTACCTCTTTTGTGCACACTTCCAAGCCTTGAAGGAATCCTTTTTGGTTTGCAAAATCCATAAATGCAAACAAGCAATGATCAGGATGCTGAATCATGTTTTCATACTTCTGTGGTACAACTGCAACATCTTTGTGGCTTCCCTGTGTTTGTGTGGGGCAGGTTGATACTCAGAGGACAAGTCCAGTCTGCAGCAAAGCAAAAGACACCCTTCACCCCAAATTTAACTAAACATACTTATTACTTTCCTGGTAGAATTCAAATCCATGGCAGGCAGCATACGGTGGCAGACGGCCATTGTAAACTCCTAGGGCTCCTTGCAGTGCAATTAAGGTGCTGTCATGCTAGAGAGAGTGGAAACGACTTAGCCAAGCCACAGCTGTGCATATTAAATCATACTATAGCATCACCCTTCCCTCACAAAGCAGGTTCGTTGACTATCCTGAGGGTTTAACAATGTTTGGTATGTTGAGTTGTGCTTACTGGTTCTGTCTGGGTAAAACTTAAGGGCAGGAGTCCAGGACACCTTCAGCTGGCTTTACCACACCTTAACTTCCCCATAAGACCTATCTAAGTGTACTCCTGATTATACCCTTGTTCTGCAGATCCCAACACAGCAGTAGGGCAGCCATGAAGCCCTGGCTCCTTCAACCATCTTTTAAGAAAAGTCTTAAAGACTAAGAGCAGACTTTCTCTTCCTTTCAAACCTTGCTCTCTTTCTGTCCCTCTTACCCTGCTATTCCCTGCTTCCTCCCAATTCTAGCACTGCTGTTAACCCTCACCACCTCTTCGGTGCCCTTTGACTTGCCCAATTGCAGTGGGAGCCATTTAGCAGTTTAGCACGCACAGCAAATATACCTGTAGGTCCAAAAAGGCTGTGGACCCCCCATTCCAGGTCATGCTGGGTCGATTGTTTCCCTTCCAATTGGTACTTTTCCACAGAAGACAATTTAAGAAAACATTCTCCTGCTTTCCTTTATGCTGCAAATACAGTCTAACATTTGCAACTTGGGTTTATAACTCTGGTATAGTGAAATAATTTTAGCACTTTCTAAAACTAAGGTTTCTTGCAGGGAAGCAGCTAAAGTTCTCGGGACTGATGGGAAGCTGTTATGTCCCATCCAAAGCAGGTAGATCCCTAGACATTATGGCCACCAACTTCTTCCCATATGGATCCTTCATGGCACATAGGGCTACCAATGGCTATCCATCAAGATGGCTGCGGATTTGTCACTGCATGAACAGAATTCTGCACTACACAGGCACTGAGTCTGATCCCACAGGGCTGCTCTGAAGGCAACTTTACCGGAAAAGGACTTACAGCGGAATACATGATCATCTTCAGGGGAAGATCTCGGCACACAACTTTGGAGAAGTTGCTCAGGATAGCACCAAGCAGCAACCCTGCGGAGACACAGAGCGGTGATGCAGAAGCAGGATGAGAAACACATTCATCGGAAACGCATTACTGACAGACACAAAAGGAAACACTCTTAAGAGGACAAGTGCAGGTGAGGGGAGTGCAGGATCACATCAGAAAGAAAAGCTGTAGCCGTGAAAGAGAAAACTGGTACGTGCTGGCATTTTATTTATATATTTATAGACATACACCATTCGGTGAGCACGACACACTCAGAACAGTATACAGAATAGAATTTAGGATCCCAAGGCTCGCTCTTGTAACTTGTAAGTTAAGTATCAGCTCTTGCCACATGGAGGAGCTCTGAAACAACCAAACCCCATCAGCAATGACAAGGCATAATATCTTTCTTCTTTTTTGCATCTAAGAGGAACATGGGTATATCTCCTTATCGCCAGGGTTGATTAAGTTTTGTTTCCTTTTTCTGGATCAAGAAAGAAATACCACCTCCAAAGCCTCTTTATTGTGGCTTCTGGAATTCTTACTAAATTTGTCTAGTCATTTGATCTATCTGTGTAATTCTCACCTTGAATACTGTATCCAGTATTTTAATGTTAAGGACTGATAAATTAGGCGTTCAGAGAAGGGCAATAAAGATTATTAGGTTAAAAAGCAAATCTTAGGAGGAAAGGTTGGAGGGACCAGATAAGTTTAGCCCTGAAAAGAGAAGACGGAACAAGGGTATAATGGGAGTTTTCGAGTGTTTAAAGGGTTACATAAAAGAGGGTTGCAATTTGTTCTGCCATCCAAGGCTGTAGGAAAGGCATGAATGAAGAGCGATGGAATAAAGTTAAGGAAGGCAGATTTCTAGCAGTTGAACCACAGGAAAAAATTATTAATGGTCAGAGCAATCAGACAAGGGGACCAAATACCTAGGGTGAGATGGCGGACCCTCCACTGATGCAGGTATTCAAGCAAAGACTGGCCAGTGATGCTTTCAATTGGATTTTTGCACTGAGTTAAGTGTCTGATGACCTAACTGTCCCCTTCTAACTCTTATGGTACTATAGTAATCATCGGACTTAATGGCTAAGATTTCTTTTTTTCTTTGTAAAAGGTTTATCTTGCCCTTTTCCCAAAGAGCGCAGGGCAGCATCTCCACAATTTTATGGGCTAGCTCTGGCTTGAGAGATGGGTGACTGACCTAGGGTGACCCAATGTGGGGATTTGAAGCCGAATCTTCCCAGTTTAAAGCCAACACCCTTTATGGACCCATTTGGGAACTGCTGTGGGAACTGTCACAAAATGGCTCCTATGGAGGATGTGGCTAGTCAAATAATGGCGACCGGGGGCGGGGCAAAGTCAAGAGGGAGCAAAGTTAGAAGCTGGGATGGGGAAATGGAAAGAGTTCACCTGTCCAATCTCCCATCAACATACATCTTTCCTTGTTGTGTGCTTGTGCTCTCTCTGCTTATCGCTATTCCCAGCCTCTAACCCACTGTTTCTCTCCATCCAATTCCTTTCCTCAGTACTTCTTGTCCACCGGTCACTTTATTATACTGCTTCTTTCAACTCCCAACTTTAGCCTTACTGTTTTGCACCCACTGCTAGCCTTATTCTTCTGTGCTCTCTCCCTGTTTGCCTTGCTTTCCCATCCTGCCCAGGAATAAGAGAGAGAACCTAACACCCGAATGTTTTTTCAAATTTTTATTAAACCTTTTTGAAGGCGGAGGGAGTGAAGCAGAGTGCTCCAAAGGGGAGAGCTCTCTTAGTGGCTAAACCATAACAGCTCACTAGCAAGGAAGCACGCTTTGCTCTTTGGATCTTTATGTTCACATGACCTTGCGTTTATTCGGTACACAGTCTTACAATGTTTATTCTTCAGTTGTGAAGGCCTAGGATTAAAAACAATGAACATGTTAAAGGGTACCTCCAGCGAATCTGGCCTTCTCCTGGCTGGCATGCATCCCCACATGGGCTTCAATATTAAATGCTTCTATTTCTGAAAGCGTATTCAAGACCCGTGGTGTGGCCCAGGCAGGCAAGGCCAGGTTGTGTTTTTTCTACAAAGTGAGAAAAGGTTATGATGAAAGGTTATTCGTTGCTGAAAAGGGGCTGTCAAGGAGGGCTGTAATGAGATGCAGCATCTCTACCTGGCAGAAAAGGGAGTCATACACCTTCCAAAGGCCCCTCGGTGTCAGCTGCTCAGGTTTAAGCCCTGTGTAATTAGCCATCTCTGATACAAAGCCCTGTTAGCAAGGGAAGCATAAAGAATACACACTTCAGATTGTTTAACTAGCTTCCGTATCCTACATACTTACTTGTATCGAGTGGCACATTAGGCCCAAATATCGTCAGTGAAGAATGGGGGTTTCCCCAAACTCATTTCTGCCAGGGCCGGCCCCACTATTAGGCAGAATAAAACCGTTGCCTTAGACAGCAGATGCTGGGAAGTAGCATCTTGGGACACAGGAGGGAGCTGTGTCCCATGAGGCTTACTCTGCACCTCCAGAGTTAACTTGCTGCTTTCCGGTGCAGTGAAGGCTGCTGACCCACCATATGGTTTGCAGCCAGATTCCTCTGCCAGTCCTGTTGGCTGTTGTGCATGCAATGGGAAGGAGTGCCACCACGTCTCTGTCTCAGGCCACAGAATATCGGGTTGGCCTTGCTTCGGCATAGCAGCAAAGCCATGCTGTATCTGTAACATTTCTAAATGTACAAGCCTAGGTGCCTTTAGACAGGGAAAAAGCGGCGTAATTCCCAGCGTGCCTGGCTGGGGAATGCTAGGAGTTGTAGGGCTTTTTTCCTGTGCACTCACGCATAAGATTTCACCTGCAATGCTTCTTGCTAGGGTGAGGGGCAAGTGGGTCACGTATGAGCACCTAAGTCAAGGTTGGCAGCCGAGGGGGATCAGTAGTGAAAGCTGCTACAGCATTTGACTCATCTGACTTGGGAAGCCGTTCGTTCGTTCGTTCGTTCGTTCGTTTGTTCATTCATTCATATGCCACCTACCACCATCGTCTCAAAGAAGCCCAGAATAAAGATAAAACAGATACGAAATAAAAATAACATGTAATTATCAAAATTTTGAACCTAACAATAATAATCAATCAACGCAGCAGTGCAGGGGAGGGCAAAATCAATTACTAAAAAGATATTAAAAAGAAATATTTTTGTACAAAGAGATGGTGCCAGGCAAGCGTCCCGGGGGAGGCTATTCCAGAGGCAGGGAGCAGCCCCCAAGAAGGCCTTTCACCTATTTGCCGTGCCCCTCACCTCTTCGCAGGATGGCGCTCACAGAAGGGCCGCCTGGCCTGATCTTAAGGGATGGGCAGGTTTGTACAGGCAAGAAGAGCTGTAACTGCAACATGGGAATGTTTTTTCGGCAGCAAGTACACCGTGCGAGATCGTACCATGCTGTTTGGCCTCAAAGGTAGCCTGTGGAGGCTCTTCTCAAAGTCTGTCTGAGGTGAGATACATGCCAATCAGAGACAGCCCGTTTGGCATTCCAGGTGTAAAATGTCATCCTTAATGAAGCTCACCTGGCATGAAAACTTCTTATCTCAGGTTCAAGGACAGTATTCGGGGCTGGGTAAGGCTAGTGCTCCAAATCATTCATCTGGGGGCAAAGTCTCTCGGAGACTGTCTGTCTCACGATCCTGCACCCAGTGGGCATTTGCTAAAATAAAGGTGCAAAGGATGCCCCGTTCCATCTTCTCTTTCTGGATTAGCTGGTGTTTTGGCCACATGCGTGCTTCACCTCCTCCCAGCCTTTCTGCCTGACCTTTTTCTGGTACAGATGCCTTTCTGTCTACTGTCCTTCCATCCTTCTTACAAATATAGGTGTCCTTAGGAGACAGACTCTTTTAAAGACATACCAGAGAGACGTTTCAGAGCGTATGTGAATTAGCATATACAAATGTGTGCTTTTCAGTACCTAGCACTGCCCAAGCTCAGGCTTCAACCCTATACACCCTTACAGTGGGAGTAAGACTCACTGAAGCCAGCAAAACTTAATTTCTGCCGGCTTGAGGTTGCACTGTCAAGCCATCTGCATTTTACTGTTTTATCTTCTGCCTGCTGTTGCCGCTAATGTCTTGTATTTTTACCAGGTTGTTCCAGATTCAATTTTAGTAAGCTACCTGGAATCTGCCTGGATGAAAGGCAACCTATAAATACTTTAAAGGAATGCTCATAATCCTGCAATCTGACTTTAGACAGGGCCTCTTCAAAGTCTTCAAATACACACAACGAGAAAAAGAAGGCAATCACTTATCTTCTGCATTTACCAGGGACAGATAAAACTCAACCTCAGCACAAGTGTTTGGGTTGGATACGAGCGGGGAGGAATTTAATTTATTTGGGATGATGGGATGATGGAATAGGGTATATAGGCACCGGACATCTTTAGGAACATGCTGATAAACAAATGGTCTGATTAGTTTGGATAGATTCATAGATGAGCTCTGAAGTTTTGAAGACGGATGAGCCTGCATTTCTGGAAATGAACTGTGGCCTTAGAAATCTTTCCCTTTTCTTTCCCCACTTACCCTCCTCCTTCACTCCTACCTTCCAAGCTTCCATTTTAGCTTGATAGCTTGGCAAATTAATGGTCTCTTTCATCAACTGCTGGTATCGTGGGCAGGTCCGAGTTGGTGGCTTCAGGAGCTGTGTGAGAAAGACAGGAAGAATGGATGTCTGACTGTTGGGGAAAATGGGCCCCTTGCTGCTCTCCAAATTGAGAAACTTATGGGGGGGCATGTGTCCTGCTTTACTTTCTATGAAGTCTGTCAGAGAACAGTCCTCTGCCTGAAGGTGTCCCCTTTTTGAAGGCCTGTCTAATTAAGAAAGGGGCCTTGAAGTCCCTGGCATCAGGTTGTACACACACTTAAATCGCATGAGAATCATTTTCCACCCTGAGCTGCAATATATTGTGTTTGCTGAACACTTATTCAGCATGGCTCATCTTACGTTTGGTCTGGCTCCAATATGATGTAAACAACCTAATCTAAAGATCACATGTGTGACCACAGATGATGAACAGCCTTGCAAATGGGAAAAACCCTCTCAAGAATTTTTGGTTTCCATGCACTTACCTTGTCATACCTAACGGGCACTGAGTGGATGGGGACAGGTCTCCAGCCTATCTCTGGATCCGAGTCTGGATACAGCCCCATCAGGTTGGCTTGTGCACTCATGATGGTGCGATCGTAATCAGTGCTGCGTACGTATATCTGAAATAGGCATAAGTAGGTAATGTCTCATTGTGTGTTGGTCTTGACCACAGGCACAAACGCAGTCCCTCTTGCAGTCCTAGGCCCAGGTCCCTGGCCCCAAAGGGAACTTTGGGGAAGATGGAACCGGAAACGGGCCCAGGAGGAGCACAGGCTTATACATAGGTATGTAAAGGCAGAAAAGTCAAGGCTGGGGAAGATTTAAGAAGATGAGCAAAGCTGTGCTGGATCGGACCAAGCATCCGTCTAGTCCAGCACTCCGTGCACCAGTGGCAGATGGCCACAGGATCTCTTGGGCAGGATGGGTGCAAGACTGCCGCTTGCTGAAGCTCTTCTGCAACTCGTGGCTCTGGGTGAGGTCAGGAGGCTGGAGCACAGAGAGGAAGGAGGAGAAAGAAAACCATACTCTTCCTTAAGATAACTAAAGTGGTAGCGGGTGAGCATTACTCAGCCTGTGCCAAGCTCCTTGAAGGGATACAGACCTGAAACAGCACTGTACTCCATTCTGGAACGGCTTCCCTACCTCCAGTGCTCAGAAATATGTTGTTTCTGAGCATGGAAGAAGAGCTTTTATCCTGATGTTAAAACCGCCTGTGATCAGCTTGCAGGACAGAGCTGTACTGGTTGGCTCCTGTTCTCCAATGAATAAAATGCTCAGAGGAAGCCCGGTGGCTAACTAATAGCACTGCAACAGAGCAGTGCTGTAGAAAGAGGATGCTGGCACTCCAGTACGTAGCATGGGAAGGGGATGCCATCTTGCACTTCACTGAGAGCAGCAAGATGTCTTCAGTCGGCCCTGCTACTGGAGCAGCTTTCTCTTATAGCAGTCTAGCTATGTATCTTTCTTTATTACCTTTATAGCCCGGCTTTTTCTTGCAAAGAACTAGAAGCTTACATTATTCTCTTCCTGCTCTCAAATTTATCCCCACAACAACAACCCTGTGAGGTAGGTCAGGTCAGATTCTGTGCCCCCGCTTTTTGATGGAATATAAGCTTTGGAATATCTGCTGCAAGTAACTTTCCCTAGGTCCTACTCCAATGTCATTTGCTCAGTGGGTGAAGAGGGTTCCCCCTGCCCAGTCTTTTTACTCCGTTTTTATTCTTTGCGGATGTTCTTTTCTTACATATAAAAGCACTGAGTAGATTTACAGTTATTATGACTTTAGATGCACAATTTTGGTTCCTTATTTTTGCATGCTTTATATTTTAATTATATTATGCTATATATTTTAAAGATTATTTTCATATTGTTTACTTATCTTGTGATTGTGAGCCACCCAGAGGTGCTATGACACAGTTGGGCAGCATAGAAATGTTTTAAATAAATAAATATATCAAGATTTCTTGGGAGTTGATGACATGGGATACCAATGTTGCTAAATAAGCAAATATTTACCTCCTGTGGTTTATAGGAGGCACTCAAAAATCCAGCATATCTTTCTCTGAGGAACTGGCCCAGCTCTTTCTGTTGCAAAATACCTACCTGCAGCAGAGGAAAAGAGAAAAGCCAGAAACAACAAAGTTCATAATTATAATCCTCCCCCACTTCTTCTGCCTCTCTACAAATGCAGGGCTTACCCAAATTAAGAGTGGAACAACTACTTCACACACAGATTGTGGCAATGCAAACAAACCTGGCCTTACCCCAGTAAGCTGTTGGAAACCTTGTGGCCAGGGGCCTTCCTTGTGAGGATCGGTGGGGTAGGTGCCCAGGGGGGATCGGTCACCATGGCGATACACCTGAGAAAGAAGGGTGTAGGTGTAGTGGCAATCCAAAGAGCATTTCCCACTCGATGGGAGTACAAAGGGTCGGCAATCTTTCTAGACCTAAGACTGGCTACTCCCTTTAATCCCAGCCATAAAATCTACTGTAAATTCCTGGGACTTAGTGTGGGACCATATATAAAAGCTTTAAATTAAATAAAGAAACTGATTGTTCCTATTGTTTTCCCTTTTTTATCTCTGTGTTCATCTTCACTTTCCACTCATGCTCTCCTTTCCTCCTGATACACTGGGTGTTTGATGGTGGAGTAGCTTGCCTGCCTTTACTGGTTTTTGGGGATGGGTGGTAAGAAAAAAAAGATGGGAAAACACAAGAGGACTGTGAATGTAATCTGACAACTTTTGGAGGCCTCATAAAATTCCCTGTTTTGAGGCAGGGCAATTGCATAATACATGCCTATTGTTGTTCTCTCTCTCATAGGCTTTCTTGTTTCTCCTTGCGCTGATGGATGTCCGTGGCATTGCTGGAGAATCAAGGTGCAAGCCAGAAACAAGATCTTTTTTTTTTTTTTTAAGGTTTCTCCAAACCATGTTGAACATATTGTTCTTCATGAAGGCTATTACAAGTTTTTTAAAAAAAGATTTCTCCAGGTATCAATCATCAATCTACCTCTCAGCCTTTCAGCATGTCTATCTTATTACTTCAATTGATGTAAAACCTTTTAAACCATTAAAATTGATGTTAATTATTCCTCTTTATATGTGATGCATTATAAAAGGGCCATCTCTCTCACTCTCTCACACACACACACACACACACACTTCTCAAAATATGCATTAAGCTTATTTCTTAAATGGTTCCTTTAAAACATTTTTTTCTAGTCAGGGGTATACAGAAGATAGTGACATTATTACACAGTCCTACTTGTCAAACCTATACATTGAAAAATCCATAAATGTGTGTGAAATGTGTCTGTGAACAGAACACACAGAGAAACATTGTGCCCCCTCGAAAGATCCCTAGTAGTACAGACCGGACTTCTTTTTGCCCAGTTCACCATAATGAGGACCAGGTTATTCAAACACTTTGGTCCCCACCTCTGCCTGCTTAACGTGGCAAAATCCACACCCTTCCCGAAGCATATGAGGACCCCCAGCTCCCAGTCCTTGGCTCCCAGGCTCATCCTCTTCCCTAGGGAGCCCACACATCCAAGCCCCTCCTTGGCACCATCCCATTCTGGGTACCAGCGTAACGAAGCGCAGCGTCTGTCCGTGGACCAGGACAACAGGCAGAACATCCTGGAGGAAAATCATCAAAGGTGTCAGAGTCACACAGCGACTCATAGCGTTGCATAGATCCCACCACCTGGACACCGCTGTTTTCGGCAAGGGAGGGCAAATGCTTCAATTTTATAGGCCCATCCTCGTACCTTGTCTTTATGCCTCCTTTTCTGCTGACGGGTTCGATCTCACCGGCGCCACCACAGTGTCCGCACGGTGGAGGGGGTGTCGGTTCAGAAGGCATAATTTGCTATCCCCAAGCTCATAGCTGTTGGCCATCCTTAAAACACATTCTTGAGTGGTGGAGAATTACTCCCCATGATTACAGGTCTTACGTTTTGCCCATTTGATTTGCGGAGGAAAGTCTGAACATGTGGTAACAGGTTGCTATGCTTGCTTTCTGGAATATAAAACAGAAGGATGAGACTTTATTTAACAGGTAGGGAGAAGGATGTGAAGAAGCAAAAGGGATGCTCAGAATAATTAGCACTTTAATGCAAGGGTTGGGGGCATGTGTGTCTCTTCAGATACTGTTGGACTACAACTGCTATCAGCCCTAGCTGGCAGAGGTAATGATGAAGGATGATGGGACAGCAACATCTCAAGGACAACACGTTCCTGCTTGAATACATGTCCCTGAACAGTCACATAGCAGGGAGTGGAGTTCAAAAGTTACATTTGAACAACTGGAGATCATGTTCAATGTCTGTCTCTGGCTATGCAATCTGGAACTCCAAGTAGAAGTAAGTCTCCTGAGAGAGAGTGTGGCATAGTGGTTTGAGTTAGACTGGAGCTTGGGAGATCCAGATGGTAGACTCTGCCACGAAGCTCACTGGGCAACTTTGGGCCAGACTCTTGGGTCTGACCTACCTCACAGGGTTGTTGTGAGGAGAAAATGGAGAGAAAGGGGACCATGCAAACCATCTTGGGTTCTTCACAGGGGGAAGACGGTGGGATGTAAATAAGTAATAGCTGAGGATGGTGCAGCTGCTGAATGGTAACTGGGCTGGAAGGATAAGACTTCTGCCAGCATTCGCCTTCCCCACCTTCTCTCGGGACAGCTCAAAATTTATTTTTTCCATCTCTGCCCTTCTCTCTCTTTCTTCTCCATCCACACCAACCTTCCACCAACCTGGCAACATCCACATGTGTCGGAGTACAACGCCCCACCTCTGCAACCGGCACGGCCATGGGTCTGGTCTAAAGGCAAAGAACCAGCAGGGACCCTGACGTGGCCTCCCCACACTTAGCCCCTGTAGGGCAGGTGGAGCAAGGCACACAGGTAATCCGGAGGTGTACTGTTAGATCATTGCCATTTAAACCACACGGATGATGCTCATGTTCATACATACAAAGTCACATAAGCCTATTTAAGGTAAATCTGTGTGCTCTCCTGTGGTGATGTCCTGAGAAGTCCCATATAAGTCCTGCAGGCCCCATAAATAAGCCTAGCTGAGACTCCAGAGAGGGTCTTTTTTTTTTTTAATTTCATTTATATCCTGTCCTTTCCGATGAAAGGCTCAGGACTGCTTTTCAATAGCTGTACCTTAGCTTTGAAAGTCCCTTCTGTGAAAGGACTATCTCCAGCCCTCGTTAATAATCTTCCCCAAATTGGTATACAGCCCTTCTCATTAGAAACACAGAAACAGAGTGAGTCAGAAGGGGCCTCCCGGGCCATCTAGTCTGACCTCCGGCACCAGCCAGCTCCACTCATGACATGCCCACCATGTGCATGTCCAGCCTATCCCTGAACACCTGCACCGATGGGGCCTCAACGACCTCTCGTGGAAGTCCATTCATAGAAACATAGAAACAGAGCGAGTCAGAAGGGGCCTTAAATTAGGAAGGTATTTAATGTATAATCAGCTGCTTTTAAATCTCTTTCTCTCCCTTAATATCTGAAAAATCTTTATTGTTGCTGAACTTTTAATCTCTGCTGATATTTCTGGGTTTTGATTTAATTTGTAAAGGGTATTTTTAATGGTGAATTGTTTGATGCCTTGGACTCTGAAGAATGAAGATGGAAAATACAAGTTTTACATAAAAATAAATAGAAATAAATTACCATCTAAAGTGGGGGGACCAGCAAGACCATTTATTTATTTAAAGCTTTTCTATCCCATCCTATTACAAAAAGTCTCATTTGAAGTAACTGAAGTAGTGCCCACTGCTACCTAACAAGGGTCTTGTAAAAGCATCAGCTCCAGAGTCTAAAATTATATACTGGCATATATTAAAAAATAAAATTACTTAATGGCACATAAAATACTATATATTTTACTTTTAAGACCGCTTTGTTGTTTTTACTATGGCTGAGAGACCGAGCTACCTTTCAGAAGTCCAGAAAGCTAGTGGTGCAAATGTTTGCACATCGGAAAGTCACGAATGCTTCCGGGGAAGCGGAATGACTGTTTCATGCCCTGCCAGGAAGCCATTCCTGGTCAATGCCCTTCCGGCCTCCGTCCTGCGTGCAGGAGCAGCCTTTGCCCTCTCGCCTGCTCTTCAGAATGAAGAAGGGCTGAAGAGCGACAAGCGGCAAATTAGAGGCGAGCCATGGCGGTCTTCGGAGCCTTCGCTGTCCTCCTCCTCCTCCTTGCAGCAGCGGGTCAGTACAAGCGTACCCTTACGCTAGCAGTGCCGCCTGTGCTGTCATGTGGGACCTGTCCCTTCCAAGGGGCTGCCTACCCTCGGCCATGTGGCGCTTATTGCCGTGTATAATGGTTGATCGGTCAATTGCTAAAATGGTCAGCCTTCAGGATGTTGCCTCCTCCTCCTCCTTGGGGCCCTACAGGTGCATTGTATTTCCAGAGCAGCCTTCTCCAACCTGGCGTCCTCTGTGACTGCTAGATACAACTCCCATCATCCCTGGTCAAAACGGTGCTGTCTGGGGATAATGGGGGCTGTAGTCTGTTCCATCTGGAGGCTGGGGGACACTGTTCTAGGCAGCCTTATTTAACCTGACCCCCCGCCCCAAATCTTTTGGGCTACAGCTCCAAGCTTTCTTGAGCATTGGCCTTGCTGGTGGGGCTCCTGGAGGTCCAGAACATCTGGAGAAGGCTGAGCAAGATGGAGAAGGCCGCACTAGGTACACACATGTACACTCCTAGCTACAAAACCTAAACGGACCACGCAGGACTCATCCTGCCACTTCACTCACTGCAGCTCCTGGGATATATTTTGAGTTGGGCAGGGATGGGGAATTGACAGTGCTGATTATGTTGGATTACAGTCCCCATTGCCTCTGAACGTGCTGTTTGGGGCTGATGGGCACTGGAATCCATTAGCACTGGGACGGGCACAAGTTCACTCCATGCTGGTCAGCAACATGGTTTGTTTAACCAAAACAGTAAAGCACACACTCGGCTTCTAAACTGCGGTGAAGTTAGGTAATTGTAGACTCAGAACTTAACGATCTTCCTCTCACAGCAGGCTGCTTGCTTGCTTCAGAATAGAGTGTGTTGCTTTGCTTGCTTCAGAATAGAGTAAGCAGCCGGGTTGTATTTAGGGAGTCCTCCTACACATTCTGCTGTGTGAAGCCTTGGGCATTGCTCAAAAGCCCTCCTCCAGGTTGACTGAGGACCGGCGTAAATGCATTTGCAGAAGAGATTATCCGACCTGTGTAGCAGCATTTGCTCCTATTTTCATCTGTTCAATGTTGGATGGTGCCCAAATGGAGTGAAAATAGCAAAGATTTAATTTACTACATTTCTATACTGCCTAATAGTCAAAGCTCTCTGTGCATTATAAAAACCTTTAGCTACAAACATGTAAGCAGAGCAGACACACACAGGCGCAACACTCAAACAATATCCCATGTTATCCCGATAAAACACCTATCATAGGCTTCCAAATGTCAGATGTTAAAGTATAAGTTGCACAGATCACTCACGAAAGTGAGCCAACTCACAAATTACACATGAAGTCAATGTATGAATTATGTAGTCAAATAATCAACTACTATGCATTTTACAGCCTGGAAACAGAGACAGGGATGACTTGACTAGTGTCTCACTCAAACACAGAGCAGAAGTACTTCTATCTCCCCCCTCCACACACAAAAACAAAATGGTTTTTACTTATTTGCTGGGCCTCTACAGTCTATATTCCCCCTCTAATAATGGTCTTGCTATTCTTGAAATCAGTCATGCCATTTCTTTTTTCAGAGTCTGTTGTAGTTGATGAATTTGACCTGACTGATGCCCTTGGAGGCTACACAGAGGCTCCCCGGATAAACCCGCGAACACAACGTAAGCGAGGGCTGCGGAGAATGTCGGCGACAGGAACTGGTTTTGCAGGGGGGGTCATTACAGGTTACTAATGCCAGAGAGAGAAAATTATAGGAAAAATGGCTTTCTTATTATTGAACTTAATGGAGTGCTGGACTAAGCTTAGGAAGACTTTGATTCATATTTGTGCTAACCAGTCACTCGCCATTTCTCAGCCTAACCTACTTTACAGGGTTGTTGTGAGAATGAAAAGACACGGAGAGAAAAACATTCTGGAACTCTTCAGAGGAAAGGTGGGACATAAATCTAATCGATAAATTAGCAAACAAACAACCACACCTATAGTTGGTAAGTCCCATTGAAGACAATGGGGCTTGCTTTTAAGTAAACATGCATAGAATCAGGCTGTAGGTTAGAGCTAAATGTCCAAGAGAAATGTAACTTTTCCAGGCTAGTATCCAACACCTGGACTTTGTTACCATATAAGGACATCAGATTGTCAAAATATACCTTCCTAGGGGTGTGGTTGGAATTTTCTTTCTGAGGCATAAAGAAAATATGTTCTGCTACTCTTGTTTCTATGTAATTTACTTGGGTTTAGGCAATGTTGGCAAGCCACCCAAAACCCATGGGCGGTTTTAGGGTTGTGGGTGGCTTGTCAGCCACCTTAAGAATCCATCCTTGCCAGGTTTGCAAATAATGAGAAGCTGCTACAGAGCACTGCTGCTCGAATATTCAGAATGGCAGCCACTGGAGCAATGAGAAGCTGTGTAGAGAAATTAATCTACGGTGATACCTCATTACATGAGAACTAGGCCAGCTGTTTCTCAACCTTGATATACCCATCTGTAAATTAGGAATAATACCTGCTGAATTGACTTAGTAAAACCTAGTCAAGAACGACTGAGCACTTTTCCCAGTTTTAAAAACTTGGGTTCTTTAAAATACACACAATGGCTCACATTCGGGGATTGAGTATAGCTTGAGAGGGGGTTGTCGAGACAGCAGATCAGGGTGTACAATTCAAGATTCACAAGCAAAGAGCACGTCATGGATTCATGGTTAAAAATCCGTGGCTTGTGAGCACAGCTGGGTTTGAACAATACAACAGCTTGCATTTCAGGAATAACCTATGTTTCAACAACAACCAGTATTCCACCCACTCTCGGTCCTTGAGTGCAGGTTATTGGGCTGTCTGACCCCAGTCAAAGAATGAACAAGGAGAAGAGGACCACTCTGATGTATCCACCACCGCCAAACTTCCCCAGCACCTTTACCCTAAATCTTCACTTCTGTGTGATATGAGGCTGCCTCACACATATTCCCCAGACGGTGCTATAGTTGCAATTTAATGCTGCACCTTTCTTGGCTCTCCAAGGTGTGTCCAGGCTGATGCTATAGATTAATCATTAACCTGCAGGGGAGTGGCTGCCCTGTAACGATCAGTTCTTGCAAGCTGGGCAGGCCCTAACAGCACCGCAACAATTGTTTTCCCGGTTGCTTTGCAGCAGGCAAAGCACCAATTACCCTGTGTGGCTGCCCTCTCCCCTGCTCAGCTGTCCCTTAATGCCAGAGACAGTCACCATTTTGACAACCACTTTTGGGTCAGTTACAATCCTCATCCTATTTTCGAGTTTCTTAATAAAAAAGTTGCTAGTGTGATAGGTTAGTTAGCGATAAATTTGTTGTAGTAAATTTGGAAGTGCTCATCAGTGCTGCGCTGATGCTGGGTAGATGGGGGCAGTCGTATGAAAGTAAGAATGTATTCACACACACATGCACACTATCCTTCCCTGGTGTTAGAGATTGATTTAAGGATACCCGGCCTTGGAAAGAAGCATGGCATCCTTCAGGAACCTACAGAAACTTCATTTCTGGAGGTTCTATTATTTACCGCTTGTGGTAATATGTTGGTTTCCAGTGAGAGCAAAACACTGTTTTCTTGTAATAGCATTCAACATTAAGGCTAACAACAAGAGGTTTGATATGCATAAATAAAGATTACATCAACCACAGTATGTTTTTAAAGCAAAATGGTTCTGGGCTAATGTTAGTGGCAATAGAAAAATACCCACTGGGTGCTCAGAATCCCCTTTAATATATTCCAGGGCTGATGGGACCAAAACCAAGGTGGAGAAGCGGGGTTGCCAGCCTTTCTTTCTGTCCCTTTTTTCAGGATGGAAGAGACAAGAATGTTGTTTCTTTAATGGAACTAGCAGGAATTAAAGTGGTGAAACTTTTCACAACATGGCGTACAACAGTGATGGGGAAGACCTTCACCACTTGAATGTGTTCCTTTCATGTGGCTTTTAACATGGACAGGGCCTATGCCGGGAAACAAAGGGGAAACCCTAGGCCAGTGATGGCAAACCTTTTCGAGACCAAGGGCACAAACTGCAACCCAAAACCCACTTATTTATCGCCAAGTGCCAACACTGCAATAAAATTTGAACACTGAGGTTTTAGTTTAGAAAAAACAACTCACAGCCAGTCCAAGCAAATATATATATATCCTTGGCAGAACACTAACTGGCCATGTGAAAGCTCAGACGAGTCGCAGCTAATGAGTTGTGGCTTCTGACATCATCGCCTGGCACCACTACTCCTTCCTGAGCAGGCGCATGGCCCCTATCTGTGCTGTTATCCGATGCTCAGCTGCTGGGGCGATGCTGCGGCGACTTGGCTTGCGTGCTGACAGAGAGGGCTCTGCGTGGCCACTGTGACACGCGTGTCATAGGTTCGCCACCACTGGCCTAACCCTACCCTGGTGCACACCCCTAACCCTAATACATGGGTAAAATGCCATTGAAGGGGGTGATTTTTCTGAGTAGCTTTCTCTGCACTGCTCATCATTTCTGCCCATTCCAAACACATTCCAACCATCAAAATCATGCCAGGACACCTCGTTTTGCTAACCCTAACCCTACCCTGGTGCACACCCCTAACCCTAATATAGGGGTAACATTCCATTGAAAAGAGGGCGATTTTGAAAAAGCCTTCCTTGAGTAGCTTTTTCTGCACAGCTCATAATTTCTGCCCATTCTAAACACATTCCAGCCATCAAAATCATGCCAGGACACCTCGTTTTTCTAACCCTAACCGAGTGATGGTGAACCTTTTAGAGACCAAGTGCTCAAACTGCAACCCAAAACCCACTTATTTATTGCAAAGTGCCTACACTGCAATAAAACCTGAAAACAGCGAGTCCAAGCAAATATATATATATCCTTGGCAGCACACTGATCTGCCATTCAAAAGCTCGGACAAGTCGCGGCTAACATGTTGCAGCTTGTTGCATCATCGCCTGGCGGCACTACTCCTTCCCGAGCAGGCACATGGCCCCTCTGTGTGCTGCTATCCGATGCTCGGCTGCTGGGGCGATGCTGGGGGGACTTGGCTTGTGTGCTGACAGAGAGGGCTCTGCATGCCCGCTGTGGCACGCATGCCAGAGGTTCGCCACCTCTGCCCTAGGCTGACCCTGGCTCATTGTGAATCCTGCTGAGCTGAGGAATCTTGCCAATGGAAGGGAACCTGTTTGCTTTTGAGTAAACAGCTCTGCTTTGCTTCCTTTCTGTCTAGAGTGTCCAAATACTCCCCGAGACATTGCCTTCTTAATTGACGGTTCATCCAGCATGCGACCCCAAGAATTCTTGCAAATGAAGATGTTTATTGAAGATGTCATGAAGAGCCTTCCAGGGAATACACATGTCAGTAAGGGGTGATCCACAAGGGGAACGGGCTTAGATATGAGGCGATCTTGCTCAGGGTTGGTCTCCAAGGATTAGAGGTGGACCAGAACCTTCTGAAAAGCACCCCTTTCTTCAGGGCTGGAATTCTGTTGAGGCAGCGTGAGCAAGCCCCTCCAAATAGCCAAATCAGAAATAATGGACATGTTTATGACCTATCGAGTTGATTTTTTTTTTAATTGAAGAGGACAGCAACCTCCAATCCATGGGTCCAACTCATGAGTCCAGTGTGGTCTACAGAGAGTTGGACACCTTCTGTAGCCCTTCCTTTCTCTTCCTCAGTCTCTGCTTCCTGACCTGGGACAGGAGTCCTAACCATCCCACTGGGAGGACAAAGGTGTGTGTGGGAATTCCCTTGTTATCTGATTGGAGGAAAAAAGAGAATTCCCATGCATATCACCTGTCTTCTCAGTGGGATGGTCAATGGCATAAAGAAGAATTATCTGTGCAGAAAAAATGGACTGGCCAGTGAGTGATAATGTTTTGGGAGGGAAGAGGGATCATCCGGCCTGCAAACTTGGCTCAGGGGGCAATCTGAACCCTAGACCAAAATAGGTTGGTATTTTGATGCCACTGTTCAGGCAATCATGGCCTCCCAAGTGGATCACGTCTGTGTGAGAGAGAGAGAGGTCTTGCCATTAGGCTGACCAAACAAAAAAGACGCGGACACACAAGGGAAGAGGAGTGAAGGGAACAAGCGGAGGAGCGAGATCATTTCTTTAAGGGCAAAACAAGGTAGTGAGCTGTAAGCAAGTGTTTATATCCTTATTTAGCCTGGCTGAATTTCCCTTGCTGGAGTATTTGCATTTGCTGAACAGGAATTATTCAAAGGACAATGTCCTGGTGAAATGCTTACAAACTCATAAAGACAACACACTCAAGAGAGAGGATAAAATAAAAACAAAGTCATAACCTTTCCAGGTTGGTATCCAAGTCCTTGTGATCGTTACCATTAAAGGGCAGCAGACTGTAAATACTGTACATAAATCACCATAACCTGGAGGGACTTTCTGCCCCAGGCAACAAATGTGGAGTAGCCATCTGTCCTGCTCTATACAGAATAGTTCTCTAATTGAAGGGCTGCCAAAGGACAGTTCTCTGAAAACCTGCCTGGTTTCAGGATGATCATATGAAAGGAGAGGTAGGAGGCTTCTGGCTCCTTATCTAGAGCGAGCACCTAAAGGACAGCAGAGGCAGCAGGCACCGACACCTGGTGCCTCTTCCCTGCAATCATGTACTGTGTTCCCTTCTAAATAAGTTCTAAACATGCATCTTTGCTTTCGAATCAGCCTATACATATGCCCTGCAAATAGGAATTCTCTCCTCCAACCCTCTTTTAGGTGATACGTAAGTGGCCACCCCAACCAAACACCTGGAATTATTTAACAAGAGCAATAACCAATCATGAACTGGAAAATTTCAGAGGAGCTGTTTCCCCTGGTAATTCTTCTCCATCTTCTTCAGTTCTCCCTCCTGCAGTTCTCGAACAAATTTGAGGTACATTTTGAGTTCAGACACTTCCATGACAATCGAAATCCTAGCCGGCTGCTCACCGGCGTTAATCAGCTGACAGGCTCCTCATACACAGCCAGCGGGATCAGAAAAGCCGTGTAGGTATCTTTGTTCCTTTTCTCCCTTCCCCAACATCCCAGGTTGCCTCTGCAATTCCTGCTGGGGCAAGAAATTCAACAGGTACCTTTTCTGCTACGGAGAAGCAGCAATGCAGAAAAATGTCACCTCTTGAATGTCTGCCTGTTGCCTCAGAAATATGCCAGGAAAATAATGCTTGGATTGGAAGTCCTTCCACTAACATCTGTGTTTCTGCATACCAGTCTCAATTCTTCTCTTCCCATTTTAACAGGGACCTCTTCGACCCTCGCAAAGGTGCCCGTGATACAGCCAAAAAGTTTCTCATTGTGGTGACAGATGGGGAGAAAATTGGAGACCCTCTGGATTATCCAGAAGTTGTAGAGGAAGCCAACAGAGCTGGAATCACCCGCTTTGCAATTGGGGTGAGGGCTAACATTCTCACCTGTGTTCTGTATTTACCTGTCTTGACATCCCTCCCTTCAGCTCAGTTAGAACTCTCAGAGTGGATTGCAAAGATAAAGGCAGAAAAAAGGCAGATTAGACATGGGTAAATCTGGAGGTCTTTAACTACTGCCAAAAAGTCTAGACTTTGTGCTCAGTTTCTTTAAAAAAAAAAGAGGTGACAGTCAAGGAAACAAAGATGAGGAAGATAGAGGGGGAAAATTAAATCAATAACCTGTAGAGCTGGTGGAACTGCCCAGCTTCCCCTCTTTTCTTCCTCCTGGAGCAGCCTGTTAGATGCATATGGCCTTCAGGCAGTAGGGTTTTGGGATCAAGACCCACCTGTGGCATGGGGTGCTTCCAGGTGGGCCTTTTCTGGAATTAGAAATTAGATAGCAATTTCTCCCTGCCTCCTTCATGAACTATTTTGCTGTGCTGTGCTTTATTCTAATGTTTCCCCCATAGCCCACAGGGCTTTCTGGGTGGTTTACAAGTAAACCATATAACAACAATAAAACAAGCGATTACAAAAGATTAAAACCCTGTCAGAATCAAATACACAAAACTGTCAGCTCATGGTGGTTGAATAACATTAATACACAGCATAGCAGTTCAGATAAATTAAACAATGTTAAATCCAATGCTTCTTTCAAAACAACTGGTAAATAAAAAGGTTTTCACCTTGTGCCAAAAAGCAAGCCATGGCACCAAGTGCACCTCCTTGGGGAGCATGCTCCAGAAGTGGGGTGCAATCACAAAGAAGGCCCTCCTCCTGACTATCCCTCCCACTTCCTGGCGGGGAGGGGAGGAAGGGCTGGAAAAGGACCTCCGTGGATGATTTTAAGGGCCAGGTAGAAATATACGGAGAAAAGCGTTCCTTCAGATACCCTGGTCCCAATCTGTTCAGGGCTTTAAATGCTAGTGGAGTTCAACAGGCAGCCCCTGCAGCTGACAGAGGACCATCATTATGTGATCTTGTGGGCCAGTGCTCGTTATCAACCATGCTGCCCTTTTCTGAACCACTTTGGAGTTTCTGGACTGTTTTCAAAGGCCGTTAGAGCACATTACGGTAATCCAGCGAGAGGTTACCAGAGCAGGGATCACTGTGGCAAGGCTGTCAGTCCGGATAAGGACGCAGTTGGGAGATCAGTCTTAGCTGATCAAAGGCACTCCTTGCCTCTTTTATGGGAAGCTTAGATGATATCACCATCTAACTGTGACCCTCCTATGGTTTCTTATTACTTCTTCCATCTTCTTCCTTAATGTAGAGCATTTGCAGAATAGTTGCAAAGTGCCTTTTGGTTATCAGTGCTAGGAATCCTCCATTGGGAAGTATTCCTAGACTTAAGTATTGGTCAAGTCATGATTCCCCCATCCGTAGAATAGGAATCATAATCAAAGCAGAGCAAAGCCTCACCAAAAACATTAAGCAGCATTCCCAGTTTCAAAATGCTGAATAAATGATCAAGGGCACGAAGATCCTGCTCACTCATCCACAACCCCACAAGCATCTTTGCTTCAACCGCTCCCTTGCTGTGTGATGTGGGGCTGCATCACACACGAGCCCTGGAGAAAGCTACTGCCCCAATTCAATGCTGCACCTTTCTTGGCTTCCCAAGGTGTGTCCAGGCTGGATGGTTCGCATTACTCAGTCACCTGCCCCAGGGGCTTGGCTGCCCCTTGGCATCAGCTCTTGCAAGCTGGGCAGGCCCTAACCGGCACCGCGACAATTGTTGTTCTGGTTGCTTTGTGGCGGGCAGAGCACCGATGGCCCCGCGTGGCTGCCCTCTCTCCTGTTCTAGCTGTCCCTTAATCAGGACCGTCTTAACAGCATTATGGGCCCCGGGCAAAGCAGTGTACCGGGGCCCCCACGACAACTACAACTACCGTTAATTTTGGAAGTTTTCCCATTTTCCAAGGGTTAACATACACAGATTAGTATGGGGCCCACGGGCAAGTGCCCATCAGGCCCATGCATGAAGACGGCCCTGCCCTTAATGACCGGAGAGACAGCCCCCATTTCCGGGAACATCCTTTGAGGTATCTGTCCCCGTTTTGTTCAAGTTCCTGCCTTTTCAGCATGCCCTGTCAAACTGTTGCTAGAGAGAGACATGAGAACGTTCATGCAGCAGCTCCCTTCCCAGGCCCAGAGTCAAATTTCTGAGTGTGGAGGAGGAAGCATCGTTTGCCTGACCACCACGCATGTGGCACCTCACAAAGCACAAGAGCACCGGTCCTGCGTTGCACAGTTCAACAGGAACTGGAAGAGGCCTATAAGGCCGAGCTCAACCCCCTGCTCCACTTCCACATGGGGTCACCCATCGAGCTGTAGGCCCACGCCTTTCCAGCCTAGCCAAGCTTTATTTATTTATTTATTTGTTTGTTAAAACATTTCTATGCCGCCCCTTGCCGAAGCCTCGGGGCGGCTTACAACTTAATAAAATACAATAAAATACAAAAATAACAATATAAAATTAAAATTAACAATATAAAATAAATCAAAAAATATAAAAGATGTCGCCCCGGCCAGATAAATAAGCAAATATTGTTAACAATTAAAATGACGTTTAAATAAAAAGGTGTTCACCTGGCGCCGAAATATCAATAAAGATGACCTGACATGTTAGCTTGACATATAACTATGAGGAAGGGAGGGGAGGAAGCAGTGGGATCAACAAGGAAGCACTATGTGATTGCTTCTGTTACATCTTCCTACATGCCAAGAAGCAGCGGAGCCTATAAACCTCTTAGGTTTCGGGGGCAGATGCATGCAAATAGCTGCACGTAAATGTGAAGGGCCCCATGCTGTCCACAACCTGCCCTTTCACACCTGCAGAGGTGTATTTTAAACAGTGGTGGCATATTACTGGACAGCATCTCTCTTCAAGTATTTACTTTTGAACACACAAAGGGGTTGGTGGAAACAAGGGGCTGGTTCTGCCTTCTCGGTGAACCTGCACCGAAGCGCAATGGACCGAGTTTGAAGCCTCCCATTCTCATGCTGGACAGGCCATGCACAATGGTGTGTGTGTGGGGGGGGGGGGCTTCAGACTCGGTCCATTGTGCTTCTACCCAGGCATGTGCAGCCTCGCAGTCCAAAATGGGGGTGGGGGGGTGAAGAAGGTTAATGCAGGCCTTCTAATAAAGATTTGACTAAAAGCAAGCATACCGTTCTGCTATGTAAATCAGTAGGGGACAGGCTATTGCAGGATGTATTAATAAGCCATTTAACAGACAGAGTTGGGCTGTCGGTGGCGCATCATTTTGCCCTTACACAAATCCAGGGTGTAACTACACTATGAGTACTGTGTATAGTTCAGTATACAGTGGTACCTCGGCTCATAAATGCCTCAGTTCATGACCAAATCAGGTCGCGAACAGAAATGTCTGAAAAATTTTGCCTCAGGTCACAAACTCTATATCGAGTGACAATAGCGATCGTGCCCATCTCCCCCCCGCAAAGCACCCGTGATCGTGCCTGCCTCCCCTCCCCTGAGCGCACCTGCTATTGCGCCCGCCTCCCGCCCCTCCAGCGCGTTCGCTTCAAATTTTTGTGATTAAAAAAAAAAATAGTTACAGAACGGATTAACCTTATTCACACAGAACCTTATGGGAAAATTTGAATTGGCTCACAACCAATTTGAGTCATGACCAGAGTCCTGAAACGGATTAACTTCTTGAGCCAAGGTACCACTGTACCTAAAAAGGCATTGTGGAGTTGGAAAACGTATAGTAAAGATCATCTAAAATGATCAAGGGGATGAAGTGACTCCTCCAATAGGAAAGGTTACAACATTCGAGACAGTTTAGCTTAGAGAAAGGTACAGGGGCTTGTTATAAGTGTACAAAATTATGCATGGTATGGAAAAAATGTACAGGTACGCTTTTTCTCTTTTTCTCATAATACTAGTAGACAAAGGGGTCATCCCATGAGGCTGACTGATGAAACCTTCTGGATAGATGCAAATAAGGATTTCATACATAGCACATTCAACTAGGGAATTCACCTCTGGAAGATGTAGTGATAGCCACCAATATGGATGACTTTAAGAGGGGATTGAGCAAATCAGTGGAGAGGTTTTCAGTGGTTACTGGGCCTGATAGCTGTTTACTACTTCCACTACCAGAAGCAGCATGCCCACGGAGACCAGTTGTGTGGGAACGTGGCTAGGAGGGTGTGGCTACACACATGCTCTGCCTGGAGGTTTCCAATGGGCAGCTGGTTGATCACTGTCTGAATGGGATACTGGACTAGATGCCCTAGTTCAGTGATAGCGAACCTTTTACAGACCAAGGGCCCAAACTGCAACCCAAAACCCACTTATTTATTGAAAAGTGCCAACACAACAATAAAACCTGAAAACAGGTTTTAGTTTAGAAAAAACAACTCACAGCCAGTTGAAGCAAATGGCAGCACACTGACCGGCCACGCGAAAGCTTGGATGAGTCGCAGCTAATGAGCTGCAGCTCGTGACATCATTGCCTGGCGCCGCTACTCGCATGGCCCCTGTGTGTGCTGTTATATGATGTTCGGCTGCTGGGCTGATGCTGAGGAGACTTGGCACACATATTGACAGAGAGGGCTCTGCTCACCCACTGTGGCACGCGAGCCATAGGTTCGCCACCATTGGCCTGGTGTACTCCCCTAACCCTAATACAGGGGTAAAATGCCATAGAAAAGAGGGTGATTTTGAAAAAGCCTTCCCTCAGTAGTTTTTTCTGCACAGCTCATCATTTCTGTCCATTCTGAACACATTCCAACCATCAAAATCATGCCAGGACACATCATTTTTCTAACCCTAACCCTACCCTGGTGCTCACCCCTTACCCTACCTAGCATAGGGCTAAAGTTCCATTGAAAATCATGCGATTTTGAAAAAGCCTTCCTTGAGTAGATTTTCCAGCACAGCTCATCATTTCTCCCCTTTCTAAAGACATTCCAACCATCAAAATAATGCCAGGACACATAGTTTTTCTAACCCTAACCCTACCCTGGTGCACACCCCTAACCCTAATATAGGGGTCAAGTTCCATGGAAAATGGGCGATTTTCAAAAAGCCCTCCTTGAGTAGCTTTTCCTACACTGCTCATCATTTCTGCCCATTCCAAACACATTCCAACCATCAAAATCATGCCAGGACACCTCATTTTTCTAACCCTAACCCTGCCCTGGTGCTCACCCCTAACCCTAGGGATTTAATGGGCACACCATTTCCATCTGCAAAAGTCTGGGAGCAAAGCATTCTGGCCTGTGAGTAATCCACGCTCCCCCCCTTCATCTTGCTCCTGGGGAACACCTGGGCTTCAGTGAACCTTTCTGTCTGTCTCATATCTAGCCTTCCGCACCCCGTTGCCAATGACCTCTCAATTGCTTTGTTTCTCTCGTAAGGCTGGGCCATTATTCCTAAGCAAAACTGCCCAACAGGAGCTCCATGCCATTGCCTCTCACCCTACTTTGGACCACGTCTTTCTTGTGAGACATTTCACAGGCCTCCAGGACATCCAGGACCAGCTGAAGCAGAAGATTTGTGCCATCCACGGTACTGCAATTTGGGGGCTACAAGGGGAGGGGGGAGGGGAACAGTCACAGCAGCAACTAGAATATAACTAGAATGAGCTATGTACATTCTGGAACCCCATTCCTCGCCTTTTAGAGAGAAAAATGGTTCCTACAACAAACATTTCACAATGGAGCTCTTCTGCTGGACACCATCCTCAGCCATGCTCTCCTCCAGGATACTCTATTCCATTCCCTTTTATCCTGTTTTCTTCCCCAAGAATTGGCATTCCATAGCCACTGAATTAGCATCCCATAGCAGTCCAGGTATTTTTGGAATTTCCTCCATTAGAGTTTCTTTTTAACCCACAAGTGTTGTTGTTTTTTCACTGAAAACCTCAGGGTTACGGCAAGCCTGCTGGGACTTCTCTCTTGTGCACGGGTGGCTCTGGTCGAGCTACATAAGAATCAGCATTCATAGCTGAATATCAGAAACGGAGGGGAATGATCTGGATTAAACTGTCTTTAACATTTTTTGCAAAAAGGCAGAATGTAAGTGAATTAGCAGCAACGACATACTTACATATTGCATAATTACTTTGTGCAAATGACAGCCACAAAATGCAGTGATGGCCAGTATTTTAAATGGCTTCCAAATTGGACAAGTTCACTGTTCCATGAACAGCCTTCATGTTTTGCCTCTGGACTTTCTGGGGACAGCTGAATGCTCCCTGTGTCAAAACAAGACAGGACAGCAGGGCTTACCTTATGGAATCGCTAAAATGTACTCACAGAACTTGCAGGAAAACCGTGCTCACAGAACTTGCAGGAAAACAATGTTGGCTCACATATCTCTGTGATCATGCAAACAGACCATCTGCAAAGGGAGAGAATGAACATACATTAAACAGCACAGGGTAGTGTGAGAACAGCACAGAGTTGTTATTTTTAATTTCTTAGCCGTGTCTTCAATAGCTACGTGCAAGGCAGAAGTTAAAACATTTGGTACTCCCTGCAGCAGGAAGGGGTAGGGAAGGCTCTATAGTTGGTGACTTCCCACGGTCACTCAGCTGTCAGCAGCACAAGAACCTTGCTCGGTCCCCCAGTGATGGCAGCCTTTGGCTAGCAGTGTCTTCTAGTTCTGATTAGCTGTATGCTACCTCCAGTACCAGAGGCAGAATGCCTACATACACCTGTTGCAGAGGAGATGGGTGGGAGCGTGCTCAGTCCTGCTTGTGCGTTCCCATGGGCAGCTGATGAACAAAAAACTGGATGAGATGGACCCTAGGTTTGATCTGGCTACACCCACATCTGATATTACAGTGCAGGGCTGGGAGATGCATCGCACTTCCAAGTTTCGATGGTAAGCACTTGGTTGCAGTATATCAAACCTGCCAGGCTGGGATTACAGGAAATTCTGCTTTGTGTCCTCTAGGCCCAGCGATTCCACGGGCTACAGAAGCGCCACAGTCACCAGATGCATGCAGCTCACATTCTGATCCCCAGGTGCTGCGGAAACTGGAGCAAGTAGTGAGTGGCCTCGATCAGGTGAAAGCCAAGCTGGAGGTGCTGGCTGCAAGGCAGGGGAAATGCGGCTGTACTCCCCATCACTAATCCTGAGCTGTGGGGCAGATGGGGGTATATGCTCTGAAACAGCAGGCAAATATGAGGAAAGCAAACAAACATGAAATTCATCCAGGCATATGGAAGTGTTCTTGCACACAATTTTTAATCTGCATACTTATAACATGCTCAAGAGCCTCTGATGCCAATAAAGCCATCTCATACCAGTCTTGTGCCTGTCTTTTCTGATGCAACAGCACTCAGCCCTATATTAATGTCTAACGAACTGCTAGGGCTTTATTTTAATCTAGAGCCATGTTCCAACCAAAGCAATCAGGGTGATGCAAGTGAAAGAGCCACCATAAGTATACGGTGCAATCCTGTGCATGTTTACACAGAAGTAAGCCTGCTTTGTCTCCAGTGGGCTTACAATTAGGGACATGTGTACAGGAGTGTAGACAAAATCTCAACCATGTGAAATAATGTCTAATATGGGGAAAGTGTGTATAGGACCCCTCCCCTCTTGATCTGCTTGTAATATGAATATATGGGGTCAGTCAATGAAATGGACCCTAAACAGATACAAACAGATACCTCTTAACAAAACAAGCAGTTACTTTCCCAAATACACAATCACAAAACATGATGAGCTTTGAGAGGTGATTAGTCAAATTCATGGAGGAAAAATATGGAAGTGTCTAGTGATACTGATGACTAAATAGAACCTCCACTGCCAGAGGCTGTGCACTTCTGAATGCCAATTAATGGAAGAGGCAATAGTAGGGGTGCCTGGCTAATTCTTCAGCTCCTGCTTTTGAGCTACCTGTCGCATTACCTGTCGCCAGCCTATGCAATGGGATGCCAACTTGGGCCTTTGGTCTCAGGTTGCTTCTTACATAATGATGCAATAACAAACAGGCACCTGGAGGAAAAAGTATATTTTCTGCAGCAGGTTTCAGAGCCAAAACATATTAAGTGCTAAACAATAAAGACAAGCTGGCCTCTGAGCATGGGCTGATTGCAACTTCCCCACTGAAGAACCAGATCGCTCCCCTCCTCTCCCCACCAAATCTGTAAATGGGGTTCAATTTGGAAGTAGCACTTTACTTAACAGGGCTGAACATGGTTCTCCAGTTCCTTATTTACACTTGGCTTTCCTTATTTGATGCAGGTGTCCTAAACAAAATTTGAGTCTGGGATAATAGTACCGCATCACCCTATAACCTGGGTGGGAGTTAAAAACCTTGATGATTGGTTCTGCTAGAGTTTGGGGGAACTATGCAGGCCTTTGTTCTTAATATGGTAATTTTCCATTTATAATAGGTCATTTGAAGAGCACCCCCCCACAACCCATATCTCCCAAATGTGTTTTTTAAAAAGCCCATGACCCTAATTAGTCTGAGGAGGGGCAGTGCTGTTAACTAGACAATTTCTAAAGACAGAAGAGATGTTGAGGGTCAAAATCACTGTTCTCTCTCTTTCCTGCTGTATCTAGCACAGCCTACATGGCTGACAACTTTCTAATCTCCGCTCTTCAAGATGATGGGCAAAATGCCAAGACGTGGAAGGGAGCAGAGTTTTTTTTGAGGGGGGCGGCTCTTGGCCAGCCACTGGGGATGCAATAGGGATGGGAGGATGCAGGAGGCATAGCAGAAAAGAGGGCCTCTTCAGCATCAGTGGCTCAATATTTTTTGGGGTGCTACTCTGAGGAACCAGTTCCGCTGAGGAACCGCGGGTTCCTTTTCCTTGCTACTCCTATCTGTAAGCAGGGCTCTTTCAAGTGGACATAAAGCGGTTTACAGGTCAGCTTGTGAGCCCCAGCACCTCTTACAGCAAAACCAAGCGCACTGCCGGGAGCCGGTACTGCTGTATCGCGGGTATCCCTTCGTCGTCTAGACGCCTCTTCACTTCGGCTCTCTTCGGCATCGCTCGGGGAATCCGGCGGAGAGGCAAGCGCACGAACCACCTCCCCTCCTTTGCATCCGTTCGGGCATTTCCGTCCGAACTCGGCCGCATCCATTTTTTTCGGCCATTTCCGTGCTTGCTCGGCTAGTTCCGGTTCCGCTCGGGGGATTCCGGCTCCGCTCGGCCTCCGGGGAAGCCGTGGTAGCAGCGGCAGCAGCAGCAGCCTTTGCGGGATGGAAGGTACACGCGAACGCCCCCTCCCCTCTCGGTGGCGGGCAGGCAAAGGGGGCGGGAAGCCGGAAGGCCACGCCCCTCGCGGTTGTGGGGGCTCCTAGAGCGGAGCCCTGGCTTGCGTCGCACGCAGGGTTGGAGGTCACAGGTAGGGGCCGGGTGATTGGCCCTCTCGGCCAGGGGAGGTCAAAGGTCAAGGCCTAAAGTTGGCGCCCGAGGCAGTAACTTCAGCAACGCAAGTTCCGAACTCCTGATAGAAGAACTGGAAGAAAGGTCCTGGACTCAAATCTGTGCTCAGCTTTCATTCCCCATCCCTCTTTTTCCCCTTTCCAAGAGCCACAGAGGGTGCAGGATGTGTCTGCAGTCCCTGGCCCAGATCCCCCGAGCCACCCTGACCCAGAAGAGACAATACGAAGCCTGCAGGCCCAGTTGGCAGCCGCGCTGGCCGAAGTGGAGACTGTCCGAGCTGTGGCCGCCGTGAGCGAAGGCACCAAACATGAGGCTGTGGCGAGTGTCAGGCGTCAGTGCCAGGAGGAGGTGGCTTCATTGCAAGCCATCTTGAAAGGTGAGGGGATGCAAATGTTAGTGGGTGGAGAGGAAATGTGTTACTTCGAAACTTTAAACTGGCTCCTCCTAAAACTTTGGGGCAATACCCATGATTCTTGCCTTGTGGGGAACAGTAGCTCAGCAGTACAGCATACACTTTGCCTGTAGAAGGTCTTGGTTTCCTAGAAGCCTAGGATACACTCCTGTGTGAACTTCAGGAGAGTTACTGTGCCTTAGTGTTGGCAGTACTGGGCTAGATGGACCCATGGTCTGATTTGCTATGAGATATTTTTCTGTTTAAAGGTTGTGCATGTGTTCTCTCTGTTTATAGACACCATCACCAGCTATGAGGCTCGCCTCTCAGCTTTGGAGCGGCATAGCCGGGAGAACGCCTGGAGTCGGTTACTGCCAAGGTCCAACCCACTGGACTCGTTGGAGAAACAGATGGAAAAAGTAAGCTGGGCCAGAATTCTTTGGGCTCACCAGGAAGGTACTAAGCTTAGGTTTGGATGAAAGCTTTTGTTTTCATAGGCACAAGAGGATACTCAGCGACTCCGGGCAATTGTGCTGCCAATGGAACAGGAAATTGCTGAGTTGAAGGCCAAGCTGGCGCATGCTGAGGGACTGGTTCAGGAGCTTCAGGGTGAGCAGGTGAGATGTGGTTGAAAGGGTAACAGGACGCTGAGGAGAAGAAGGTTGTTGGAAGGGATGGATGACTTCAAGCAGTTTAGAATAGAGTGAGCATGTAGTTTGGAAAGGACCTGACAAATGAAGGAAATGGACTAGATTGCCTGCAAAATGTGCCCAGACTAAACTAGAATCTATGCAAAGCAGTAATTGTTATTACAATGCATTTGTATCCTGCCTTTTCCCCCTCTTCTGAGGAACTCTAGGTGGCTTGCATAGACCTCCTCCACTGTGCTTCGTGCTCACAACAACCACCCTCTTACGTAGATTAGGCTGACTGTGAGTGACTGGTCAGACACATGCTGTGCACGCCAGAAAATCTAGAGCCACAGGTCTGCACCTGAATGTTGAAGATGTTTAATTAAACCAAGAGGTAGTTAGGATGTACACTAGCAAGTGAGACAAAAAGTGAGTGATTGAGCTGTCTGAGTGGTGGCTGGAAAGCTAGATTTTATTGGGTGGCTGTAAGTCTGGGAAAATAGCATTAGATGAGTCGTTACTGGAAGGCAATTATGGCCTGCCAATTAGGGGTGTGCTGTTTCAGTTCAGGCCCAGAATTACAGGGCTAAAGCAACAGTGGGCCCCTTCTTAAGCTCTCAGTGACATCAGCTCACCCAACCTAGACAGCAGGCTGTAGGAGTTGGTCTTTGAAGTATCCATTTTGGGCAGCCTGCTTTTGTAATTGCTTTCTTATTCATTACTTTTCCTTTCTCTTCAGCATTCTTTATGTAGCTCACCTGAATCTCTGCTTGTTGACCCTGAGACTGTGCCCTCCGATACACCTGGAGATGACCATGTTACTGTGGGGGAAGGAGGAGTGGCTGAGAAATTTGCCCGTAGTCTTGATAGTGTCTCCATTGCCTCTTTTTCTTCCTTGGCACCAAGTCCTGGGCCTCCTATCCGGCGCCGACGGCCCCCTAGTCCTGAGACTGCATCAATTGCTTCCTCTACTGGAACTCTGGTGCCTGAGACCATCTATTTACCACCAGCTGGGTACCAGCTGGTACCTGAGTCAGAGTGGATGCAACTCCATGGACAGGTGAGTGTGTTTGGGGCAAAGTGTGTCAAATGGTGTTGTGAAATAAGCATGGTCTTTTGGATAAGGTCTTAGCTGTGCCGACCCCAATTGTAAAACACCCTCCTGGAGGAGGCCTACGTAGCTCCATTGTGGCTGGCTTTCTGCCATGGATTAAGGACTGGATTCTTGGTTAGAGTAAGATGACAATGTGGATTTTTAGTTATCTTGGTGGGTCCTTTGAAGGTGGAAAGTCAGTACACATTGGAAGTATTTGAGGATTGTAAAGTATTTATCATTTTTTGTCATTCTTGGAGGATTCTCTGTTGTTAGCATAGAGGTGGATACAGATCGATGGTGGGGACTGGCAGACAAACCTCAGAGACCTCCTGGGTCTCACTGTGTGCCTGGCCTCCTCTTCTAGGTGCGGCAGCAGTGTGAGGCTCTGGAAGAAGCCGCAAGGGAAAAGGCCAGTCTGGAGGAGGCGCTGAGGCGTAGCAATGACGAGTGTGGCAAGCAGGTATGTTTGTGGCATGCAGCCCTTGGGGCTGAAGCTCAGCCCACATCTGTGAGCCCACAGTTAATGCCATCTTAGATTTTTATTCTGCCCTTCTTCTCGGGAACTCTGGATGGTGTACAACATTATCTCCCTGTCCACTTTGTACTTAAAGAAGTTAGTGGGTTAGACAAGGTTAAAGGTGGATGTCTTACAGTTTTAGGGTCAAATCCAGTTTTGGAGAAACTCTCGGAGGCAATAGTCTAGTAGTGGATGGGAGCCAAAACGAACAAAAGGAGGCATTTGGCAGTAACCAGTAAACCGGTAAATCTCTTACCGGCAGTAACCGAGTCTTAAAAGCGTTTTAGTCTTTTAAAAAAATTGTAGAAAAACCACACACAAGCCAAGAATGACCAAATGATCATTTATTGGGGGAATGGAGTATGGCCACCTGAGGAGCCACAGGGGCCTGGACTGGGATCCTCTTAATCCCTGGGCTAAGGGGTAGTGACTGACTCAGGCTTACCGCATGAGTTTCACATCTGAGCTGGTGTTTGGACTTGCGGCTCTCAGCCCCTGAGCCAGCAGCTTAGCACCACCTTTCCCAGCCTGGTGACTTCCAGAATTGTTGGGCCACACCTCCCGTAACTGTCCAGCCAAGCTGCTGCCTTGAGCACTGCACCGTGCTGGCTCTCATGCAAATAGTCAGCTGTACCTGCCATGCATTGTTCATCCCTTCTCCCTCTCTCTTCTGAGCAGGTTCAGGTTCTCTTGACGCAGGTCCAGACCTCCGAGCACCTTCTCCAGGGACTCCAAGCCACAGTGAGTGAAACCCAGCGCCAGACGCAGGAGCAGTTGGTGAGTGAATGCATGTGATTTGTGGCTGAGCCACAGCCTAGCAGAGGAATGCAGGAGCGAGACTTGGACAATGCCTAGCCCACTTACAAAGCTGTTGTAAATCTGGGGCATGTTATTACTGTTGCTCATGAGAAAACTAACCCAAGGGTGTTAACCAAGGGTCTGTTTAAATGTTCCAGCCCCCTGTGGAGACGGCCCAAGAACACCACCATGTGGCAGCACTTGGAATGGTGCACCCCTTGTGCAAAAAGCTTCGTGCACTCCGTGTGAGATCCAGGTTATCTGTGCCGATGCAATAGCATCTCACCAGGAACTGGTGGCGTTGAGTGTGGAGAAAGAATTTTGCACTGTGTAGCTTTCATGACTGCAAGTTCCCAGCTCACATGGTTGCCGATTATACAGCATCCTCATTCAATTAATGTGTTGACCTTGTAATATGTTTGTACCGCTGCATGAAGATAAAGAGTTGATCTATTGTTTACTTATTACCTGAGCATCCCACCTCATTCAAGAATGACTCTTAAAATGATGTGTACAATCTATTAAAATACATAATGAGGGATAGGTAATGGTGGCAATACAGCCTTGGTTCCAGATCTCTGTAGGGAGAAGTCAGGAGGCGCTGAAACTAAACTCTGGGCCTGACTGATGGTTTAGGGAGAGACACCCTAAGGCTGCCATAAAGCAGGTGTCATTCCAGCGAATCCTGAGGCAGGGGATGGGATTGGAGGAGATGCTGAGAATGTCACTCGTGCAAGGAGGGGGATGTCATGTACAATGTGGCATAAAGTGATAGATCTTGGTGGGGCAGGTAGAGAACCTGGGCGTGAGGCCAGTTTCTCAAAGTGCATTGGGTTTTTGACAACTACTACTGGGCTGACTGCTAGCAGTGCATTTGTATAGTTAGATGTTAATATCTATACAGACATTAGGGGTTAATACTTAACTTTTTAATGAATTATTACCAAAACATTATTGAAACATTAATTCCATTTAAATACTCTTCTAATTCTAATTAATACTCATTAATTCTGTAATATTCTTTGAACCCAACCAAAAGATCTCAAATGTAACAGCTTTTGGGATTTCCGGATCTTGTCATCAGGCGAGATGTTTATAAGAAGCAAGTAGGGGCAGGGAAGACTCTGACTAGTGTTTGCATGTTCAGAATCCCAAGATGGACTAGGGGAGGAGAGATCCACAGATATTCAGATTAAGATCTGTGGATCATGTTACTGGTTGGACCTGCAGCTGCTGTAGAGCTACTGGAAACTAGAAAGGGTGAAGTGTTGGACCTTCCATTTTTAATATATAAAATCTAGTTGTTCCCACTCTTGCTGATATTATTGTTTTAATTTATGGATTGGTGTTATTGTTTTGTACCTTGCATATTGTGAGCCACCTTGAACACAGATTACCCTGTGGATAGGTGGCACATTTTAAAGTCTAATCAAAAGCTGCAAGCTAACAGAGGCAGTTTTTTCAGAGATACTGTACATATTCTTCTGGTTCCTGGCAGCTTGTGATTCAGCCCAGTTTCCAGCCTTTCCCTTTCCTTCTGAACAAAACGTTGACCGTCCCAGAAGTGTTGAATTACAATTTGACTAGGGAGGGTAGGCATTGTAATCCAACACATCTGGGAGGGCAGCAGGTTGATAAGAAAACGTCGTACTAGGCACACTACAGAAAGGTGCTTTTCAGAGGCCTGTCCATCAATCCCACATGACGAATTAAAGGTCCCAAGGCCATGTCTCAATTTTCTCCCTTTACTCAACTTCTAGGCTGACTTGGCTGCATCTCACAAGCGCCTGAGCTACGAAGTACAGCGGCTCAATGCTGAGAACGAAGGGCTGCGTGGTGGGGCGTGTCCCCTGGCTCCTTGTCCCACAGATGAGGAGAGCAGGCACTTGCCCAGCACTGTTCCGGTAATCCCGCCTGGCCTTTTCCTTGTGTGGGCACAAGGGCATGGGATGCTGGCTTGGGGTGGGCAAAAAACCGCAACACAAGCTACAGGGGCTCTCTTCTTGTCTTCCTGCCTCCGCAGGAGTTGCAGGCCTTGGTGCACAAACTGAGACAAGAATCCGCTGCGCAGCTCCGGGCTGCAGAGCACCAGGCTGAGCGCCTGCGAATTGAGATTGTGTCCCTGCGGGAGCGGCTAGATGAAGAGGCAGCATCTCAGTCAGGGCTGCAGGGGGCGCTGGAGAGAGAACAAGAGGAAAGAGGTGGGCCAGGGAGAGGCAGCCTCCATGGGCAAGGGTGTTGTAAACTCTGATTGGAGGGACGGGGGTGGACTGTGCTGGGCTTCTAAGAGATCCACATGTAGAAGTCTGATGCCTTGGAATTTGAAATACCTTTCTTGACCATGTGGTTAATTTGCTCTCTCTCTGTGTTTGCCTCCCCTGTTGCTTTTGGATGAAAGAGCTTTTGCAAGGTAAGTTACTTTCAAATACTGTTCCTGTATATTTTTGCATGGTTGGAGACTCCAGCCTGGACCCCTTGTGAGCTGAGTCTCTTCTCGTCCTCTCCCCCCAGCCTCCCTAAATAGTATCCAAAGTGAGATGGAGAGACTGCAGCAGGGGCAGGAAGAACTGAATAGAAGCCAGGTATGTTTGGACTTCTCTTTTTTCAGATATTGACCAAAAAGCATTTCCTTTTCCAAAACTGGCTCCGTGCCTTCAAGACTCCCCAGCCAACCTCAGGTAGCCTCCCTAGTGAAGACCAGATTTGTTCCTCATGTGACCAGCCAAACTGAGTTAACCCATGAATGACTTTCCATTTCATGCTTAATAAACCTCTGTGTTTGGCATGTCAAGAAGGGTGATCAGGTATCTGGGAAGCTACAGTCAGTGACTAACTGGAGTGCAGGCCTGGTTCAGACAAACCCCACAGGCTTCCTGGGCAGCTGAGGTGCTATTTTCTTAGCGTAAGAACAAACAAATCAGTAGCAAAAGGGAGGGACATGTGCTTCCAAGGTAACGAAGTTTGTTCATTGATGCATGTATTGATGGTGGACCTTGAAGCAACCAAATGTTGCTCTTTTCTTCAACTTGGTGCCTTCCAGATATCTGAGCTAAAACTCTCATTTCCTCCAGCCAGCATTAGAAACCAACCAGGTTAGAAACACTTGCAATATCTGCTCTCAGATATGTATGAGAAGGCTCATATATTTTGGAAATGTGTTTACGACGAGAGTGAAAACAATGTTCTTACTGGAATTTATTGTCAAAAATTCAAATCAGAATATAAAGTCAATGCAATAATTTTCCAAATGATGGTCATGTTGGATTTTGGATTTCTTTAAAAAAACAACAGGGCATGCATTAATGAATTTGACAAGTAATCATTCTGTACTTGCCTTAAATATAATTCCATGTGGTAAGATTTAGTTCTTTAAAAATGTTCTTCAAAATTGAATTTAAAGACTTTCAATACTGGAGAATCTGGATTAAGATCTTTTAAAATGTAGCATGTTTCTAACTTGTATCTAATGCACCTCAGCAATTGACTGTACCACTTCAGTAAAAGCTGTCTTGCAGTTTGAGCTGTGGTAGAGCTCCAGAGTGAGTCCCAAGAACTGGAGCTGGAGCAGTGGAGACTTTGGGAGTGGGAGGCAAAGATGGGTCATTATTGAATAGGGACAGCAAGGTCATAGGTTGGAAGGAAGATGTGAGAAGGGTCCTTTTACAGGTAGAGATCAGATCTGTTCAGTCTTGGGCAATTGGTCCATTGCTTGCTCGTCTTCACATGAGAGCTGCAGTTATTATTTGTCTGTGGCAAGCAGCAGTTGCCTCCGGGTGCCCAAAGCACCTGCTCCGTTCCTTGTCCTGTCTTGTCCAGAAAGAACCCTGTGAAGGCCCTGTCACATTTTCTGTTTCTTGCAGCCTTTTAAAGAATGAGATTTTTTGTGTTGCAACAGTCAACGTCCGGCAGGGGGCTGTGTGTGCCTTCTACTAAAAAGTGCAATACTGGTAACTCATGGGTTGTACCTGAAGGTGGCAACTTCTGTTCTTTCCAGGAGTGTGGGGTGTTTCTGACAATGCCAGGGCAAGGAGGTGTGCTCTGAGAAAGGTCTGTGGACTCATTCTCCTTCCTTCCTTATACTTGCAGGTGCAGCTGGAAGCTCCCCTTCTACAAGAAGCCAGCAGTCTTCCGGATCGGCCTGAGCCTTAGACTTGAGGACGAGGAACTCAGGCCTCCCCTCTCCAGCAGCATGGGAACCTCAGGGAAACTATCACCTGCCAAGCACCAAAAGGGCCAGCTCTGTCCCCAGAGCCTGCCCAGGGCCCCTCTGTGCATGGGTTAGGTGAACAAGAACTCTAGAGGTAGGATGGCTGGAATCTCCCATCTCCCACTCCCCAAATAGATACTGGAGGCTCCAAAGAACAATAAAGGTGATTTTTGTATCTTTCCCTGTCTATGTCTCTCCTTTAAGTGGGTGGCCCGCAAGATAGGATGGGGTGCCAGTAGAACAAAGCTTCATCTTTATATAAAGCAAAGCTCCTAGCCTTCCCAAGTTAATTTTCTGCTTACATTCTTGGAACTTAAGGATGTATTTTAAATGGGACAAAGAACAGGGCAGGCCCAAGATATTTTGCTGCCTGAGGCAAAGGACAATACATTCCCTCGCCACACACACACTCCTTATTTCATGTAGAGTCCACCTAGACCAGTCAACAAACCTGACTGGCAACCAGAGAGCATCCACCACCACCCCTAGGTCAGCAGGCTAGCTTAGGTGGCATAAGGCGAGACATATGGCGCCTCTGCTTTTAGCTTGCTGCTGTTGTGCTGCTCCTTTGGGAAGGCTTCACTCCAAGACAGCTGCAGCCAAGAAATTCTTAAAGAAGTGACACTTTTGCTGTCTTGAGATGATTGCTTCTCTTTACCTAACAGTGGGCCAGCCCTGAGAGTAACTTGGCTATAAAAATATTTACAGACCCATGGGAGTTTTGGGAGGTCATTAGAAAAATAGAACAGTGAAGCACAGGCCTATGGTCATACCTGTCCCAAGGCCATGATGCACCATGGGTGCCAATCAGTTTTGCTCTATTCCTTGACATGTCTGTGGTGAAACTTAGACATAGCTGTTGGACAGGAGACTTGGAAAATCTGGGGTTTGGTTCCCACTGAGCCATGAATCTCACTGAGTGGCTTTGGGCTAGACACTGCTTCTCAGTCTAACACTCCTCAAGGGTGGTAGCTGTAAGAATAAATTGGAGAGGAGGAGGAGTGTTAGCTGCCTTGAGTTGCTTGCAAGAGTTGCTTGCAAGGGAATGCAATGACATGCAAGACTGATTAAGAAAAAATGCATATTAAATCTATTCTGGAAAATAAATTTCTTACTTCCAGTCAAGCAGGTGCACTTGTCATACTGCACAAAGTTCCTCAATACAGGGTTTGGTGCTGCTGAGTTTTAGCAATCCAGTGTATTGTGGTAGCTCTTAATTGTGATGAAGCAAATCCTTTTTACAGAGAGATGAAAAAGTGAAGAAATATCAATATGTTTACAGCTTCAGTCAGACACATGTGAGCATTCTCTTACCTGCACTCAAAAAGCAGATGTTGGCTGCATTATGGAACTGCATTTTAGGTTCGCTATTGACAAATATAAATTTTCAAATGGTAAAACAGCAGGCTAAAACTTCCTTCAGTGTCCCTTCTGTCCCTTTCCCTGCAACCCTTCTCTCTTGTCATTCCACTGTAACATTCTGTATGATGTCTTCAAGCTCAGTTCGCTACACATACATAAATGAAAACCTTGGGACTTGACTTTTCCTGAAGGAGAAAGATATGCTTTTCCTCACTTTTTTCTCAGTGAGTTGATTGCAGAGTTATAGCAGTAAGAGATGGGACTACCTAGCAACCCCTTTGCTATAGCTGGTGAGAGGTGAGATGTTATATATACCCCAAGTGATTCTTTTTTCTGTGGTGTTTAGTACTGGAGAAAGTGAAGGAGGCAGAAGAAGTACTGAAATCAACATGTTCCTTTCCTATGCTTAGGTTTGTGACTTATCTGTACATGTCTAATCAGAGGTGTAAACCTCACGGAATACAATGTGACTTGCTCTCAAGTACATGAACACAGAGCTGCTACCAAACTAAACATGACTATCTAGTTTTATCCCTGCGAACCTCTATCCATACTAGAGATGTATATTAGAACAGAGGGAGGGAAACTGTGCTAACTGGACATTGCACAAGCCCCTTATTTGCATGCCTCATGAAAGTATCAGCCAGTCTGGAAACACCTTTACTGGAATGTAAGCAAAAACAGAAATCTCATCTCAGAATCACTGACAGGATTATTACTCGCCCAGGAACTGATCGCTCTGTCTCTCCTCAGAGTTCTCTTTTCTAGTATCCCAGGAGTGACAGTCCCAGGGAACAGTGCATGGAGGATTAAAGAGTGCTGGTGAGAAGACTCCCCACTTTCCTTGCAAAGAGCAACAGCTGCTGCAGTAATTTCTCCATTTACGTTTATAGCCTTCCATCTGCTGCACCTCCTACTCCAGGAAGCCCAACTCAACATACATGATATTCCTTCTATTTTATTCCCACAACTACCCTGTAAGGTAGAGTAAGCTGAGTGTGAATAACTGGTTGAAAGTCACTCAATGGGGGCTTGAACCCAAGTCTCATGAATCCCAGTCCAACACTTTAATTGCTGCACCACATTGGCTCCTCCAATAGGTCTTATGCCCCCAGCTCGGCGCCTTGGCCCATACAGAGACTGAGTAATGGAGGTTTCGGTGAATAGAGACACCCGCCCCCGCCACCCCATGCACACATCCCAATTTTTCTCTCCAGCTTTGGAGAGAGCAAGCAGCATCTGTTGCATTGCACGTAGGGGAGCTGCTCTTCGAAACTGCAGCGGGGCGTGCGTGCCCCGTCCTTCCTCTCGCACCGCCGCCACGACTGACGCGGCTCCCGCTCTTGCCCGCCGCCGGCCACGCGGGCGATCGAGACTCAGGCTTCGCTACCCGGCGCCTCACAGGGCTGCGCTCGCGGGAAGGTGCCACCGAGATGTTAAGAGGTAGAGCGACGCCATTTTGGGAATTCTGGGAGTTGGAGTCCAACAACCTAGATTACATAGGGCGGGGAAGGCTTCCAAGAAATCTATTTCCTGCGCTGGGCCCTTTAGCTCTCACTGCCTGCAGTAAATGACCCTTTAACCCTGGCTAAGCGGGTGCAACTGACACGACTGCATATCCTTTCCCAGTTTATTTCAGCCTTCCCCTGTGTTAAATTTGGGAATATAAGCCCTTTGAGACAGGCAGCCTTTTCATATAGACAAAACACTCCATCCACGCCATTATATAATAATGGTGGGTTTCAGTGTTCACCGGACTGCCATGTTGTGTGTCTTCCACTTTCAGAAGAGCCGGGTTAAAGAAGGAATTGCAGTATTTGCTTTTACCATGTTCATGTGTGAAATTATAGAGCTGGAGAAAGATTAGTACTCATCTAAGATAAGATAAGATGGAGGAGGAGATATAAGCTGCCTTGAGCCCTTTGTAGGAAAAAGGCAGGATATAAATCGGAAAAAAAATAAAAATAAAAAAACTAGCCCAACCTGCTGCTCACTGTATGATGCAGATACAGTATACCTGATTAACAGATTGTTATCCAACCTCTGACTAAACACCTCCTGTGAATGAAGATCCACAACCTTCTAAGGCAGACTTTCCACTGTTGAACAGTGTTTATTTTTAGGAAGGATCTCTTAATGTTTAGCCAGGATTGGCTGCCCTGCAATGCCCAGTCTTACTCTTTGACCCCACTCTTGCCTTTCGAACATCAGACAATACTGACACAATCCTATGCCAGTTTAGACAGAAAGAAGGTCTACAATCTCCCGCATGCCCTACCCAGCACAGGGGCATTCTGAGAACTGTAGGGCTTTTTTACATCTAAAACTGCATAGGATTGCCCCCTAAGTAAGCTGAATCTTTTATGTGACAGTTCCTCACATATCACCTTTCCTCTTCCCTTTCTCTTCTCTAAGCTAAATGCGTCCAGCTTCTCCAACACCCCACGCATAACTTCATTTCGAGACCCCACACGGTTGCTATGAGTTACACTGCTCTTTCATTACACTGACGCTAAGAACATAATCCTATACATGTTTAGGCTGAAAAGATGTCCTACAACTTCCAGCACTACCCAGCCAGCACTGCAGAGCAAGCCGTTTACAACGTGGTACCCTTCAGGTGCGTTGGACCACAACTCCGGGATCTCCCAGCCGGCCAATACGTCAGGGGGCATCAGACTGGAAAAAGCGGTTGTAACTTCTACCAACGCTACCGCTTACAGGTCAGCCATGGTCGACCGGAAGTTTGCAAAGCAGCCTCTCTCCGTCCCCGCTCGCTTGTCTCTGTGCGGTAATTATGGGAAAAAAAGGACGTGGTGACGACACTTCCGTGGGAAGGAGTGGTGAACATGGCGAGCCGCGCGTTGCTGCTGGCGCGAGGAGGGTTCCTGGCTGCTCACGGTGGGTCTAAATGGCCGCGGGGTGTGGGGAGAGCAAAGGAGGGTCGGTGTGATATGGTGTCTGGCAGGAGACTTTTGGGATAAAAGGGGCGCCAGTGTATCGTCTGTGTTGCTCACCCGCTTTCCCTGGAAGTACCGCGACGAGAGCCCGTGACCTTTCCTGTGCTGGCCCTGCTCTGCGGTTGATTACGGACCCCGCCGGAATGGAGGCGGCCAGGCACTCCGTGGACCACGGGCGGGGACGACGACGCGGAGGGACCCCCTTTCTTTCTCCCGGGTGTGTGTGATGAAGGCAGCTTCCCGCCAGTTCCGAGCTCTCCCTTGCTGCTGCTGCTGCGCGGCCAAGGAGATGCGCCGCCCGTGGTGCTTCCGTTCATTCTTGCACCCGTGCAAGGCTCGGATTCGAAGCATGTGCGAGGACCCCGACGGGAAGAGGCAGCAGTGGGATTTCGTGTCGCGTTTGGGTTTTGGCTGCTCGCAGAGAGGCGGGGCCAGGGCACTCTGACTCCCTGATACTGTTGGACTATGGCTACCAGCAGTAGGAGCTGGTATTCGACAACATCAGCATTGTAACTGAAACTATTTTAATTAGGGCTTTGCAATCTCAGTGTCTGCCCCTCTTTTGATTTACAGGTTGGGTTGAATCTCTGTACAGCCTGAAAAGTTCTGTGTTGCCATAAAGTGGGAAGAATGAGCATTGACACAGTTAAATGTGTTTGTAGGATTATAAAACACAAATTAGAATATTTGCTTGCAAAATAGTAGTTGACACACATCATGGCACCCCACAAGTTAATTCACAGTAGCTTGTTTTGACACTTGATGGGGCCAGTATGTTTCAATATGCTTTAAATGCTCTCCCTGAAGTCTGTAGTCATTAAAAGGGAAATGCAGATAATGTCTGAAAATGTTATTAAGAAGCATTGTACTATGTAAAAGTGGGTATTTTAAGCAGGTGCAAATTTGATATTGTACAGATAGCTCATTGTATTTGTGTTGTAGGACTATGTGGTTTACTTCTTTATTACATTTATTTATTTATTTAGGTTGCCTGTCTCGCTATGTGCAAGTTGTTCCGATCACGGTAAGAAGAGTCCTAGGTGTGGGTACAATAAATAGTTGTGGTGTTGCTATAGCTCAGACTCTTAATGTCTCTTCTTGTTCTTTTGCAGGCATTCTTACCCTGCACGGCCTTCTCTGGAAAGGCTTTTCCAGTTCGAAATTTTGCAGTTGAAGCAAAGAAAGTATATACACGGGACAAGCCACATGTTAATGTTGGAACCATTGGGCATGTGGACCATGGCAAGACTACATTAACAGCAGCCATCACCAAAAGTGAGAGGGGTGGGATGGGAATCAACTAGTGAAAGACCAAATAAATACAAGTTGAAGCAGAATTGACCTGCTTCTTTAACCATCCCTTGCTTTAATTTTGTAGAGAAGTTGTGGGGCTTTTTCTATAAAGAAGGCACTGACCCAATAAAAAAAGTCTGAGGTCTGAAATTGCCAGTAGGCCAAGAATATTTAAGGCTTAAACCTGAAAATAGTTATGAAGACTGAGCTTTGTATAGATTAAGCCCAGAAGATTTGGTTCTGTGTCCTGTCAGTGAGACCTAGCTTAGTTCCAAGCCCCACCTACAATGTGATAGCTTGGGATCCTCCTCAGCTGAGTCACAGCCAAAGGATTCTTGAGCGCACCCCCCCCCCCCCCCACTGCACTAGTACAGCAGGACAATCCTTGACAGAGCTCTCTGTACCTCAGCTGCTCACTGCCTTGCAGAAGCCAGGCTAGGAGAAAATGCAACAAGGGTGCAGAACAGAATCAAGTGGGGCCATTTGGTGGAATCTTAGAGGGCTGGCCTGGACCTTTGAAGGGTCAGATTGTGATCCCTGGCATGAGGTTCTGCACCGCTGCTCTACCAGAAGAGTTCTGCCAAAGTTATTCATATATATCACAATGGGGGTTCAAGAGCCTTTAGGTCTGTTCTCTAATCCACTGCTGCAGCAGTTTAACATACAGGCAGTGATGTGGCCCATCGACTCTCGGCTTGGCTGCAAATCATTGTTTTTTTTTAAAAGAAATGCTACCAAATAGGACACTAGACCTAGCTTGCTTTCTGGAACTTGGGAATCCTGTTAACCATTTCTTCTGCTCCTTCCAGTTCTGGCAGAGACTGGAAGTGCCCAATTCAAAAAATATGAAGAAATTGATAATGCACCAGAAGAGAAGTCACGTGGTATCACAATCAATGCCTCCCATGTTGAATATGCAACAGCCAACCGGCATTATTCACACACAGATTGCCCTGGACATGCTGATTATGTCAAGGTGCGTATCAGGAAGGATCCCAGGAGAAACATCCACGTTCCTTATCCAGAAGCCCTCTCAAGATATTTGCTGATGATACTTTATGCATTTAAATGCATGGGTGATTTAAGGTAGCTTGAAACTATCTAGAGTATTTCCTTCCTTTCGACAGATTCTTTTATGTACGGCAAGGAGTGTTGTTCGAAAAAGACCACAAACTGACATGTCTCGTCCTCTCTGCAGAACATGATCACAGGGACGTCTCCACTGGATGGCTGTATTCTGGTGGTAGCTGCAACAGATGGGCAGATGCCGCAGACAAGGGAGCACCTTCTACTAGCGAAACAGGTGATATATTCTCTGGTGGCACAGTAGGGATGGCTAGGGGGATCCAGCATGTTCTTCCGAGAATGTGGCATGCTTCTCCCAATACCCAAGTAAGGGAGCAGTGTACAGCTGGGTCTCATCCTTCCATTTTCTCTTCTGCTGCCTCAGATAGGCGTGAAGTACATTGTAGTGTACATCAACAAGGCTGATGCAGTTGACGATTCAGAGATGGTGGAGTTGGTGGAGTTGGAGATCCGTGAGCTGCTCACAGAATTCGGCTACAACGGGGAGACGACTCCTGTAATTGTAGGCTCAGCACTCTGTGCTTTGGAGGTCAGTGGTGCATACACATTGTCCGAGTTTCATTCCTTCCTTTAAATTCCTCCCTTTTTAAAGGTCCCTATCTGTCCCTAATTGTTTGCAGCAAAGAAACCCAGAGCTGGGCTTGAACTCGGTCATGAAGCTGCTGGATGCAATAGACACGTACATCCCTCTGCCGGAGCGTGAGCTTGACAAGCCATTCTTGCTTCCAATAGAGCACATTTTCTCCATCCCAGGTACTAAGTTGCATAGGTTGTCCACCCTAGTTTTGAGAGAGTAGCTGTTCAGCTCCCATGGTGGTAGCTCTATTCTCTACCCCAGGTTTCCTGTACTATCTTCATCTGTTTGTTCCAGGTCGTGGTACTGTGGTGTCAGGGACACTCGAACGTGGTATTCTCAAGAAAGGAGATGAATGTGCATTTGTGGGGCACAACCGAAACTTGCGCTCTGTGGTGACTGGTAAGTCTTGAACTTTTGCAAGAAGTTCTTACAGTCAGCTTGCTTTTCCTCCTCTGAAGTGCAAAAATGTACCTGTAGCAAGGGATGAAAGCATGATCTTGGGGAGGCTATGAGAAGTTTACAAAGGGTAATGGCACTCCATTGGCTTCAGGGATTGAGACATTCCACAAACAGTTGGATCGTGCAGAGGCCGGTGACAATTTGGGTGCTTTGGTGCGGGGACTAAAGCGAGAGGACTTGCGACGGGGGATGGTCATGTGCAAACCAGGCAGCATCATGCCACACCAGAAAGTTGAAGCTCAGGTAAGCAGGCTCACTCCAGAGAAACAAATGATTAAAAGGCTTGTAGTTCTAATGATGGGGAACAGTCACATGTCATTAAGGGGGAGTGGGCAAAACCTCACCCTTACCATGGAAACCCACTGCAGAGTCAGAAAACTTCGCCATTAAAACTACTGGTGAGGTAGTTGGCATAATGGCATCTTGTGGGGTGCAGATGCCCCCAGACTTCTTGAAATAGCTTCACTGCTCACTTTAAAACTTTGCTTTGATGGATGGGCAAGTGCTGAATAACTAAAACACAGGTTTCTGTCAGTTTTGGTGCAGTTACTGTTCTGGCAGCAAAAAATAAACTCAGCATGTGTGTTGGTAAATGAGGCAAACATAAATTCTGTTTCCTAGGTTTATGTTCTGAGTGCTGAAGAAGGTGGCCGCAAAAAGCCTTTTGTATCAAACTTTTCGCCTGTCATGTTTTCCCTGACTTGGGACATCGCCTGTCGCATAGAATTGCCTCCAGGGAAGGTGAGCGTTTCTCTCTTCCTACCCCATTTTAACCAGCCATTTCTGAATGTTGCTGAAATGGTTTATCCTCTTCACAAGCAAACGGTCCTTAAAACTGGCAGTGTGAGCACATACACAAAACTTAGATCTGACTATTTTCTCTCCTTCCTCAGGAGTTAGTGATGCCAGGAGAGGACACCTCCCTTACTATGCTATTGCGGCAGCCTATGGTCTTGGAGGAGGGACAGAGGTTCACGATGCGGGATGGAAATAAAACTATTGGCACAGGAGTGGTCACAAAAACATTGCCTGTAACACCAGCAGATGAAGAGAAATGGGCAAAGTAAAGGGTTAAGCCACTAAAACTGTTTCTATGCAGGTCACAGGTAGACAGTGAGAAATCTGGAATTTAAATTTGTGTAAATACTTGCTGTAGGCAGCTTCCCAGAGAGAGGCCCTCCTGATGAAACCATCCAGGATACATTTCTCAGAAAGTGGGTTAGCCTTCCAACCTTAACAAGAGAAGATAGCACTGGCCAAGTGTGTTCTGCTCATTTCATGGGGTGTTGGCGGGTGGGAAGTTAAATAAAATACTTGAAAACTGATTGTGAACCAATTGTGTATTCTTTTAAGGGGCAGTTTTTTCCTGTTCATCTCTCAAAGGGAATGCAATTCATACTATGAAAATATAGGTATTTGTGAAGTGGGTGCAAATGAAGTGACTGGGGGTGACAAAGTTCTGTAATTGTTTTTATATTAAGAATGTACTTCGGGGGTGGGGGGGGGATTCTGAATATTTGGCACAATCAAGCTCCCAAAATCCCATTCAACAATCCTGAAAAGTTTCTGACCTAGCACATGCCCAAGTGGCATGAATGCCAAAGCAAATTTCTCCTGTGCCCCACAAAACCACTATTGAGGGTTGGGGATCTTTAAAAAAAAAAACAACTATGCAGGACAATTGTAGGAGTACACCTTTTGCTCAGCCATTCTTATTCTACAACATCATGATAAGCCTGCTTTTGGCTATGTCTTTAGGAGATGATTTTTAAAATGAGTCTGTACTTGCACAGACGGTGGTATGAAACTTTCCAAAGTTAAAGGTTTTGGTAGATTAACCTGGGAAGCAAAGAGATGCTCAAGCAGCACTGCTTGTTTCTATAGGAGAGAATGGGTGGTTTATTTTTTGTTATTTTGTAGTTCATTTACTAAAATGTCACTGCTAACAAAATTATAGAGGGCTTTTTGCTAAAATACAAAGCAGTTTTCTGTGTAAGAGAAGATTCACAGAAAAAGTAAGCTGGACAGAAAGCTGGAAAATTAGAAACAATTTTTTTCCCACTTGGCTTGGCAAAGCTGAGCTTAATCCTACTAAGAAGAAAGTCCTATGTACTGCTGCAGTGGTGTAAAGAAATATGAGAGCCAGATGCCACTTGGGTGGACCAGTTGTAAAAAATGATGGTACAGGTACAAAACAGCTTTGATTAAAATAATCTTAACACCTTGGAAAGCATAGGTTTGGGGAATGCTGCTCTTAGAAATTTCAAAAAAAAAAGTGGCTGTACCACAGACCACTTAAAACACCTTAGCTATTTTCTCATACATAAATGTAGAAGCAGACAGAATTAAGGAACCTGTTTTTTAAGTTCCAGAAAGTCATTTTTTCCACTTAAGAGCAAACAATATATACTATACTGCCAATCCCAACCCCTTGTTTACATAGACTAGTATATCCTTTCTGGAGTTCTCTGTCAGGTGCAAGGAATAAAAGTACCAGATCTCCAGCCTTGTAGAAAACAATCACAAGACAGTGTTTTCTTACTCCCCTTCATCTTCCAAGGTGGGGAAAAAAGGACCTGTAACTTAGGTCTTGCTTTGTGTAAGGGTCAAGTATTATTCCTTCAAGCTAGAAAATACAAAATTTTTAAAAAGTCTGACAACCTAAACTGGTGTGCTCCAGGTTTGGACTATACCCCCACCTCTCACCAGCTCAGAAGCAGTAAGGCCAACTTGGGATATGCAAATTGTGATTGAAAACAACTTGAAGGGAAGGCAGCTGTCTGTCTCCAAGTCAGTCAATATGAAAGTTATCAATACTGACTTTTAAAGTTGTCTTCACTAGAAGGAACTGGGCAGGATAGGCAGCTGCACCACAAAAATAATCACGCTATTCTGCAGTACAGTCCTATTTTCACTATGCATTGCTTACTCATACTTCTAGTGTTATAAAGGCCGATGTTTTGTAAGCAGATTCCCAGGATATCTGAATACATGTAACTGCTTTTTGATAATGTTCTCAATTCTCACATTTTGGCCTTACAATGCCAGGCTTCATTTCATTGATTTTCTCAAGAGGTAAAAATGGAGTCAGAAGGAATCACTAGATCTTAATTCCAGTTGCCAAGTAAGTCTACATCAATTCTATACTTAGTATTTTTGTCCTATACTGCTCGCTAATCTCCAAGACCATAACCATATGTGCGCTCTCTTTAGCTGAAGATTCAGGCCACAGCTGCACGGCTTCCACACCAGCCCTTCCCTGGCCTTTATCTCAATAAACACAGTAACAGTAACATCAATAAACACATTCCAGTCTCAAGATGAGACTGGAATTGAAGTAGTCTGTCAGAGAAAAATGTGAATTTCTCAAGATTACAGACCTATGACAGCTCCAAAACTAAGTCTGGGCCCAAGTGGTAGCATTATACCCGCATTAATCATACCTTAAACGTCTCAGATCATGACTGGCTGGGGCATACAGTTAGGCTGTTAAATTGTTTCATAATGGTTTGTAGAATAAATTTTTGAAAAGGATTTTGGCAACAATCTCCACATAGTAACAGCTTTTGAAAACTTGAAAAGTAATAAGGGGTTCTGCCCAGCCTTTGGTACAGGCAAGAACTGAACCTGATATATGGTATTCTGCCCAATGCCAAAGCCCTTCAAGTTTAGCATAATACTTTGTAGAGGAAAATAACGCCCCCCCCCCAGCAAAATAAACCCCCAGTCAAAAAATACCAGGTTATGTATGTGACGCTTTTGTGTTGGCAATCTCAGAACTTACAACCAATTGCTTAGATCTCTGTTCTACTGCCAATTCTCTTGCTATTTCCAGAGGCAGTGCAGCCTCTGAACTGGACAAATAAGGAGGTGCAATTGCCCATCCTTGCAAACATTCCTTTGTGTCTTGACGGGTTACAAAGCATGGGAAAGCACTCAAAGCATTTCACCCCCAAACACATCCAAAATCCACAGAACCATGAACAAAAATCACTGGCCAGAAATTGGCTATCGCAGATACAGTCACCCTAAGCCCAACATTAGTTAGTTTAAAATTTTATTTTTTTTAACTTTTTAAATATTTTTATTTAATAAAAAGTCAAGGTTTGTCCATCTGGTCATGTCCTTGTCAAGTTAATGTGGGAAAGTGGCATTTGCTCTAAGAGCCTGAATGGAGTCATAAATAACAGAAAAGAAACCCTCCCCTTCTCCGGGGAAGGGGCCCTGCTCCATCCCGCTGGCTGACAGCACCCCAAGCGGGCTTCACTAAACCAACGGAAAGGAAGGTGCTTGGTGAAGGGGGGGCGGGCCAGACTGCACCCCTCCAGGGGCCTCTGCCATGGGCCAGCAACCGAGCCAGACTCTGTCATGGGCCAGACTTGGGGCCAGCAACAGAGCCAAGGCTGACTGGGGTTTTCAGGTCACGGGGAGAAGCGTGGACATCAGTTCCCAGGGGTGTGGAATGGAAGCTGCTGGGAGGGATGAGACTGAACTGGAAAGAAAGAAAAGAGGCAGTGAGGAACATGAAGGCACTGGCAATAGACCCACCAACCCTCCCCTAATCTTGTACAGACAAAGCTTCAGCAAGCCCTAGTCATCTACCTTCTTCCAAACCCCTCAAGCTTCTTTCAAACCCCTCATAAGGCTCTGTTCAATTTCCTTCCTTGACTCACCTTGATGGTGCCCTATATAAGTGTAGGGGGAGGGTGTGGAGGCTGAGAGGGTGGGCACACCACTCTGGGGCACACCTCCTTGAGGGGGTCCACCATGGGTCTGCGAGGGATGCAGCAGCATGACCTGTGGAGCTCCAGGGTGAGGTGGTGGGGCAGCTGCAATTCCAGTCTGGACATGGGCCTGTGGGGAAGACAAAAGCCATTTTGGCCCATCCACATCAGTGTTTTAATAAAAATGGATGGCATGGCACTTTAACAACTGACCAAAAGTACAGGGGGACAGTTTATATTTGGTAATCAGATTACCCGAAACCACTTAAGTGTTATCTGGACTTCATTAAGATTTTGGAACTAGTCCTAATCATTCTTCAAAGAATGCTCACAGACACAGAAAAGATACACACAAAGAAGAATTAGACAATATAGTCAACAACTGATCAAAATGTGAAATGATTTTGAAACTGGAAAGCTCTTGTAATCATAACTAAACAGAACTGGGTGAGAGTGTAGCAGCAGTAAACAGTGGGATGCCAGAACAAGAGGAAGCCCTGAAAGTTAGTGGCTTTGATCAGTATGTTGTTCCCAAAGATCACTGTTCCAGCACCAAGCACAGTTCAAATTTGTTTTCAGTCTCCCACTCACCCAAAGCAAAAACTCACCTGGGATGTTTCTGTAAATACATGACAAACACAGGCAGTACTCATGGAACTTTTGACCAAAGCCAAGCACCTTCTAGGTCTCTATTATTACAGTAAATGTATATGCTGCTTGTCAAGTAGGTTCAGCTGAGAGTGAGTGACTGGCCCAAACTCAGTGAGCTTCATGGCTGAGTGGAGTCTAGAATCTCAGTCCTCCAGTCCCAAATCTAACTCTAACCACCACATCACACTGGCTCTTTAAAGCTCAGTTGTATTTCTGCTGGTTCTCCCCAAACATGAGAGTCCTAAGTCTATGGCATTACATTTGAAGGTGTGGAATGGAGAGTCAATTTATAATGGAAACCCCAAAATATCCTGATAGAGGTAAACTAACACCTGTAACAGGATTTGAAAAAACAAACAAACAAAAAACCCTGCTGTCCCAGTTTAGGCTACAATTGAAAGAATACAATTTTTCATCAGTTTAATTTCAGAATTCTCATGCTGCTTAAAAACTGCCAAGCAGCCAGGTAGGGATGGGGAACAGAAATGGTCCTTCAGATGTTTTCCTCCTGAAATCCCTCACGACTGCCTAAGCTGGCTAGGGCTCATGGCATCTGCAATCCAATGACATCCGGAAGTGCATGGTCCCCACTCATACTGTACAACCTGAGAGAAGGCCATTTGTCATCTCCCAACTAAAAGGACTGCACACCCTCAACATAGTATTTCCCTTTCATATGTCTTAGATCATGTAAGACACAGTACATGGGGACCAGAACCTTCAACCAAATCCAAATACAATCTCTGTTCTCATCTGTATTCTGATGCTGCTGCAGGCCCTAATCTTAGTTTGAACATGGAGAGATATTTCACTGGCTCATCTTCTACTGGTCACTTTCACTTTTAGGTCTGGTTCTGTGATAGTCTACTTCCAGACACCAGTTTGATCTTGGTGTTCTGGCTTTTTTACTTTATTGGGTGGATATTATACTCTTTAAAAATGCCTTGATTTGAATACTTAAGCTACGAATCTGTACTTAAGAGCAAGTGAAATCTTGTGGTATGTTCTGGGGGAGCAGGGACACATATTAATATGCTTATTTTAGAAATAGTGCTTATGTTCACTGTGTAATCTGGGGGCATGAGACCTAAGGCCTGTAGATCTCATTGGGTTCCCCAGGCCACGCTCTTATCGCTGATCTCATGCCTTTCTTCACCAAACATCATTTCTTGACTTCTGCAGTTTTCATCCCATTCTGAAAAGCTGAAATGCCTCCCATGTCAGGTTTAAGATAAAATGTGTTGGTATTTTGGCCCCGATTCCTTTTGCCCTGCCTACTACTGGAATACAGCCTCCAACTACATTCAGAACTCAAGCTGAAATGAGTTCCCCACTTCTAGGATCCCATCTCAGTAGTATCCAGAGAGTGAACTACGAGATGGAATTGTCTAGGCTCAGGTTGATGGTAGGGTGAAAGGCATTTATTGACATCACCGCTTTCCAAATGGGAGCTATGCATTTTTTTCCCTACCTTCACTGTTAAAATATTTTTCTCCTACAAACTCACAGACCTAGCAACTGCAAGTAACTCTTAAAGTACCTAATGAGGTGAACTCGTCTATAAAAAGTATGCTGTAACAAATTAATCTTAAGATACACACAAGCATATAATCTTATGGTAAGGTTTCACGAGTAGTATTTACATGGTGGAACTGTACAACATCTCCTGTTCTTAAACTGTTTCTTCTTGTACCCAAGTATTTCAGAATCTAATCAGCAATGTCCATGTTCCAGTTGTGCACCTCTAATTTAAACAAAGATGCTAATGGACAGCACAGCCACAGCCTCCCTTTTTAGAGGTGAACACTTACCTGGGTGACATGGGCCATGTTGGTGTAGCCGTGCTGCAGCTGCTGATGGGCATGGATGGCGTACACTGCCTGCTGGGGAAAACTGCTCTGCGGAGATTGAGCACTGGGTCCTGGTGTGATGGAAGGCGGTGTAGCTGTCAGCGTGGCTGTGTGGTACAGGTTCTGCTGCTGCTGGGCACTGGCCAAATGAGGCGGCTGGCCAGCCTGATGCTGTTGCAAGGAGCACAAAGGCCAAGGTTTAACTATCAGAGATTTGCATCACAGCTACCGCGAAGCCATTTTCTTTCCCCTTCCCCCTACTGCCTTTACACAAGTTAGGCATTCTATGGAGCAGATTTTAGGGAGTCATCTCTAAACCAGAAAAAGGCTGTATCCACAAGAGTGAGCATTTTAAATGTCTGAATAAGGTTTATCCGTGCTGGTTTCTTTCATTCTTCCCAAAATGAAAACCTAGTGCACATGGATAAAGATACTGCATTCCCTAATCCTACATCATTGATTTCAGTGATAAATCAATGATGAATCAATACTACATCACTGATTCATCACTAAAGGTGAGGTTAGACAGCTCAGATTTCTAACACCAGCAGGAAATTCTCAGGAGAAAAACCCGTCATTATTTTCAATTAGCTAAAAGCAAAAATAGCCATGACTGTTTGTTAAGACTACAGTGGACCCCACCTATCCCCCTCTCATCTACCAGCAGCTGTTCATCCATAAGGCAGGATATTTCTTTTAACACAGGTGCTGTTATTGAAATTCGCATTTGCATTAACATCCAGTCAGAAATGGCTGCAAATTACCAACTTATAGTACTGTTAAGAGGTCTGGGCACCCCAAATGAATAAGAAAGCAAGCAAGCACACATTATTCTGTTCCTAACACTTGATTTTACAGATACAGCTCAAAAAGCTGAGGCTAAATGAGGTAGCTTCTGCTTAACGCAAGACTCCCCTCAGTTCTGGATTAGCCTAGGAAATTGCAGACCTAAACCTGGAGTATCAAATCAGTGCCAATTTCGAATGCAGAAACAAACTGTGCAGGGTGCAAGAGCCAGAAAAGCATTAAGTGTCTCCCCCAGACTAGCACCCCACTCCACATGCTCCCTCCCTCCCTCCCTCTAGTACCTGCACAGGGCTGGGGGCGGCGTGCTGCGCTTGCTGTTGGTTGCCTGTGGGCGTGGTAGCTGGTTGAGGCTGATGTGGATGCAGCTGTGTGGCATGGTGGGGATACGACTGATGCACTGTGGCTGGGGAGAGAAGCAGCAAGCAGCAATCAACAATGCAATGGTGGGTGGGAGAAGGAATGCTCCGAGTGATTATTTCCTGAGGATCAGTAAGGCTTACCATAAAGAGCCTGGGGTGTTGGCTGCTCTGCTGGGGGATACTGGGCGGTAGATGACGAGACAATAGCCTGAGGGTGGCTGCCTGAGGTCATCATACGGGGATTGCTCTGCAGCATGGGGGCAAAGACAGGCTGGAGAGGAGAACACGAATTAGAAAGCACGGGCACACATAATTTCCTTTCCCCTGCTGGTGCATATGTCACACCCACCTGTGAAGGATAGTGTGCCATTGGCTGCATCATGGTAGGCTGTCCTGTGAACTGCTGGGGGTTGTAGGAGATATATGAGGAATATGGAGTAGCAGCCACCAGAGGGGGACCTGCAGCAGCCGCTGCCTGCATAATGGGAGGAGCTGAAGTTGGCTGGTGCTGGTCTGAACGCTGTGGGGGTAGAGAGCCTGTGTGGGAAGAGAATTCAGGTAGAAAAGCCAGTCTACGACCACACTACCTCTAAATAGCAACCTAGCCAAAAAAAACACCATGCCTTCTTTATGAACTCTAAAACTCTCCATCTGCTCACCTTTAGCTCCTCGATACTTGCCCTGCTGTCCTGGCACAGAATTGGAAACAGGGTAGGAATACATCTGAGGTGCCTGCAGAGAACAGGCAAGCCACTTAGCTCCAAAGTTATGATCACCACAAACCCTACCATTTGGAAGGAACCAAAAATTGAGTGATTGTTCATTAATTATTTACCACCCCATAGCTGGGTAGTTTACAATCATCACTCCCATCTCTCCAAAGGGCCTGGCACCAGAACCCAAACTGAATCAGCGCTGAACAGGTGTCAAAAAGGCAATGCCCTTTGGCAACACCCTTCAGGTCTTTCACTGAAGGATGGCCATTAGGGAAGCCGCATCCCCCATCCAGTGGGAGAGCTGGGCGGGGCTCCCTCCCTTTCTCTCACCATGTCAAGGCCACATTGGAAGTTGGTGGCGGAGAAAAGCAATGGTGACAAGGCCAGTCCAGGAAACCACGGTGCAGCTGGCAGATGGCAGTCGCCCTGGGTGTCACCTGCTGAAGCCCACCCTTCTGTCCAAAGTTAGACTCATTTCCCTATCAATTCCACCCCATTCTCACCTGCACAGCTGGGCTCATATGGATCTGTGGGATGTAAGAAATGTACTGTGTGCTGTACATGCCGCTTTGCCCTGGGGTAATCACGGGGATAGAGGGCGTGGAGTGGGTACGCGGTCCTGGTGATGTCGGCGTACTCGTTGACTTGTTCTAGACAGAAGAAAGGCGCTACTGTGAGAACAATCAAAGGGAAGGTAGAGGATACTTGGGCCGCTGTGATTCCTGCGAGTGAAATAACCCTCTAGCTAATTTCCCAATGACATACCACAGACAGGAGAGTCTTGGAGGGATTGAATTCCTTTGCATTAGGGTTCAGTGTTGACTTCTTCACCTGTCTGCAAATAATGCAACAGAAATGAGATGGAAATCTACAATATGCTGATAGCAACATCTCATCTACTAGGGTTCCCACCAGTAACTCACTCTGAGACAGGGCCGTCCTCCTTGTCATCTGTGTCGCCTTTGCCCAAAGGGCTGGCTGTTTGGGTCTGGCGTTCCATGCCTTCACAGGGTCCTTTCTCCTCCTTGCTGCTGCCTTCAGACAGCTCTAGGTTTGGCTTCGGGGACTCATCAGGCACCTCACATGTAGCCCCAACTAATGCCTCTGGGGGCTTTTCCCTCACTTTTCCTTCAAGAGGTTCCTTGGCCCGAAAAGATTCAAGTGTGGCCTCTGAGGAAGAGCTGGACTGCAGCTTGGAGGCAAAAAAATGTGAGATTAAGCAACTGTAGCCACACACACACACAACTCCCTCAATGAAGGATAATGAACGCAAATAAGATCAGTCTCACCTTAAACTGGGCTCCAAACTTGCGCAGCTCCTCTAGCTGATTCCTCTTCTGTTCATTTTGAAGGCCTAGAGAAGGACAAGAATGAGCATATTTATATAAACCAAAGCTTCAGAGCACCAACTGCCAAATATGGAAAGCACTTGCAAAATCAGCTATAGTTCAGGTCATGCTGCATGAAACCTGTAAGATTTTTGTTTTAAGATCTGTATTGGGATCTTATGAAAATCAGAAAGCAAGCAACAACAAAATCACAAACACAAATCACTTAAACAGACTTCTTAAAAACCTCTAAATCAAAAATCACAAGAGGCACAAACCTTTGCTTGCCTGTTTGACCAAATCAGAGGGCCCCATAACCTCTAAGGTTCTGCTTGGCTCTTTGGTGACAGAACTAGGAACCTCTTTAACTAGAAGGAGATGGGAAGGGAGAGAAGCAGGAAAGAAGACCTGTTAAGTTCCTGATTTTTTCACAAGCTATGAAATTATTCTGGAGAATGTGGCCACTTCCTAAGGAGCTTCCTCTGTTCCAACTCCCAGACACTTTAAGCCAAAAAAGGAGCATGGCTTCGTCTACCATTTTAAGCTCCTTCAGCTCCTTCGAGTCAGTGGATTTGAAAATATGCTCTGCTTAACTGGGGGAGAGGAATGGGAGATGCTCAGTTCTCTGGACAAGGACAACCACCAGTTGGAAGTATTGCTACTTCCCTTCCTTGCTGACTGGCACTAGTCCTTTACATCCAGTGTAAATCCTTACCCTCAACAGCAGTTACTGGGGCGGATGCTGGGACCTTGGGTGAAGGCGGAGTCGGGGAAGCACTAGGTTCCATGATAGGCCTTGATTCAGAGGGTGATGCAGGAGCAGCAGGGACTGCTGATCCCACTGGGGGATCCTGGGAAGTGGCAGATACATTTGAGACAGACTTCGGGGAACGTGGAGCATACAGACGGCCCACTGTGTAGAAAATGCAAAGCTGTTAGATATAAACACCAATACTTATAGCACTACTTTTTCTCAAAGGTCTTTAAAATGATCCATTAACTCCATGACCTATTCTACCTGTAGGAGATGCAGCTGAGACTTCCATAGTTCGGCTGGAGGGGGAAGACATGCTCTTGGCCCCCCGGATGGGTCGTTGAGACTTTGGAGACATTCTGGATGGACCTAAAAGAGGAAACCATACTAATGGATGAACAGCGACTATGCAGGCACACCAACCAGTCCTTCGCTGTCCACAACTTTTCTTGCAGGTGAAAGGTGGAAATTCCATCATTTACCAGAATTCAAGACTACCCTGGACGTCTCAAAGGAAAAGCTGTGGTCAAGAAATAAAGTGTAACTGAATATCAAAATTATTTCCCTCAAAACTAAGATGGGGAAAATTCCACAGCCACTTGATACAGTTAAGTTAATCCACTAACCAATCAGATGTAACCATTTTTGTCCCACACAAAAGTGCCTGCACATTAACTTTTCAAATATCCCAATTTCTAAACCTGATATGCTCATCCTCACCTCCATTGATGCCTCGTTGCTCTGGAATGGAGCTAGTGTTGCTTTCTGAATGATGTGCACTTCCACGGGGTGGTAAGGAGCCCATTCCTGGCCGCCCACCCCGAGAGCTGCTGCAGCGTACACCTCCTCGTGAACCTTCTCTGACACGCTGGGGAAGTGGTATGTACTTGCCTTCTCTGTAAAGACAGAAAATACTGTGGCAAAGAAACTTCCAGTGCTTTCTTGGGATCAGAGTCATGAAGGAAAATGGACCAGGGGCTTCAGCCACTGAATACAAGCTCATGCAAATGCTGGGTGACAGACTCAGACATACAGAATGAGAAAACAGCTCATACAAAGTGGACTCTGACTTAATTATTTTCTTCCAAAATATGCAGTGTAAACCAGCAGCAAGTGAAAACCCTGCTTCCATTATGGCACAGAAGATATCTGGATGCTGAACCAGAAGAAGCCTTTTAGATTGCGGAATGTGCTCCCCAGAGAGGTTTGCCTGGTGCTGAGCTTATATTCTTTTCGGCACCAGGTCAAAACTTTTTTATTCAATTGTTATTTTAGAAATTAGTATTTTAATGTTTCACCAGTCGGTTTTAATTTTTATTGGTTATATGTTATTTCTTATATTTGTATGTATTGTTTTATTGTATTTTGATTTTAATGACTGTAAGCCATCCTGAGATGCCATGCATAAGGGATGGCGTATAAAAGCTTTAAATAAATAAATTGTATTTATATATTGTATATAATATAGATTTTATATATATGAACTGTAAAAACAAGGTACCACGTATATGTAATAACATGATGAAATGTTAATTAAAATTCCTGCTCACACATTTTTATTCAATTTATATTGAACAGCTAAATCCTTTTTTATGTGATGACTCAGAATCAACATTTTAAAATAGCTCAGTATAAATAACATCAAATCAGTAACCAAACACAGCAGACAAGACAAAATCACCAACAACCCATAGAAATAAACTTGCTCCTAAACAATAGAGAATACATGCTAAGGGTATGTTTTTGTGCAGAGTATTCCACAATAAGCCAAACATTAAGCCATCAATTGGAGTGATACAGTTGTGTTGTGCCAGTCTCGCCATCATGAGTTGCGTGAGGACTGAACAACCCTCACAAAACCTACTAATAACCAAAGGTTATGTGGCCATTTTGAGCATTGATGGCTGAGTTGACACAACATAGAGCAACCCCTGATCACCCCAACTGGTGGCTGCATGTTGAAAAAAGCAGCCACACAGACAGCACACTGTGACTTATCATGAGTTAAATAACCCATTATGAGCCAGCTGTGTTGTGTGAACCATGTCAATGGGTACACCACCACAGAAGGGCTCTGCCTCCTGTTCCTAGATACCTGTTTTCTGAAAGCATAGGTACATAGAATATTCTCTTAAGACATTGCTTTAAGTGAACAAAAAAGTTAGGGGAGAAGGCAGTCCGTCATTCAAAGCGTACAATGCAACCCTAGCCATGTCTACTCAGAAGTACGTCCTACTAAGTTCAGTTGTACTCAGTCCCATGAAAACAGGTTTAGGATTGCAAATCTGCTCTTTTAAAAAAAATCCAATGACCTCTTACAGTTTGTGACTCCTCTCGCTAGAACGTGTACGCATGCACATGCATGGGCTAGGCAGTTCCTGGCAGGGGCCTTGGTCTTTTTGTAACTGCCTGACAAGCAGAAATTTAAGGCATGAAGCTTTTTTTTTTTGCTTGGAGATAAGCAATGTGAACGTTATGAAATGCTATCAGACAGACTACTGTGAAAATCACAAGGAACAATAATAAAAGACAGTGGCAAGTTCACCATGTGGAAATTATGTAATGAGTTGGAAGGCCCAGAGAAGCTCACCTGGTGTCATCTTTGCTCTCATTTTGGCCTGAGGCAAACACACCCATTTTACCAACTAAATTTAAGATGATTATATTGATTTTAATGGGTTTAAGAGATTATTAATGGTTGTTCTCTCACTTTTACATGATTCGTATTGATAACTGTTAAATTATTACTTACATCTTTAATTGAATTTTACCAGTTTTTACATTTTGTAATTTTAGGATTGTTGTACTTTTGATCTTGATTGCTGTATGCTGCCTAAAGAGCCTTTTAGACTACTTGGCAACATATACATATAATAAATATCAGCTGCTCTATAGCAAAAGTTATCTCAGCAATGCAGAACAAACATGTAGAAAAAGATGAGAATAAGTACTTAGGACTTAAAAACATATCCCAACAGTCTAAAACTTTTTATCTATATTTCATTGAGATTAGAATTAAAATGTTCCAGAATAAAACCTTGAAAAGACTGGATTAAATTTAAAGTCTTTGTATGGCAATTAAAATTTATCAGTGTAAGCACACAATACTATGGAGAGTACTCTATAAATAGGAAGCCACTTTAGAAAAGCAAGTTTCTAATGGGATCCTTGTGTTTCAGATTAAAAGAGTACTCACAGAGGTGAGTGCTGCCTATTTTAGGACAAACAGTCCTAAACAAGTCCAAATGGTCACACTTCTGGCCAATGTCACCCTCTCACCTGGATGCCAGACTGGGGCTGTCCCTTCCAGACACCTGTCTCTGCACAGAGCTGTGTTTCTCCTCTTCTGTGCGCCCATCATCATTTTCCATGGCAATGCGCAGTCGGTACTGCGGGCTTGATTCAATCTCCCGAGCCAGCTGGGCAGCCCTGGCTTCTCGCTGCCTGAATTCCTCAGAGTTATCCTTTTCAAGAGGGACTCTGCCAAGCAAAGATGGAACAGTGAAGAGGAATACGGAGATAAGAGACACACTGCCAACACCCCAGACATGAGGTTTTCTATTGGGTGGGTGGAAGAAAAGGTTCCACACACTTCTGACCTCCACTTTTGTGAAAGGCATTCCAGCCATTCAGGTTCAGTGCCTGGCCTACTAAGGTCTTGAGATGCTGGTCTAACCAAACCTTGAACAACATCTCTGTTTTCCACACAAATGAGTGCATAACAATTAATTTTAACTCATTAAGTAAAAAAAAGTTTTGTTCAATAAAAATGTGTAGTCAGTCTAAGAAGTGTTAAAAAGAAAAGGGAGTTATAACTTTACTGATTATTTTGCTGAGTCAGCAAAGATTTGATGGCTTTACATATCTCTCACCCATTTGCACAGGGTGGGAAGTCATGCAGCACACCTTTTGAGTGACCACCTGAAAGGTGGTGGTGTTTTTGTTTTTTTTGGTGGTTTGTCATTTAAAAAAGCTGAAGCAAAACGTGTCTGCAAAAGTGTCAATATAATCTTTCAGATAACCACCTATATTCAAGCCAAGCTCAAGCTGGGGAGCAAGGGAAGAAATGAACACAGGAAAATGAGTGTGGCATTTCTGTGCAATATAGTTCAGGGCCTGGAGGAAATGAAACATCAATCTGAAATTTTAGGGATGCAGGCTGCACAATGGCGTACAACTCCCACTCCACCAAGCTAGGGTCAGTAATGACGTTTTTACAATTAGGATAAGAGCATCTCCTATAAAGTAATCCATAATCAAAAAATACAGAGCAGAGAGGTCTGATAGTCAAGTACTGCTGAAGCAGGTGCGTGCAACTTTTTTGAATTTCAAGAGTCACATAAAGTACCAGGACGAGGTGAGCCACATGTGTGAACATACATGAGCACATTTACATACAATTCTCCCCAACATACAACACCTAAGATCAAGGAGACATAAACTATTCATTCAAATGTAACTCTTGGCTAAAAGCATTTCAGAGGTGAGATACCTGCTTTGAACAGATAAAGCCCACCTTTCTGAAAACACAAACCACCCAGGAAACCTTTCCTAGCACACTTTCTTGCTGGTGGATTCTAACCATCACATACTCTGTAATGTGGAATGTTTTCAGGGAAAAAAGGAGACTTGCTGGGAACAGGGTGTATGATTTCTGCCTTAGACATCTTGTTCCAAAGAAAAAGACAGGAAACCTTAAAGAGCTGGTTCTGGGAAACTTTAAGAATAATACACGATACAAGAATCAAAGACTCTATTTCTAGAATAATTTTCCTTTTCCCTCCTATTATTCTGGGAGTCTTGGGGGCTTACACTTTCAGCACCCAAGCTTAAGAGTTTAAAAAATCAAAAACTCTGAACAGATTCTGAAATCAGTTCATCAATCTGCCCCTGCCAATTGCTTTCTAGCAGCTGGTTTTGGCTTTACTAAGTGGTAGTAATTGCTTTTCAGTTGACTAAAAGGGAATGACTAATTTGGAGCTTTCCCGCCTACTTTGGAACAACTCTCTTGTAGCCTTCAAAATGAAGTTTCCTAGACAGCCATACTATCAACACCATGTGCAATCTCTTGCTCCCTCACGACTAAAATTTTAACTTACGTATATGAGGAAAGGCTGCTATCATAGGTGGTCTTCACACCATAATTTTCCTCGTTGAACTTGAACATTTCATTTGGGTCCCAGCCATTAGACTAAAATGAGAGACACAGAAACCTTTTCTTTAAAAAACTGTGAAACTTTTGCCATAAAGCAGATTTGCTAAACAGCAGCCCCAAGCCTCTTTTGCAACCTCAACCCAGGTGAGGATTATTTACCATGTCCGATTCCAAGTCATAATCATCACTGTTGCTGTCTCCTCCTTCCCAGCGCTGTAGCACCTTCTCTTTGTGCTCCCCATTCACCTTGGAATTCATAGCAATGGCAGAATCCGTGAACTTATCTAATACATAGAAAAGAGGGAGGCGTCAAAGCAGAAAAAAAGCCCAGTTCTCTCCTCCAGTCCAAGGCAGGTCACACTGCCTCAGGATTGTTCTCCTAAGGACGCGTTACCTTTGGTGGCGTAGTTAAAATCAACGTTGCGGAAGTGCACCAGCATGACATCAGCAGGCTTGAAAATCATAGTGTCCAAAATATCTTCCCTCCTGGGCCCAACTGGCTGGTCGGGCACCTTCTTATGCACAGCATCCACAGCAAGCTCAAACTGCAGAAACAATCCCAGTTAATACTTGCCACACATCCCTACCTTCAAGAAGCAGCTAAAATCTGAGTCGTACCCATTTTACATTATTTCACTGAGCATTAATTATCCATTGCCAGGCCTCATCTTTCCCTTCTCAAACCACCAGGCTGCCTAAGCAATCTTTTTTCAGGGGCAGGGGAAGATCTCCAATGTCACAGATTTTATTCTAAATCAGCAAAGCAAATGTCCTGGGAAAACCAGTCAGCAAACCAATCACTCACCTTGGAGCTCAGAGTTTTAAAAATCCCCTCAAAAGTGCTTCCATTTTTCACTTTCACATCACATGTGGACCCCTGGGAAAAGGAACATGAAGATGAAACTAAAATGCTGCACCAGAATAAAAAGGGAAGAAATGTACCAACAAACTTGTGGGCTGGGAATTATAATCACTATCTGAGCTGTGCCACCCATGCTGATGAAGTCTGCCCTAGCAGCTGTTAATAGAGGAATGTACATGGTCTTTATGGCTCAGCAGTAGTAGTGTCACATATTACAAAAGAAAAATAAAATCCATGGAACACAAATGCACAGAGAGAACTCTTGTGAACAGTAAAGGTCAAAAAGTAATTAACCTGAAAGATTCCCCATGCTAAATTATAGGAATCCAAGAAGTGCCACAAGTTAGAGGCCCTGCTGCAGAACCATATGCTTGAAGCTGCACCCTTGAAATCCTTTATCTTAAATCTTCTTGGGGAGACTCACCACAACTGCTGTCAGGAAGTGCAGCATTCGGGAATTGTTATAGACACCCTCGAAGACCTGGTGACAAATAAAAAAACACAAAAAAGGCTCATGAAAGCATCTATAAATATCTTCTGCTCTTTGCTCTCACTTCAGCACTTCCAATTACTAGGCATGTGGCTGCAGTAACACAAAAAAAGGTGATTTAGCAACTCAATAAGACCTAAAGTAGTGTACAAATCATTTGTTTTTTGCTAAGGAACTCCTTTCTTAGACACTGGTAAGTAGAAGTAGAGATAGGTGAGGAATCCATTTAGGGGTAGGAATTCACTGAATTTTCTGGGCTCAGCTCCCCCGACTACAGCCTGCTCTGCAGCTGCGCTGCATGAGAGTTCCTGGCAAGTGAGGCCAGCATTTGGAGGGCAGATGCCAGGAACTGAGACCCACGCATTGCCTAACAGGCATCCCTTTTCTTTACTACCTGCAGCAGCTCAAATGGCTGCTACGTGTCGTGTGGAAGAGGGATGCTTCTAGTGGTTGGCTGCATGAGATGCCATTCCTGGTGAACCCTGTGTGACTGCCAGCAGTGTTCCTTCCTTCGCCGCACGAAGCAGCATTTGGACTACTCTGACATGGAAGAAGGCTGGTTGTAGGGGGCTTGCCAGGAATGGAGTCCCATGCAACTGCCACACAAGCAGCTTCCCTCTTCCACACTACCTGTAGCAGCTGTTTGTGCGTTCCACTGACACGGAAGAAGGTTGCCAGTTGTGCAAACTTCATTCCCTGAGTATTTATGGACTGTCTCTCAGTTCAGCCTACTTTTTAAGACCAGATCAAGCACGAGAGGAAGTTCATGAATACTAGAGGGATGGACTCCTCTAGGGTTCATCCCAACCCTAATTAGAAGTCTTGGCCAGGACACTTAGGAATGAGATCAGTTGCTTCTCATCCTTTTTGGTCAGAGGATCTAAAGTACTAAAAGCACACTGTTGCCATAGCTTTCTGTCCACATAGATGGTAACTACACTGCTACAAATTTCCAAATATCGCTGTCACAGATAGTGCTAACAAAACCACATGGTTTGGAGATTCATTTTATTTTTTCGCTCTTACTTTTTTAGCTTCTACTTATGAATAAAATTTGTGCATTCTAGTGACATGACTATGACAGCTCTAGTGAACCTGCAAATACAGAGGAGGTACTTTCCACTGCTATCCTGTTACAAGTGGCTTCTTTGTGCCCAGAAAATTACTCAATTGATGTCTGAAACTCCACAGGAAATCAGCCTGGGAGATTCCAGCTAGCTTCACTGTAACACAGTGTGCTTACTGGAGATTCAAATCATTATTGGAGATTCAACCATCTTACTAATATGGGAAATGGAAATAAAAATAAAGAAGGAAGCACAGACAATAGATTTGGAATGGTCTTTTAGCAAATATCAAAGACCCAAAATCCTCTTAGCCACAGGAGTTGCAGATCTGAGAGAGAAGTGTTTAAACATCCTACAATTAACACATTGTGGCTACTGAGGACTTGAATGTCATGGGATGGCCAATCACATAGATTACAATCCCAATGGACAAGAAAAAGGCACTGTTGCCACAGAAGGCTTTGGTTCTGGTACTTACAGGAGACTGTGGAGGTCCTTTGCCTGTGCTCTGGCCCCTGAAAATGAATCAGGCACAAGGGTAACTCACAAGTAAATGGTATGATCCCCTACTCCCAAAAATAAACGTATCTCAAACTAACAGATCACCATTGTGACATCACTACTCAATACAGAGTTCCTTGGGCTGCTATACTCATAATACTCAACCACCTACACCACAAGTTTCACCTACATTTGAAAACAAAGTTCATACAACTTACAAACCTAGGCAGGCTTTTAAAGAAACACTCAAATTGGAAAAAAAAATGAACTTGAACAATAAAAATAATTTAATGCTGAATCATGTTCCAGGCTCTGGCCCCTAGCTCATATACCTTGCTTTCTTCAGAACCAAGGTAACCCCAAAAAATCTTGTTCTGCTCTGGAGACCATAACAAAGCATTCAAAGCTGGTCAACTGCCACACACCCTGGTTCATCTTCTAAACACTGATGCATTTAACCATGGCTCAGAAGAGTTTTTCTTCCTCATGCCAGATGTGCTCCCCAGTTTAAGACAGAAAAGTCTGAAAGCAGCATAAACTAATCATTAATGGAGAAGATACAGGAACAATGTGTGCCCAGTCTGTTCTTAATTGCTAATCATCTTACACAAAACATTGTACACAAAAGTTCAGTACTTCAGGCAAACATTATTTCTGGTCAGCAGGTTGCCAGTTTCCAGTATTTAACAGAAGCAACAGTAAAAGGAGGTACCTTCATGATGCAAAATGGGAGCAACCATCCACCCAAGAAAGTTCTATTATTATATTTGAACCAAAGCTTCAGCTCAGATGGAGACCTTATTACAGTTCATACTAAATGTATATAAGATTTGTTTAAAATGCTTCTAAGCTGCCTTTTATAATGGCAGCTCTCCTGAAGCAGGTAACAAGACAAGACTGTATACTGTTAAGTTTGCACAGGGTTCAACTGCACTTGTCTGACAAAAAGATACGAGTCAGATGGATTGTTGCAATGTACTCCAGCCCACGTTTAATCAAAAATAAACCCCACAGAGCTCAATGGTACGTGTACGAAGGACTGTAACTTTGCCTATGAGGGCTGTGAAGGGGAAGCACGTTGTCCGTCGTTAACCGGGCACCCCAAATGGGGACTGGTGGGTCGGTCGGGCCCCCGTGTATCCGTGCAAGGCAAGCAGCCTCCTGCGCTCATGAGGGGAGCACACTGGGCAGAGCGACGTCCAATCAGCCGCCGAGAGCATGAACTCCGCTTATCAGAGCCACACACTCCTGCCCCCCCTCCGGCGCTCCGCCCGGCCAAGTCCTCTTTTCAACCCTCCGGCGAGGGAGCGCGCGAATGCGCGTGCATGAAGTCCCCGATTTCCCTCTCTTTCCCCTCCACGCCATCCACCACTGCAGTTCCCCGGATGTACAGCCTTTCCATCAGTATTTTTAACGTGTACCTGGTGCCGCTTCCTCCAGGGGGGCCTCCTCCTCCTCCACTCCCGGGGGGAGCCACCGTAGTGGCTCTGGCTCCTCCCGCGGCGCCGGGGCTAAGGTTCCCGTTGGGGCTGGTTGGGGGCACACTGGCTTTGCGTGAAACGGCGGCGGCCGTGGCTGCGGTGGCTTGGGGAGGTGGTGTCGGCGTGGTTGGCGGCGGGGCCCCCGACCCGGGAGAGCTAGGTTGCGGGGAGGGCGGCGGCGGCAGCGGCTGCTTCAACATGGCGGTCGTGCTGGCGGCGGCAGCGAAAAGGGGCCGGACGCCGCAGGCTCAAAGCCCCCCCAGTCAGCACGCGCGCAAGACCGTTGGGGTGAGAACAGAGTCAGGAGACCCCCCCTCACGCACACTCTTCTTTTGTGCGACAACGAACAGGTCGGAGGCAGGAAAGGGGCAGGCGAAAGGGCACGAACCAGTCAGCCGGCAGCGGCCGTCAAGGTGTGCGGCTGTCTCGGATTAAACCGCTGAGACTCAGCCGCGCGCTCCTGCTACTGGCCCGGAAGGGGAAACTGGCAGGCAGGCCGTCGCGGAAACGGGGAGGGTTGAGCACTCGGGAAGGGGGGAGGGTGTTAAAACACGCACACACCGCGATCGCTTCCCACCCTGCGTTCTTCGTTGGCTTCGTCTGCGCGCGCGCACGACCGAGAGAGAAGCAAGCGCCCGCGGCCAAGGCCTCGACCCGACTCGATGCCGAGGAGGGTGTCCTCTCCCCGCGCGGCGCGCACTCCTATTGGCCGCTGAGACCCTCCGTGGGCTCGCGCGACAGAGGGGAGGGGGGGAAGAAGTTAAAAGTCTCGAGCGCTTGAGCCAATCAAGAGGCAGCGCTTAGGAGTGAAGGCCGCGAGGAGACCCTCAAGCTCGCGGAAGAGATGGGGTGGGGGAGGATAGAAGAAAGTGAGCGCGCGCGGCGAGGGGGACAGAGCGAGAGAAAAGAAGGGTGGGGAGGAATGGTGATGTTGGCGTTGAGGGCACCGACGCGAACGGTCTCAAACCCTTTCCGCCGCAGGGCTGGACGGTTTCCGTCTCTTTATCCGGCGGGCACTTGCTTGTGAGCGTGTGTGCGCGTATGTAGAGAGGGGTGGGAAAGGCAATACGGATCCCGCTGGCCCGCGCGGACGAGGAGTCAATCCGGTTGCTGCACAATGAGTCCCTGGTGGAGGGCGGGGCTTCGCACTGCGCCTGCGCCTCACGCGCTCCCCCCTGCCGCGCTCTTTCGCCGCCGCCGCCGCCGCCGCGTCTGCTCTGCACACCTGTTCGCCTGACCACTGAGTCTCTCGAGACCAATCGAGAAACGAAAGTGGGTGCTCGAGTTCCTGGCGGAGCTTTTAGGGAAAAGGGGGGCGTTCCTTCGGTAACGGCTCAGTGCACATGCGTAAGAGGAAACAAAGGCTTAGTGCCTGCCTTCTGAATTCCAACCCGCAAGGTGTGCGCATGTGCAGAAGGGAGGAGAAAGAAACGCTGCGCATGTGCACCACGCGTAAAAGCCAGTGGGCGAGTCGCATTGAGAGGATGTCTGAGTTCTTCGACTGCGCATGTGCAAGAGGCGGGACTTTCTGAGTTTGCAAGGTCCCGGATGTCGCTTGAAGCTGATTGACCCCAAATAACCCTGGTTTCCTCAATGTCACATGGGGTTCCTTGACCTCAAGGGCAATGGGACTTCCTCATCTCGGTGACTTGCGCTCAGAGAGGCTCAGAAAGGGGTAGCTGGGGGAAGGTTTAGCTCTGTGTTTTAAATATACAGCATATTGAAATATAAAACCTATGCATGTGTACATACACACATAATTTCATGAATACAATAAAAATAAAACCTCTTACAAATGTTGATTCTTCCTTTCTAAAAATCAAAGCTATACCTCCATTTATCTGCCCTTCTCTTATTACTGCATTGCATTTATATCCTGCCTTTTTGCCTCTGTAGAGAACCCAAGGCAACTTACATAGTTTACATCAATTTACCCTCATAACAACCCTGTGAGGTAGATTAGGCTGAGAGTTCATGACTAGCCCAAAGCCACCCAATGAGCTTCATGGCTGAGTGGGGTCTAGAACCCAGATTTACTGGATGTCTTCATTATTTCTTATCTATTTATTTAGCGGACTTATATGCCGCCCCATTCGCCTAAGCCTCGGGGTGGCTTACAAATAAATAAATAACATTAATACAATAAAATACAATTGGAGACATCCTGGCCAAAGTTGTTAAAATCCATAAATAACATCAACAATTAAAATATCGTTTAAATAAAAAGGTCTTCATCTGGTGCCAAAAAACAAATAACGACGGCGCCAGGTGGACCTCTCTGGGGAGTGCATTCCATAGGTTGAGCGCCACCGCAGAGAAAGCCCTCCTCCGAGTACTTACCCTCCTAATGTCCTTCATGGAGGGCTCCTGGAGAAGGGCCTCTGCTGCCGATCCCAAGGGGCGGGAGGGCACATATGGACATAATATTTCTTGTTCTCTCTTCTCCACTTCTTCAACTCCCCCCAGCCAAAAAATAATAAACTCATTCATTTATCATTCTCAAATTATGTTTCTAACAGGAGACCAGGGGTCCTCTGAGTATAAAGAGAGTCCTGAATATATATGGATCAGATAGAGCTATACATCATTTATTATATTTATATCCCTCCCTTTTTCTTTCTGGTAAATGCAAGCCTGCTTACATCATTCTCTTAATCTTCTCACAACAACCCTGTGAGGTAGGTTGACCTGTGAATCTGTGACTGGCTTGAAGTCTTCCTGTTAGCTCCATGGCTGGGTGGGGACTAGAACCCAGACCTCTTCAGTCCCAGTCCCCATTCTTAACCACTACACCACCCTGGCTCTCTTATGGTTTCAGCTGTCTCTGAAATACAACTTAAAGACTCCTCACTGACCTTCCTCCTTCAAGAGTAATTCACCCATGTGAACATCTGTCGTCTTGAATTGCTACTATGCTAGGTGAATATAAGATAACAGCTTGCACTTAGGTCCACAGTGTCCACCCTGTCAAACCAGACCTCACTCACAACTCCAGGAACACTTTTGTGCTCTGCTCCAGAACTCTTTTAAAATGCAAATGGCAAATAGTTTACACAACAATCCAAGTACTGAGCCCAGGATCCTCCAACATGCCAAATACTCACTTTGCAACTAAGCTATGGCTCCTTCCAGCTTATAGGTCATTGTTCTTAAAATATATACTGCCTTTGATATAAGGTAATAAATAGCCATATTGCTATCCTTGACTTTGTCTAATTGGCTTTTAAAAGCTACTCAGGTTAGCAACAACAATCACTATACATTTTGGCAGCAAACTGCTATCTAAAGAAGTATTTGTTTTGGGTTATTCTGAATCTTTCACCATTAGGCTTCATGGAATAATCCCATGGTTCTATTATGAGAGAGAGAGAGAGAGAGAGAGAGAGAGAGAGAGAGAGAGAGAGAGAACTTTTCCTACCCTCTTTCTCTACACAGTTACTTTACGTACCTTTATCATATGTGTCCCCTACAACCCACTGCCCTTATTCACCATTCTAAGTTCTAAGCCTCAAACATTATAACCTTTCCTTGTAGGGAACAGTCTTACAAGTAAAGTGAGATTCATTCTGAAATAAGTGTGAATCAGCTTGCCGCCTTCTTGGGTCTTTAGCCAAGGATGGCTGATTTTGACATGTAAAAGAATGACAGTTCCTACAGTCTGATGCAGAAAACTAGACAAGCAAAGGAACTTTCTTTTTTGAGTTGGCAAGGATGAGGCTTCAGTCTTGGTATCCGCTCATTCAAGTGCTCCCCCTGGCACTAGGAACATTTCCAGCCTATGACAGGATTGCAGTGGTCTAGGTTCCCTCAACGATCACACCACACGTGCAGGCTGAACAAAGCCTTCTTCCCGCTGCCTTGGCCCTTGGAGTTGGTCAGGTGGCATTTTATGGGATGGGCATGCTGCATGCCTTAATTCAAAACAGTTTATTATTTTAAAAATGAATCTAAGATTAATAAAACTAAGAACTGCACTTCCTATTTTAGAATATACCATCGTATATATTTTTGCAATGTTCCCTGATGCCCATTGTGATCTTCAAGAAACATCGTGCTGTTTTTATTAGAGTGGCATCCCCCGTAGCAAACCCATTCTTCATATGGAACATAATACAGCCAAAAGTACCCTAAAAGTGTCAGCAGACCTGGCAAAGGCTCAAGACTTGCAGAAATACATATAGGACTGTATTGATGATTTTACTGTATTGCATTATATTTTGTGATTTTAAAGTAATTATGTTAATATTTTCTAAGTGATATCCTTTGCTGTAGATTGGTATTAGTGCTTTGAACTCTGTGTAAGGAAGGTTGGGATATAAAATATCCATTTAAGGAAGGCAGAATAATCACAAGGTAATTTCAAAATATATTTCGTGTTAAATGTTTCAGCTTCTGCCCACAACAGCAGCTAGGAAGTTAAATGGACACCAAGAATGGCACTTTATTCTCTCTCTTGATTTCTTCTCAATATTTGTAAAAATAAAAATAAAAAATATGGAGACTAAAAAAACTATCAAATCAGGGTTAAACACTCAGCAGCCACAAAACACTGAACCAGTAGGACGGAGGTAATAAAACATCAGGGCTGAGAGAGACTGAAGTGGAATCTCTTGGACATGGCTGGCTGGTACCCTATACAGCAATGTTTGTATTTTATTGTGTTGTAAGCCGCCCCGAGGTTTGGCAAGGGGCGGCATAGAAATGTTATAATAATAATAATAATAATAATAATAATAATAATAATAATCCCATGCTTTTCCTTAAGCAACTACATATTAAGCTGTGCTGGATGAATATATGATGGGGAGGTTTACCCCAACTCACTGCAGAGACAGGTATGGGATCCACACCAAGGGAAGAGGAGGTTGGTCTACTTAGCTGAACCCCAGAATAATACAGCCAGTGGTGGTACTGGATGGCCTTATCTTTCTATCAGCATGCCCAGGAAGAGAGCAGATGAGGCTACAAGCAGTGGGACCCAAGGAATGCCCCCCTCCACCAGAAGCAGTGACTGTAAGAGGAGGTAGACAACATGGTACACGTGAGTACCAATGTACCCTTTCTTGGCACCTGTCATGGGACTCCACCCTTTGCATTTTAATCTCTCTCTCTCTCTCTCTCTCTCTCTCTCTCTCTCTCTCTTACCAACAGTTGAGATTGCAGTGTGTTAGATTTCTACTGGTGCTGAGAATTGTGGGCTCAAAGGATTTGTTCAGGATGTTGAGGCTTGAACCCCACCTGTCTTGTACCCACTCTTTTAGGAAGGTGACCTGCACTTGCCATTCCATGACACCCATTTTGTGGCAGTTTCTCAAATTCTCAAGTGTGTCAATGGCCCCCCAAAGTTGTGAACCCCTAAAGTATAGCTTGCCTCAGTACAAAGACATACTTCTGAGTTAATTCCTACCCAGGAGTAAGGATGTGGTGCTTCCTACAAGAGATAGGGAAGGGAGTCTGAAGAGCAGGGATGGGAAATGTACAGTACAGCCTTCCCTCTGTTGTTGGACTAAAGTTCCCATCATCTGTCATCCTCATTGATTAGTCAGGCTAATTCAGAGTCCCAGATCCAAGACTGGAGGCAGTGCCATAACCTTGGCACTGGGAACCAGCAACGCACCCCCTTACAGTCTTCCACCAGTTGCCCTCTGAGGTTAGGAAAGTGACTTCGGAGAGGGGTAAAGAGGATGTCCCTAGGGGCAGAGGGGAGAGGAGGGTGGGAGACCCTCCAGCCACATGTCCACTGGAAAATGCTGGGTGGAAAGAGATCGCCCCCTCCTCTCCTCCCATTCTGCATAGCCTCTGAGTTTTAGAGACACGATTTCTATATTTTATGGCTGATCTTATGTACCTTATCTATTCCTGCCTATCTATTCATATCTATTATATCTTACCAGTCATTTTGCTGGTATTTTATTCTTTAAACTGTTTGCAATCCACCCAGAGAATATTGTTACTGATGAGATTAAAATATAATAGATACAATGAATGCAGCAAAAACTGGCAAGGAACCTTGTGAGCATGCCAGACAACACTCACCATCTACTAATGGGGCCTATTGCTGCTCCCATCTTCCCCGAATGCCTCAGCCAACTCATGTCAGAACCCTTAAGTTGCTCAGGCTGCAGTTTCTCTGCAGATGGTGGTGTATCTGTTGCCAGGTAGTGGTGCTTCGTAGCACACTCAATGTCTGCTGCTTTTCTGTGAGCCACTTACCCGTCTCTACATCTGCATAGGGTATGCGCATTATTGGGGAGTGCCTCCCTGTTGAATGCCATGTCATAATTTTCTAGGATGTTGTGAACAAATTCCCTCACTACTTTGGGAATTTCCAGCTTGAAGCTTTCTTGATGTTTTGAACTAGAGTTCCCATCAGTCCCACTCTGCATGGTCAAAAGTCAAAGATGATGGGAGGGGTTAACCAACATTTATGGCAGGGGTTTCAAACTCGACTTACCTGGGGGCCGCTGGAAGTAGAGTCTGGGCGAGGCTGGGCCGCATCAAGTATTCCACCACCGCGGTGGTGGGGGGCTGCTCATCCCGTGTCGCTCCTGGAGGCTGGCCCGGGCACCGCCGGTGCTTTGAAGGCCGCAGGGCCCCTCCCCTGTGCCCTGCCCGTCCTGGCAATTGGCCCACGGGCCACGAGTTTGAGACCCCTGATTTATGGGGAGCACCACTGGGGAAGGCTAATTATAGTACTATCCAGAGGTACAACTGCAGAGTTAACTCAGAAGAATCCTCTGTAGATCTGGATCTACTGGTATACCTCTGAATGGTGTGCAGTAGCTTGACAAAGATTTATGATTCCTAGTTTAATACTTTCCTCACCAGCTTGCCCTAAATGATGCTGCTGAAATGAAGAAAGCCTATGGTAGCCAGGAGTGGATTTTAACGTGGAAAGACTCTGAACTCTCTGTTCAGTGCTAGGTTGTACGCAACACAAATTCTTTCAGTGCATTTCCACCCTCCACCCAGGCTCTGGTTCTAGGAAGAAAGAAGCCTAGTAAGCAACCTAGTAAGTAACCAGAGCCTAGTAAGCAAGCCCAAAGTCTTGTTTTATTAGAGCCCTGAGCTTTCAAATTAGTTCCAGGGCTAATTGAGTTGCCCAGTTGTGTTGGTTTAGAAAACCTGGTAGTGTAGCGCATGCATATGTCCATATTAGCACCATAACAATAAACAATAAACACCATGACAATAAAGGCAGAACAGGCTTCCAGGCCGTGAGCCATGTTGCAGTAGGTTTAAATTCAGGAAGAAGAATCTAGTACTCTGGGCTAGCCAGTGTGAGATAAGAATGAATGCTGGCATTCTCGTAGAGAAGAGGTCAGGCTTCCCCTTTGAGGAGCAGTTCCAAAACTTTTCTGTTCATGGAATGTTCCTGAAGACTTTTTTTCCCGGAGAACCCTAACTCTATCCCTGATTTTGACCAAACATTGTGAACCCACAACGTTCTTCCTTCTTTCCTCTGTTCCTATTGCCCAAGTGCTTTGCATAACGTGGTAGGTTTGGAAATAAAAAGAAAACATTAGCTAATTCAAATATGTCTTTCAATTTCCTATATGATGTCCAGTTTTTCAGTAAATTTTATTTTAATATGTTATGAATAAAGCAATTATATGATAATATCCTGAATAAATTATTTCAATTATTTCCAACACTATGCAATAGAGTCTAGGAACCAAATGATGCGATGCATTCCTTGTTTGCTGCTTGGATGCCCACTGGCAATCAATCAAAGTTGGCTTCATGTGGTTTTGTTTTAAAATTCGTTTTAAATTTGATTTTTTAGATTTTTTGCAGAACCCCTACGTGGCTTTTGTGGAACCCTGGGTTTCCACTGAACACAGTTTGAGAACTGCTGCCTTAGAGAGATCAAGCAAATCAATCCATTGTCCTGAGACACCTAGAAATTATCTCATCAATAGCAGCTAGCAGGCAAATCCAAAACCCCATAGAAAATACAGATGGTTATGTTCATGTAGCACAGAGGAACAATGGTTAAGGTCAACAAGAAGCAACTGAGCACCCTTCCAATAATAAGCATATGTAGGGGAAACTCATCCTTCCTACAGGGGCAGGTTCAGAGAGAAACAGTGTAAGAATCGGGGACACATACTCTAAAAGTAGCAGGAATGGTGGGAGATGGGGGTGGGGGACAAGCTCAGAACACAACACAAGCAGAGGCCAGCTCCAAACACAGGCCTGGCACTCCAGTCCTCTCCACACATAAGACTTCTGGCTAGAGTCTACCGTGCAGACTCTAGACTCCCTTCCTCTTTATTTGTCTCTTAGCTTTTGTCCCAGTTAGGCAGGAAGCACCTTATTTCTTTTGTAATACAGAGTAAGATTGAGATGCGGCAGGAATATTTGATGTCTAGACAAACTAGGATTAAAAGCGTGTGCCTGCTCTGCATTTTCTGCTGAATAAACTTTCCTTTCTAAGTCATGTTTGTGTAAAAAACAAGGCTTCCTTTCTCCAGCAGCGTGTTTTAAACCCCAGCAAAAGATTGGGGGGCAAGGACAAGCGCCTCCTCTTGAGATGTATTGTTCTCCAAGATTACCTGGTGTAACAGTAGCTCAGTTCAATGGTGTTAGGAGGTGACTTTGATGCTGTTAGATTCTGCTGGCCAGCTGCACTTATGCTGATAAGATGCCACTCACCATGCACAGAACACAATCAGCAATAGAAATGATCCAAAGGCCTGGAGGCAGGGCATATGTATCAAAGAAACAAGGTCAAAGGGATGTCAGACCTATTTCCAGAGGGAGGGGCTGTAGCGCGGTAGTATAGCACATGTATTGCACACAGGTTTATTTTATTTTATTTTATTTTATTTTATTAAAACATTTCTATGCCGCCCCATTCGCCGAAGCCTTGGGGCGGCTCACAACATGAGGTAAAACACAAAAATAACAATATAAAAATAGCAATATAAAATAAATAACAATATAAAAGAAGTTGCCCTGGCCAGATAAAATAAGCAAATACTGTTAACAATTAAAATGACGCTTAAATAAAAAGGTCTTTGCCTGGCGCCGAAAAACAAATAATGATGGCGCCAGGCGGACCTCTCTCGGGAGCGCATTCCATAGATTGGGTGCCACCGCAGAGAAAGCCCTCCTCCGAGTACATACCCTCCTAATATCCTTCACAAAGTGTTCCCGGAGAAAGGCCTCTCCCGCAGATCTCAAGGGGCGGGCAGGCATATATGGATGTAAGTGCTACTTCAGGTAACCAGGACCCAAGCCGTTTAGGGCTTTATAGGTCATCACCAACACCTTGACTTGGGCCTGGACTTCAATGGGAAGCCAGTGAAGCTGAAGGAGGACTGGAGTCATATGAACATAACGCCCAGTCCCCGTCAGCAGCCTGGCAGCTCTATTTTGAACAAGGTTTTAGGCTGGATCCCAGTGTGGTAGAAAATGTCCTGTCTGAACTCCTTGAGAACACCTGCCAACCTGTGTTGACAGTAATGGTTAGGTACATAGTCTGACGCAGTAGCCTTATGTGTCTCTGTTCCTTGACTGCTGCACCTGGGCAAGCAACATGGTGATATAATCAGTTTGTACATAGCTGGCTTTATGATGAACAAATCACTGCAAAACCATCCTGTTTTCCACTTGTGGAGTCATTTTGTTACAAGTACTCATATTCTTGATTCGGCACTCTTTAACAGTCTTCCTGAACTGATGACTTCTCAATGTTTTGGACTACAGCTCCCATCAGTCCCAGCTGTCACAGTAAAGGGGCAGGAATGCAAGACGTTGTAGTCCAAAACTTTTGAATGGCATCAGGTTGGGCAAAGCTCTTCCATGGCCTTTTGTAAAAGGATCTCAGGCAGATGGAATAACTCCGTAGGTTACTAATAAGAATGAATGAATTACAAATTAATAATAGTGCAAGCATTGGGATTAGAAATGAAATAAAGAGCGGTAGCCAGCCACAGCCTCTGGTGTGGAGATCCTACAAGTTGTAGGGTTGACTGTGAGGATTGAGTGGCGAGGGAAAGCACTCTGTATGCGCCCGTAAGTCAAAACGCGCGCTGCGATTTTGTGCTCAGTGCCTTGGGAGAAAGCACCATCGAGCACCCGTGGGATTTGCTTCCGAGAAGATATGCCTACATTTGCGGAGGGAAAGGGTGATGCTCCTGCGTCGTCGTCCTGGCAACGGCAGAGAGCGCGAGAGAGACAGACAGCACACCAAAGAACTCTCCCGACCTTCACAAAAGCCGATGTTACGTCTATGTCACGGGCTGCCATGGCAACAACTTGAACCAATAGTAAATGAGAGCTATGTGAAGGACCGCTCTAGGCGTAGATACGTATGCTCTCTAAGGTTTTTTTTTTCTTCATAAAAATCGCTTTAGCCTTTAGCCCCTTTCTTCGTCCGGGTCGATGACGAAGACGGAAGTGAAAGGGAGAAAACAGTGTCACATGACAAAGGGAAACCCGGAAGCGGAAGTGGCGCGGGAAAGACAGGGAGAGCGACGGACAGACAAACCCTTCCTTCTGGAAGGGACCCAAGGCCGGGATGGTAAGTGACGGATGGACGAAGCCGAAGGGGACCCCCTACCCCTTTCCCTCGGTGTGCGTGGAGGGTCTCTTTCCTCGCCAGCACACCTTCCCCTTCCCCGACGAGGAGGGGCAACTCCTCTGCCCCCGCCTCGTCTCCTTCCTAGGAAGGATGCTTCCAGCTACCAGGTGCAGGACCTGGAAGCGTTTATCTCTGCTGCTCATGCTGGAGTGGTGTACACTTTTACTCGGAGTAACGCCGTGGAACTGGCTGGGCTTTGCGTCGAAAAAGATGCATGTGTAGGGTCACTCTGCATCTCCCACAATACTGAGCATTTCGCCAAGTGTAATTTTCCAATAGCAATTTTCCTTTATAGTGCTGTAATAAGGAGAGAAGCCACAAAGTGCAAATCACACCACCACATCTTTATCATGTTTTTTTCTCCTGGCCTTCCATCAGTATTGTTCACTCCTTTTGTATTTGAGTTACATTTTCTCATGTGCTCCCAATAAAAGTTTTGAGAGGCACCATAACTCTGATGGAAGGTCTCTAATTACAAGAATCTCTTGGGTTATAAGGATGAAAGACACTGTTGTCTGAAACCCTTGTGAGCTGATGCCGTCAGAATCTTTTTCTACTGTTTTTTTAGTCTACATAGCACATGTCGAAAGCTTTCTTATTCTGAGTCAGACTATTAGTCTATCTAGCCAATCATTGCTGACACTGGCTAGTATCAGCTCTCTAAAGTTTCAGCCAGGGTTCTTTTCTAGTTCCTCTTAAAGAACCTGGGCATTGAATCGTTCTGTATGCAAAGCATGTATTCTATCTCTGAACTAACACTTTTCTCTATCAGGACATCATACTCCTGAGAAACTTGCTTTTGTAATTGAGGGTCAACAGGTTGTTGTCACGTGAGATAATCCCCCTGGAACTTTTACCCTGTTCTTCATCAGTTGCATATTTACATCATGTTGATTGTCCTGTCTTCATGGAGCTTCACATTTAGGGGAGGATTCAGCATATTGGAATAGGCAAAAGGAAGTTTACCAAAAAATGCTGTTGAAATAGCCTTTTTTTCTGGAACTGGAAAAAGGGAAAATTTACAAGGACAATTTTCCTTGGGGGATAAATTCTGCAAGCTGAAAACCACTATCTGCTGGCTGCTGCTCATCCTCATATTTAAGGTAGGCATCTCCCTAGAAGAAGCAATTTAGGTTTGACTTTTATCAAAGGTTGGGTGAACTTCTGTAAGTTAGTCTTGCTATGGAAGGATTAGGCCCCCTTGTGAAACCTTACAGTGGAAATAAACAGCTCTCTGTTTGATCCAGAGCTTATGGAAACATTTAGGAACATCTGTGGAATGATAATCTCATGTGGGTTGTCCTCTCAGAATGTAAATGAGAGTACTAGATTGGTCAAAAAGCTGCTTTTTGTGGAAAGCATGAAGCTTTCCCTCGATCTTGAAAGCAGCCAGGCTTTCAAGAACAGAATTTCTCCATAGACATTCAAAGATAGCACAGTTGGGGACAAAAATTACATCAGCGCATGAGGTGGGAGGATTCCTTGTATCATTTATTCCAGGGAAGGGCTAACTTCAGTCTTGCATTATCATTTTCCTCTGATTAGAACCATTATTGTCTGCAAACATGTTAAACTTTCAAAGCAAGAATGAATTCTTGGGAACTTTTTACAGTGATCCTGCAAGTATGTTCTTGCTCAAGAGTATATCACCTTGCAGGCTCAGGTCATGATTGAGCTAGTTCAGCATTTTTGCTGCAATTCCAGTAACCAGCTTACCTACCAGAAATTTGTTGTTAGTCTGTTTGAAAACTGCATTCTACTTTATTTGTATCTCTGTCTTTTCTTTCTGAACTTAATTATCCAGACTGAAGCCTAAAAATAATGGTCAATTCTTGTGTTATCACACCTTTATTACCTCAAAGTTTATTTGCATGTAATATTCATGGCATGCCGCTTCAGTAAGATCCATCCTGCAATCTAATCCTGTTGTAAGATGCATCAAAACATGTTCAGTATCTTTCCTTTATGGAGACAAAATGCTTATTTCTGAGTATCACAATGAACCTCCGTGAAAGCATTGATGCTGATTGTTCTACATAAAGACGAGAATAATCTGCACAGTTTATGTTCTGCCCTAATATGGATCTTATGCAATGGCCTTATGATTGTGTGACTGTCTCCCCAATTCTGTTTGTGGCACAACCTGACCTTCAGCCCCTGTTCCAAGGTCCCTCTCCTTGCATTTAAAAACAGTCTTGTGCATTTAGGGTTGTTTTTTCTGTGGGATTGTAGAGTCCTTTGTGCCACTATGAGAATGGATGATGTATGTATAGTGTTTTATACTGGGCTCATCAGCTTATATGAACGAGTGGCTATATAACAGTGTTGCTGAGCTGTTATTTCCTCAGTTACTCATAAAGCAAAAATAAACCATCTTGCTTTGCAAGAAAAATGGCAACTTCCACAGTCAGGTAATAAAAACATTCCCATAATATCGTGCCCTATTAAAATATTGCTTAACTGCATTTAGAATTATTCCCCAGTGCCTGTGATTTTTTTTCTGCCATTCACGATAAACATCCGTAGCAACCTGAACAGATTGTTTCTTCATCTTGTGTTATTTTTATAGCATCTTCTCTGCTTCTCCTGCAGGTCATCAGGCCACTGTTACCAGCAGCAGCCCAGTCTCCGCACTGGGTGTGTTGTCACTCCGCCCAACCCAGGCGACCATGAACGGGAGTGCAGTGCCCCTGTCACCAGTAGGGGGAGGGATGGTGGGAGAACCTGCCTCTCTCCCTTCACCGGGCTGGCGGGAATTCTGTGAGGTGCATGCTCGTGCCGCTGCAGTGGACTTTGCCCGTCGTTTCCGGGCCTTCCTTGGTGAGAACCCGCAGTTTGCCACTCCAGGAGCTGAAGCTGCCTTCTCACGCCGTTTTGCTGAGCACTTCCTGGAACATTTTGAGGCAGAAGTGAGCCGAGCCTACGCCAGCGACTCACCGCCTCGATGTGACATTGCCCCCTTCACTGGCTGCTCCTCTGCACGTGATCTCTCTGAGACTTGTAGCGACTCATCTGTCGCCTCCCCTGTGGAGCCTCCTGTGGGGCCACCCTCCGGCCTCTCCAGCAGTCAGTCCCGCAGTTCTGAAGATGTGTCTACTGTGGCGACGGTTACTGCCACCAAACCAAAGTTGAAGAAGCGCTTCTCTTTGCGCAACGTTAGCCGCAGCGTCCGAGGTAGCGTACGCGGCATTCTGCAGTGGAAGACTTCGGCCGAGTCATCCCCTGGTGGCGGAGATGGGGCAGCCCCTGGAGCCAACAGTAATTCCAACTGTTCGGGGGGGGGTGACTCTGAGCGCTGGACTCACAGATTTGAGCGCCTGCGGCTCCACAAAGCCCCCCCAGCCGCCCTCCGAATGGAACTGGCCAGTGTGCGGCGTGAGGGCCTTCTGAACTACATTGTAGCTGACGATGGGTCAGGAGGGGGCAGCCGGACCCGCTGGCAGAAATGCCGTCTTCTCCTACGCAAAGCAGGGAAGGGGGAGGGGGAGGGTTACCTATTGGAGTTCTACATCCCACCAAAGGTGAGCAATGGATCCTTGTGTTAGGGCAGGAGAGAAACAGTGGGGTGGAGAGACTTGGCGAGGGGAGCCAAGGGCTGGGTGTTCCAGGGTGTCCTGGCGTAGGAATAAGGGGGCTTGTCACAGCTCTGTTTACCTTCACCACCAGGCATCGAAGCCACGGGTCAGCATCGCTTGCTCCTGCGTCGTGGACGTGCGGACAACGACGCCCCTGGAAATGCCAGACAAAGAGAACACCTTTGTGCTCAAGGTCAGGAAAAAGCCCGGTGGGGCAGATTAGTAGTGGCCAGGCTTGCTGGGTGTGATAAGCTGTTGCAAGTCTGATGAGTTTCATGTGGCTCCCAAAAGGCATCCTTATTTAGTAATAGCTGGTCGTAGTATTGATGTGCTCAGTTACTCTGTTCTTCGACTAAATTCATGCGTTACCTTCTCAGCAAGGTTATGCGTGGAGTCGAACTCCCTTTTCTGCAGGTACTAGCTTTCCAACATCCTTGTCATCAGCAGTGAATATAGGTGCTCCTGCCTGGTGCATACTGTGAGCAGTTGCCTACTCTAATTCACTTATTTACAGGAAGTCCTCGGGTTACAAACGAGCTCTGTTTCTGAGAAAATGGAAATTCAGCTTTAAGTCAGATCTGTATGCAAGTCAGATTGTGCATAGTTGGCTCTCCACATTTCTGGGGGTTAGAGGTGAAGGACCCCTGTGAAAGTGGAAATACCTTGAATATCTCTAAGCCCCCCACTTCCCTGCCCAAACTCACCAGTGTTTCCTCTTTGCAACAAGGAAAAGCCAGAGGGGTTTCCCTCTCTGGATGGGTGGGCAGGAAGGCATGCTTTAGCGTCCTCTTTCTCTCCTCTTTTGCTTTCTCTCTGTGGTTCATGCTTTGGAGGCCCTCCCTCTCTCCTCTTTTACTTCCTCTCTCTCCCTCCCTCCCTATGGTAATGGTGATTTTCCACAGTAATTTAAAAAAGTAAATTATGGCAGTTCATTTGTAAATATGGGTTGTTCATAACTCAGACGTTCGTAACCTGGGGACTCCCAGTTTGCAATTCTGTACTGCCCCACAGCCAAAGCTCTCTTCTCACCTCTTTTTTCTGATTAGGCAAGATCTGCAGCTCCATGTTACCCTACAGCTACCCCTTCTATCTCCAGCGGTACCTTGTTGTTTTAGTGACTGAACTCGTCACTCCTTTCAGCAGGTTTCCTTGACTTTGTAAGGAAGGGAGTCCACCATTTTTTCCCCTGGGCGAGAACTGCGTCTGCATGAAAGAGCCTTTTCCCATTTGGAACCTGTCAGCTGATTTGAACTGTAACTCCCATCATCCCTGACCATTGGCCATGCTTGTGTGAGCACCATATTGGGAAAGACTGCTATCAAACTGCACCATCTACTAGAGTTTGTCGGCCAATTCAGGCTGATTGCTGTGAGAATGGGGGAAGCATGGGTCTTTTGTGACCTTTGCATTATAAACTGGGGGACTTCGTTTGTGCAGTATAAATAAACAGCAAGGATAACTCATAGGAACTGTGTGGCAAACTGAGGCAAGAGGCTGCCAAAGGAGCTCTCCAGCCTCTCTCGGTTTGTATCGCTTTTCTTCTATCAAAGGCCAAAACAAGCAGTGAAGGGCTCAAATCTTTAATTTTTATGCTGCTTTCCTGAAAGACTAGCATGTGGATTGGTTCTATATTTTTCAGTTGGTCACATATGTGTGTGTGACTCCTAAAGATGGTTTTCAATGCTGAAATATGTGTGGGTTCACCACCTTGATGCCACCCTTGCGGTTGCCCACGTTTGCATTTCTCACTGGGACGTGCTCCCTCTGTTTTCCTTGGCTTGTGAAGAGCACACACAGGCTGCAGCAGTAGCAACTCCCCCTGAGGTGTCACGTACTCATTTTCCCCTTTCTTTTTGCTCCCTCCCACAGCTGTCAAGCTCCTTGGAGTACATCCTTGAGACGGTTGACTCACTACAGATGCGTTCATGGTTGGCAGACATTCAGGAATGCATGGGCCTTGGGTATGTTGCCCCAGATTTTGGGAATGGGCCTTAGCTCAATGCAAGGTCCCAAGTTAAATCCCCAGGATGTCCTGCTAAAGGGTTTGCTGGGGGTAAGGCTAGGAAGGAACCTGCGGAACCACTGCCTCTCAGAGTAGATTGGGGTGAGGAATGTGCAGCTCTCCAGCTACTGTGGGACAAAGAAATAAGTCACTGTAGTGTCATGATGAGTGTTCACCTGGAATTGGGAAGACCTTGTCCCCACTCAGCCATGAAGGTTGCTGGGTGACTGGTAGATTATGAGGTGAGGTAGATTATGTAAGATGCCTTCCTTGAAGGAAAAAAGGTATGATATAAATGTAATAAATAAACTGTCACCATTCCTGTCCATTGATTATAATGGCTGGGGCTTATGGGGGTTGGAGTCCAACAACTCCTTGAGGGCTACAGGCTTCCCTTCCTTCTGTTAGACAGACAAGAATGAAAGTAAAAGGAGAATGGGAGAACTTTGATTCTTACTCAGTAAGTGCATACATAATCAGACCAAAGACCTAGCATTTCTGTTTTCAGGAATACAGAGCCAGATGCCTCTGGGAAGCTTACAAACAGAGCATCATCTTGTTAGTGTTCAGAATCTGGTATTTTGCAGTGTTGCCCCTGAAGTGCTGCCTCTTAATAATTGTAAGCTGTCCTGAGACATTTTATCAGGAAAGACAGGGCAAAAATGTTTTAAATAAATAAATGCATGCATGCATGCAAAGGCTCTGATTTTAGCTTTCACAGCTAATAGCATTTTTTAATTTTTTTTTTTGCAGAGAGAGCACAGATAGTCTGGAGCAGCCGTGCATGAACCACTCAGAAAGTATGCCCAGCCGGGAACTTCCCATGGTGCCGAGTGAGAGCAGTGAACAGCTCAGCCAAGGTATGAAACTCTCTCTCTCCACCCCCTGCCACCTTGCACACATACGTGTGCACACACACACACACAACATTGTGCCCTTCTTAGTCCCTTAGCAAACATTTCAACAAGTATTTGAAGTTGAAATCGACCACTTTTGGGGCTGGCCCATTTATTTTTGTGTCCTGGGAGGCTCTTGCTGTGGAGGTGCCCTCACACATGTGCCCTCAAGTTCTTTCTACCTACGTTGTGGCACAGAAATGGCACCACTCTCTCAAGAATGCCAATCTTAGTAGAACGCATCATGGGCCGTTTCTGAACTGGTGTGGTCTCTTCAGGAGTTACTTCCCCTGCATGCTTCCAAGGGCTCACCAGCAGGCCTAGAAACATACACTTTACATTGCAAGCTCTTCAGGGCTGCGTCCTGTCACCACCTGCTCTGTGATTGCTACAGTAGTAAAGCTTGCTTTTTTGAAATGAAAAGTGGCATTCAGATTAATTCAGGCTATATACCTTTAAAAATGCTGACTTAACTCAGTGAGGAAACGTGTGTCTGGCACTATCAGCCCACTAAAATGGATGCAGAGTATTGGCCCTGTGGCATAATCCAGTGAAGCCTTCCCCTAAATCTGCCATTATCTTGCCTGGGTGCATTTACAGGAGAGGCGAGATGGGAAGGTCACGCCATTCTCTGGCTGGGACAAATGGCGGTTTGGCTTTTCTTCTTCCAGAACTGTTTCACGTAGCAGCTATTTCACTTCACCCAGGAGGCTGAATTTTTAATTTTCCTCTGCCTATTTTGCCCCTTTTATATCACTTTTATTCAACGAAGCCATGACTTACAAGCTGAAATGTCTTGAGTACATTGACAAAATGGCACTATAGGACTGGGGGACCCAGTGGTTTTCTAGGATCTGGGATATTACTACCTTGGCAGCAGAGGGGGTGGGGGACAGCTGGAGAACTAATCATCAGATCAGCTTACCCTAGAACAGAACCAATGAAGCAGATTGCTTTGAGATGTGGTAATTTTTGGAATCTGCTAAGGATCAGGACATCTCGCTGAAGCCTCCATCCGAATCCATGCAATAGGCTTATCCATAGGATGGAAAAGCAAAGCAAAAGATTTGCTTTCCAGGTAGCAAAAGTTTCCTTTTAGTTGGCTGAAAGTGAGTCCTGCCTAACCACACGCCACCAGTAAGCGTGTTAAAGTGGTTAGAGCTGAGTGTGACACAGCACATTTGAGTGTCAGACTAGGGCTGAGGACACCTGGATTTGAATCCCCGTTTGGCTATGCAGGATACTGACTTTGGACTGGTCAATATCTTTTGGTCTAACCTACCTCTCTACCTCTCAAGGTTGTTGTGAGGGGGGCTGATTAAACTGAGGAGGGAGGGGATTCTTAGAATATTAATAGGGACAGCCCCGTTGGATCAGATCAAAGGTCCATCTTGGTTCAACATTCTGTTCACACAACGGTCAACCAGCTGCTCACAGAAACCTGCAAGCAAGACACGTGCACAGCAGCCCCCTTCCACTCATGCAGCAACTGGTATATAACATTTCCATATAGTCCTCTGGACTAACAGCCGCTGTAGACTTTATCCTCCATCAGTCCAATCCACTTTTACATTCTTTTAAACTGGTGGGTATCCCTACAGTTTGTGGAAGTGAATTCCATCATTTATGCATGGTGTATCCTAGTTCCTTTTATCTAGGCTTTTATTATTATTTAATTATAATTATTCTGGCACAAAGTAGCTTACATGCATATGATAAAAACAAGGAAGTCAAATTAAAAATACCTACCTTTTTTCTCTAAGGACAAAAATATTACAGGTAATGACCATGTATAATATCTAGGCAGTATGAATTTATGGAGAATATGGCTGGGAAAGTGGTATCAGACTAGACACTGCTGTACATTTTTGCTAAAGGTGTAGTGTAGAAAGAATAGATAAAATTGATTTGAGATTATGTGTTAATGGTTTATCTTATGCTGAAAGTCTGTTTAAAATTCACAAGCAAGGAATAGATCAGTCCTGATGATATGAAACAGAAAAGGCATTTTTTTCCTTTACACTTATGGTGAATTTGTCCCAAGGTAAACACATTTCTGGGAGCACATGCAGCTTGATGGATTCTGTGTTTGGTTATGAAATTCCACTACATCTGATTATTATGCTACTAGGATACATGAAAGAATTTGTTTGGAATTGATTTAGAGCAGCAAAAATATTGATAGGCACCAAATGAAGGAGCACTGGGGTACCCCCTCTTTAAAAAAAAAAAAAGGCTATTGAAGCTATGGAAAATAGTAACATTAACCAAATAAGTAAGATACAAAGAAGTGAAAACAAAGGAGGTGATCTTTTAAAGAAGAAAACTTTTGAAGAACTCATTTATAAAAAATATAATGCACCATAGACCCAGGGAAATCTAAGAATAATTTGTGACTTTGAGCATATCTGCATATATGTAGTACTAAATAGATTATGTGATAAAATATTTGGGTATGTAGTACTTTATAGTACTTGGAAAAGATTGAAGACCTTAATATGAATATTTGCATACGTAAGAAAAGATTGTTTATTATGTTATTAAATAAAAGTTTCCTATTTATTGAAGTAATGTTGTAAAAATACTAGTTTAGGAAATGTAGTTGAAGTACAGGTAGTAACATCCCATTTATGTTTTCTCAGTTGCCCCAAGTTTCTTAAAAGCAAGTAATATCCTGTGATCTGTAAGAAATCTCCGTTTGTATAGTGAAAATGCATTTTCCTGAATTGAAGCTGACTTTGATAATTAATATTTCCCCCACAGCAAGGTTATTACTTTCCCTATATGGACCAGGATTAAAGTACATTGACCATGTAGAGGGCTCCCTGGAGGGAGGGAGGGAAGGAGGGAGGGGTAAAGTTTAATCTAAGTCCAGATGTGAGTATACAGATCTTCCCTCTCCCATCATCTCTCCCAAGGATTAATGTGTGGGCATTAAGTCTGGTTTTCCTTCATTGCCATAGTTTGCAGCAGCATATACTGAAACATCATCCACATTATCATCAAGATTTGCGAGAAGTGCCTTGAGCTTTTCATTGCATGTTCCCACCCTTTCCTTGTTGCTGATTTGTAAGAAATACTGCAAATTTTAAGGGCACGATCTTATGAATGTTTAAGCAGAAATAAACGCCTACAATTCCTAGCATTTGCCAGCTGGTATCTCTGAGTTGTAGGTGTTTGTTTTTATATAAACTTGCATAAAATTGCACCCTTAAGAGTTTTTAAAAACGAATTTCCACCTCAGCCTAGATAGCGGTGAACGGGTTGGTTGATTTGATATACATTTGCATACCTGCCCAGCACAGACTATGGGTTAGGTCTCATTTTAGGACAACCTAAGTGGAGACCTCTTGACATCAGTGGGACTTCAGTCATGCCTAACTCAAGTTCCACTGGAAGTTTTCCAACTGTTGCAAGTAGTTAGTGTAGGTTGCACTGGGGGCTCTGTTTGGGCCACAGCACAATTCAGAAACTTATTTTTAACACAAAGAAATTTAGATCTACTCCAACTAAATCTAGGCCCAACCATATCATCCCATTCTTCGAAGGACAGGCCATTTTTAGTATCGCATGTGTTTAAATCGAATTTGAAGATACAGATTTATTCTTTCTCCGGTACGTACGTGGCAAAGCGTTGCCTTGTGTCTTAGAAAAGGAATATACGAGATGTCAGGCGTGTAGCATGTCTGCTCTGTCCCAGGTGCCTATGGTGGACTGATGGAACGCCCCTCAGCCTCCATGTCCCCCAGCTCGGTCTCCATCGCTGCCTCGCACTTTGACTCAATGGAGCTGCTTCCGCCAGAGCTGCCACCTCGGGTGCCGATCGATGAAGGTCCATTTCCCACTGGCCTTCTCCATACGACTTTCCCCGAAACTCCTGACACCACAGGTAACAGTTGCACACCCTTCCAGATTCCAAGAGGGGCCTAATGCAGTAAGGCTCAGGGTGGGGAAGGGAGGGCCACAAGAACCCTCCTGGGAGTTGCAGGCTGGCAGTGGACAGGCACCGAGCCCCCAGCAGGTGGAGCTGGTGTGCAGAGTGGGCAGAATGGGCGATGCTGGCAAATTAAGCCTTGCTTGCTCGCCTTGCACCCTCTCTCCCTGACCCCCCCCGGCTTTGAGGTTTTTATGGCGTCAGGGTGAGCATAGCCGATGGCTCACGCCAAGCTAGAGTGTTGTAAAAATGCGATGGATCTAGAATTCTCCAGATGGGTTTTGGGAGTCTCCTGCTGCCTCTCTCCCTGCCTCAGGTTCCTTCCTCTTCCAAGGGGAGCCCGATCCAGGTGGGGGAAGTCTTGGTGACACAGAGCACCCCCTCTCCGAGTACCCCTGGTTCCATGGCACCCTCTCACGTCTCAAAGCAGCCCAGCTGGTGTTAGCAGGGGGAGCCAGCAGCCACGGCGTTTTCTTAGTCCGTCAAAGTGAGACACGGCGTGGTGAATATGTCCTGACCTTTAACTTCCAGGGCAAGGCCAAGGTGAGTGCTTGCATGCGTGCAGTTCTCTCAGACGGGGCTGGGGTGGGTCCGCAGGCTCCGTGGGTGGCGAGCAGCCCTTCACCCAGCTCTCTTTCCCTGCGGGCAGCACCTGCGTCTCTCCCTTAATGAGGACGGGCAGTGCCGGGTTCAGCACCTCTGGTTTCAGACCATCTTCGACATGCTGGAGCACTTCCGGGTCCACCCCATCCCCCTGGAATCAGGCGGCTCCAGCGACGTGACGCTTGTCAGCTACGTGGTTGCTTCACAGCGGCTGCACGGTGAGCACGGAAGGAACAGCGTCTCGGGGTGGGCAGAGCATAGACACTGTTGCCAGTCCATGCCATGCTCCATCTCCCACCCATCTGCTTCCATTGTGACTCCAAACACGCCCCCCCACGCCCCACGCCCCGCCCCAGTCTCCTGCTCCAGCCCTGTGTGGAACGCATATGCCCCGCAGGACACGCCCCCTCCCCACCCTCGCCCCCTCCCCCCTCTCCCCCCACCCGCAATCCCTCTTTCTGACGTGGGCATCTTTGTCACAGGCCGGGACCGGGCTGGGAGCCGAGCGCCAGTGTCTGGGTTCAGTGGGGACCCCGACTCGCCCCCCAACCTCATCTCCATCCTTGCTGCTGCCTCTGCGGGTGACTGCGTGTAAGTGTGCCAGAGCTTCCGTGGGAGCAAGGCAGGGATATGATGAGCGTGTGTGTGTGTGTCACGGCCCCATGCCATAGCCCATCGCTATCCATGGGTTGTGCAAGTGTGTAATACCCACACCATCCACTGTGTCTGTGGCTCCTGGAGGCAGGGGAGGCATTTCGCATGGGGAGGGTGGCCCTTCCAGCATCTCCAGGTAGCGCTGGGAACAACACTTTCTTGAAACCCCAGGAAAGCAACGGCCAGTTAGCGTAGACTGTGCAGAGTGAGATCAGGGTGCGCACACACTGAGCTGGTGGGATCAGCTTGTTTTCCCATGGAACTTCTACCAGAGATAGAAGTCTTCTATCAGAGACAGTGCTAAAATATGTGTGGGGGGAGTAGAGTCAGTTACCTACTGCACACCTGCGTTGTACACTCTGTATACCAAGGATGAGGAACCACTGGGTTATGGGCCTCCTGTGGCCTATGGAGGTTCTCCATCTGGCCTGGCCCACAGAACCTCCTGGAGGAGTCCAAAGGGAAAGCATGGGCTCTTTAGCAAGCAAGCGTGGCTCTGCCTCTTTACAGCCATAGTCTCAATTAACGTAATGGTGCCCTTGTGTACAGTCTGACCACATTGGGTACCGCAGTACGCTGAAGAGCAGTACTCTGCCGAAAACACCCAGCCTCCTGCGACCTAGTAGCACTCCCTCTTCTGCTGCTCCCTCCAGCCCTGCAGTCTGCCTGCCGTCCATGCATGGCTGCCAAGAGTCCGAATTTGATGGCCCCCGAGCCCTACATTTTAGTGTAGAGGAAAGACATCCCATTAGGAGCACTTAAGGCTGAGGGAAATGCCAAACTGGGCAATTCCTGCCTTCCATGTGACCAGCATGGTTGTCTTAACTCTGTTTTTTTCAACGGAACACTAAAAGGAAGCTACAGGATTGAGAGGGCGCCTTCCTCTCAGGTGGGAGAAATGGGAAAACAAGGTAGGTGAGCTGTGACTTATGCCTGTGTTCTGTGCAATTATTTTGTGGAGGAGGAACAAGGGGAAGAGAAAACACACTTTTGAAATGCACACGTAAGCTTCATAACAGAGCCTAAACCATTTCAGCGTTACAAGTTTGTTGCGGCCACTCAGCAGAAGTTTCTCGTAAAGCCAATTGTTAGTTTTCTAGCTGTGTGGCGTGCCCAGTTGAGGAATGAAATATGTCTACAGGGAGTGAAAAGCTTTAGTCATGTGAAATACTCAGCACTGAGGACAAACACTTGGCCTGCTTATTATTTTGCAAGTAATACAGCTGAGTAATGCCAAGGCACAGGTGTCTGATGCTTTCATTCACATGGAGTGTTTGAAGTTACATGCAGAACTGGGGATCCTGGAAACGCAGATTGTTGACTTAGTTCCTTCTAATAGGACTCCAGAGGTGAGTGTCTGGGCAATGCCTGGCAAATGTTTAGGACCCCCTGGATGATTGCTCCGGGGCCCATGGACCAGGAGACGGAGCTCCAGCCCTCGGCATAGCATGCCTTGCACCTCTTCGTGATTTAGCAGAACTCGAACATTTTTATACTTCCAACTGCAATCTCAGCCAGGGTGGTGCCTGCAGGGAATGTGTCAGCACCAAAAATGAAAGAATAAAACTAAATCTGAATCCACACCATCTATAAAGCTCATTGTTTCTCCTTCCTGCATGGTTTCTATCCAATTCCTCAGCAAAAGCTGTTTCACTGAAATTAGCTTGATGCTAATTGTGGTTGGAGTTGTTTGTATAAACTCAGGGATTGAAAATTGTAAATTTCAGTGCAGATAAGAAAGAACTTCAGCAGAGCAGCTTCTGTCTCTCTTCTCTACTCAATCTTTGTATTTATAATAATAAATATAAATCAGAGCTTTAAGGTCAGGCTCAAAGTACTTTAATTACAAACGCTTCACTGTTAAACCAGCCAGAAGTCTTTTGGGGTTGGTGTTCTACATGTAAAACAATGTGTGGGATTGGCATTCTCTTAGAAGAGTCTCAGTTTCTGGAAGAGGGAGTGTTTCTGCCCAAATGGTGCTTGCTAAACTATGAATTGTAATACCACCCAGAGAGCTTCAGCTACTGGAAAGAACATAAATAATGCATTAAGTAATATATATCAGCTGAAAATAAGTACCTTCAATACGCAAATTTGCTCAGATTTAATTAAAACATACAGTTCACTGGCTCTGATTTTTAAAAAGTGAAAGTTGTTATTAAATATGCCAACTCACCGACAGATATTTTGAACACGGTATCATGTCGAAGCAGAACAAGCTGCACAAAGGGACTGCAATTTTGTGTAACGTGATTAAATCACACGCATCCCTTCAGCAGTGAGAAGCCACTACTGCTGCACAGGTGGTCGAGGCCCACATAGGACACAATGGTGCTGGCTGGCCTCTGCCATATTCCTTGCTTACTAGGCACTCTCCAGGTGATGGTGCTTGCTGTTTGGCGTTGCTGGGTATAGATAACCTTGGAACTGCTCACAGAAGCTTTGGTGGGAGGAACCGTCCAGTGCCACATCTGGGGCCCTCCAGTGATGCATGTGGTCCTCCGTCCCCGTTCTTTTCCTAACCCGATGCCAGCCTGTCTCTCTGTCCAACCACCTCTCTCTGCTTTCTCCACAGAACCGAACACCTCTCGTAACCTGCCACCACCGCCGCCTCCACTCCCCCCAGCTCGGCCACCTCATGCTCCCCCTGACCAGGGCTTGCCGGAGGCTGAGGGGCAAATTGAGGAGGAGGGCCGGACGGAGCAAGAGGTGGATGAGGGAGCGGCTGTAAGAGGAGGGGGATCCCTTCCCCTGCCAGAGGAGTCCGAAGGTCGAGCCAGGGCTGTGAACAACCAGTACTCGTTTGTCTGAGTCTCATGGAGATGAGAGAGAGAGAGAGAGAGAGAGAGAGAGAGAGAGAGAGAGAGAGAAGGGAACGAGCTGTTATTACGCCCAGCACCAGGTGGAGATCTAACCCTGACTATGGGTGTGAGATGGGTTTGCATACCCAATAGAACTCTAGACTTTCCTCCAGTAACCTTTTGAGGTGGGGACTGGCCTTACCCCCTCAATTTCCCCTTTCCCCATTACCTTGGTATGGAGCAAACGTGAATCCTGTTGCTTGCCCCCAAAATGTAGGTATGCTTCCCCCTCTCCCCTGCCTCCAATTTCTGATGTTCCCAAATTGCAACAGCTTGGTACGCACTACTTTAGCCCTGTTTCAGTTGCTAAGAAATGGGTCTGTTCTTCCCCATTTCCTCCTTCCTTCCCACCACTTGCAACTGAGCAGGAATAATAGCTCACGGTAAACACTACATGGAAGGGGTCAGTGGGGAGTGGTACTACCCCCCAAAAAACTGATTCCTAACACAGCCTTTTGCACCCCAACCCTTCTTGCTGAATGTATGAAGTCTCGGAATGTAATGCCCTCTCCTGCCCCATCTCTGTTGGTGCAGCGGGGAGGGGAAGGTTAGCTCCCTCTTCCTAGCCCAAAAATATATTTATATTATTTGTCACTCTTTTCCCTGCCCTACCCTCAGCTTGGGGACTGGCCGCACATTATAATGGCTCTGCCGCCCAGATGAACGAAACCCATTATGAATTTATGCCTTCACACAGGTACTTTCCCCCTCCTCGTTCCTGCTGCACCCAGCCCTTCCCACTTAAGATTTATTTTTCTACTGTGGACTAGTTGGACTGCTCAGACCCTCTCTGTCTCTTCAAATCTCCATCCTTTTTTTAAAAAAAATACTCTTGAGGTACTGTTTTTTCATCTGTGTCTTTGTTTTGTTTATTTTTTGGGGAGTTTGTATGAAAATAAAGGAAACATCATTTTACCTTTTGGAAGAAAAATGGTGATTTAAAAGCAAAACCCAGACATCCCAAGCTAAGTCTCAAGCAGCAGAAGAGCCATGCTGGATCAGTGCACAAGGCCTCTTTTTGTTCACACACCAGCCAACCACAGGAAACCTCCTGCCAGGCTATGAGTGCGGCAGCACATGATCCACAGCAACCGGGGTACATAGGTGTACCGGTTCTGATCCGAGGGGTGGCCATTGATAGCCTTGCCTCATGTGAATTTGTCATCCGGCAGGCCAAAATCAGCTTCTTGAGGGCTGCATTTCAGGGGAAAGTGGGCCCAAAGGCAAGGCAAACTGTGCCAAAAATACACAGATCTCCAATACATTTGACCTTAAAGTTGGCACTATCAGTAATGAAATTGTGGAAAAGGAATTTCAACATTTTAGAATTGTGGAGAGTGCACAAAATCTAGGAAATGGGCAAGATTAGATTTTGGTGCGTTTTCGTGGAGTAACGACTGGCTGGGTACATGTTTTCTTGCTGTGATCCGCAAAAGTTGGGTTGGAAGGTAATTTGCATTATCTACTACTTGAATGTATTCGCAGTGCTGCACAGAATTTATCTAGTATTATAGGTGGAAATAAGGACAAGAAACAGGCTCTGCTGGATCCTGTCTAGAGTTTGCTAGGTTGGGGGGTGGGGTTCCTTGTGGGGCTTTTTTTCCTTTGTTTTTTATAGAAAGCACTGTTTCAAAAGCAGAAACCCTGTCTGAAATCAGAAATGACTTGCTGCATATACAGATCTCAGGCATAGCAAGCTTGTACAGAAGGTCTCCGATTGATGGTGACTCTGTGAATGAGTGTCCTGCCCTATTCTTGTCAGCGCTGCTCAGCTCGTGTAAATTCAAGGCTGTGACTTCCTTTGTGAAACCAAGAGGGTGCAGATGACAGGACTGAGAGAACAGGAGCTTGGCTAAAGCTGTTGAGTGAGAATGAGGCAGCGGCCTGATTAAGAATGAGTACCTTCCTAGTTTGTTGCTTAGCACCACATTAGGGAATGGAGAACCAGGACGGGCTTCATTTCTGTGCGAGGAAAATGGAGAAGGAAATTTTCTGATGAGTCCACATTTTTTTTCATCCACGTTGTGGCACAGATCAGCTGAGTTGGAAAAGTAATTTGCAAGTGCCATTGTAAGTCTGGGTTGTGGTTGAGTGCCTTGATCCAGAAGAACAGTCCGGCCTTGCACCAGTTTTACATGTACCGTACTTGGCTAAGGTGTAAATTGATGGTATTGAAATTCCAGATGCACCAAATGAAACTGATTATCCAGGCCCATTGAGTTGGAATTTCAACTGGAATATGGCACTGAGATATGGGAGTGACTTCTGCCAGCAACTGCGTGGGGGAGTATGATCCAATTTTTTCTCTTGGACCTTTCAGTGGCTTTCCGTACCACTGACCATGGTACCATCTGAACAGTCTGGTAGGACTGGACCATGGGGGTGCTGCTTTGCAGTGACTTCGCAATTGCTGTCAATCCACGTCCAGCAGGCAGTGCTGGGGGATCATTCCATTCTGTGGCCGCTGACATCTCACCGAGCTCAGTCTTGTCCCCCGTCTCATTTAATGTTTGCATCAAATGGCAAGCAGAGGTCATTTGGAGCTTTGGCTCACGGTCCCACCAGTATGGTTGATTGCACCTAGCAATGTCTTAACGCCAGGGTTGCAGCAGGAACCCCTGAATTATGGCTGGAGGAAGGAGAACAAGCTGAAGCCAAACCATGACAAGATGGGGTTTAGTCAGTAGAAAGGACTTGGGGGATTGGGGCTGAACCTGCTAACGGAAAGGGCGGTGCTCAGGTTCAGGTCCATGATCCTACACCATCCTTTGATCTTTAGGTGATGGTTCATCTGCACAATTTTGCTTCTTGTTGAAGCAACAACTTGAATGGGTCTGTTTGCAACATTCATCCACATCTGGGTTATATTGTATTTAGACGATTGCAATGTGCTCTCCATGTGGCTACTGCTGAGCAGTGTCCAGAATCATTGGGTGTATATTTGCTGTGGCATGTTGGGAGTTGCAGGCCTGTTTTTCTGCCTAAACAGGCAAAGGATTGAGCCCTAACATCTTGAAAAAGATGGGGGAGAGAAAATGTGTAATGGCAGCACTTAACCTCTGTGGCTTTGGCCGCTGCCTTTGGTGTGGACAGCTATGAAAAACTGGCACACTTCGTTGCCTCAATGTTGACAAGTGCTGTAAGCCATGTGAAAGGAGTCCAGAAACAGCAAAATTAGGGGCTGGCTGTTGGTAATCTAGCCAACAGGAAAGGAGAGAGGTTTCACTTGGTAATGAAGCACTGCTGTATATTGTTTGGCCAAAAAGGTGGACAGGAGTGGGGGTGAGAGGGAACAAAAATACTTTTACTCCTGTCCCTTGGCCAAAAAGGATCCTGGAGTGGCTTAACAATCATTCAGACAGTCCTTGTCTTCAGGCTTACAATGTAAAAAGACACAACAGACAAGGAAAAGGTGATGACAATCAAACAGGCTTTCAGCAGGACTGGTGGAAGGGCCCAGAGTTTCCTCTCATCTGCCTGGTGCAGCCTGCTGGGACAGCTGCTAATGGCCTTTGAGAAAGCCCCCCCCCCCCCCCCGGGGCTGCCCCCTGCCTCTCCCCACAATATATGCAGTCGGGCAGGACTGCTTAGCATGGCAATTAAAAGCACAATCTCGGGCTTGTGTAGGCAGGGAAGGTCCTACGATGGCAAGCATTCCTGGCTGGCTGAGTGATGTTGGATTTGCAGGTCTTTCCCCCCATTTATGCATAATGTTGTGTTCTAAAAACGCACTTAAATTGACTAAAAATCATCTTGACTAATCAGGGATTGTGTGATTTTTTAAAAAAGAGATCTCTCTCTCTCTCCCCCCCCCCCCCCGCAATCTATGTATGTGTGTATGTATTTGTAAACTCCCAGAGAGCCCTGCAGGCTATGGGGCGGTATAAAAATGAGCCATTCCCTCTTTTCACACTTTCCACTTACAACAGTGTAGTCGTTACTTGGGTAGCATAAAACAACAAAGCCAAAGTGGAGTAATTATATGGCCAGCCAGATTTTGTTCCAAGAACCCTGTCTCTTAAGGAAACCCCTGCTTGTGAGAAGTGGTGTATAGTCAGGTGAGAGGAGGGCTTTTGATTTCTGGAAAAAAAAAAACCTTAGATTGATTTGCAGGGGCAAGTCACAGGAAGTGAAGTAGGTGTGGGCAAACAGCCGACTAATCCCACAGGATGAGGTGTGGCATAGATCACCAGGACCCTGTGCCTTTGCTTCAGCGAGCACCCATGAACACCAGTGCGGCAGCCAGCTGGCTTCTCAAGACTCCAAATGAAAGATTTGGGACTCCGGACCAAGTGGGGCAACCCAGAATACTACTTTTACTTCCTTTTATTCCACTACTGATGGCCAACTTCAAGGCCTCCATCTTGATGGTTTTTCAAAGTTAAAGCAGACTTTTGTTCTTTGATAAGTACTGGAGCTCAATCAAGCTTAATTTTATGACAAGGGTGTGGAACCTGTGGCTTTCCATATGTCAATGGACTACAGTTCCCATCACTCACCATTAGCCATGTTGGCTGGGACTTAGAGTTCAGCAGTACCTGGAGAGCTGTTGATTCCCTCCCCTCCTCCTCCACGTCTAAGACAACTCCAAAGTCAAAGACCCATCTGTGGTAACAGACAGCAAGTCCCAGCCACAGGATTCCCATTGCTTGCTTGTGCTCATTTGCTCCTATTTACTGGATTTGATGGCTCTTACCTTATTCTTTCTGGTGGGGTTTGGTACAGAAGGTGCAGTCGAAATTGTCACAGGAGGAAGTGAGTGGGAGGGTGTAAACCGGTGTCCTGCAACAGCATGGGGATGGACCCGGTGGCCTTCACGGCCC